TTCTTGATGTTGTCAAGAATGCACAATATTATATATTGTACTCGATTCTCGAGCGATATCCGGTACTCAATGTCAATTGGTGACTTATATTGAGTCGACAAGTCGGTTGTTTTAAAATAACATATTTTTACATCGTTCGAACGTTATGAATGAGCAGCAAAAAAAACACCATAACAGTTTTACTGTAATGAATATTGTAGTTTTTTACCCACAAATATCGTTCTGCTATCTTATCACAGACACAGAAGATTAAACCTATAAAACCAGACTGATTTAATGTTTTCAATATTTGAGACATGGTTATGTATTAAACATTATACAACATGATATTTTTAATTTGTAGTTCACACCCTCGCCCTTAAAACTGGAAAAAGTCTTAAAACAAGAATGATAATTCAAAATATATTTCATTGGTGTTATACTAATTATTTGGTAATCAATTAAGTCCATCTGAATGGTTTGCTCCAAGTTCTTTTGGACCTTGATATAAACTATTATTATTAGAAATATTAGAAAGTATTAATAAACACTGCAATGCAAATCTATATTGGGCAGTAAACAACATTATAATATTATCATTAGCTGTTAACCATTATTGTGAAACTTCTCGGGTCAGGCTAAGAACATAGATATTAATATATCATATCAAAATATATATAAAACCAATAACAAATTGATCATATTATTAGTATTATTATCATCGCATGTTTACTCTTGTGTAGCAAGTCACATATATTATTATAATAATAATATCCAATGGGCACTGCAGTTGCGAACTGTATGGAAACGACCACAAATTAAAATCTTGTCTAGCTACTATTTTTAGATTTGTTTTTGTTTTCGTTTGTCGAAAACAACACTGAATAATATACATAATATTAGTTAACAGCTATGGCGCCATTTTCAATATTATACAACAAAAGCAAACAAGGTAAAAGTGATTAAATCAAATCTGACGTTTCGCGGTTATCTCATAATATCGCCGTGTCGCTTTTAAACACGATAGTAATTATTATTATTGTTTTCATTAGCAGATTAGCTTGACACAACAACAACGCAATACCAACCACAAGTCGTAGTAGGTAGTTAAGATGGTATATTAGCTGGATATTAGCTGGTATTGTAATCGATTGTTGTATTGACAGACTATAGCTGATAATTTACACATCCTTCCGGGATTTCTTTATTAATAAAAAAAAAACCAAAACACGATTCTTCTCCCTATTTCTGCGCATAATAATTCTGCAAAACAATAGATTCGTAGCCACCACTAGCTAGAAGTTGTATTTAAATTGTACACAATTATTAATTTTTTTCTACATTTAAAGTTTGAACAAGAGCGGTTAAACGGTTAAATTACCCTGATGGTGCCGCTACTGGATTTACATGGCAATAATATCCTATCCATAATGGAAACACATCAAGAAATAATAATAAATTCATTATTCTGGTAATTCCCTCATAAAAAAAAAAAGAACCACTTATTGAGCAATTTGGTAAGAGACTATTGTAGAGACACGTTGCTTTCTGTAATGTTAGGTTAGGTTAGGTTAAAACTTAAATAGTAATATTTTGTTATACTAGTCTTAAAATGTGAACTTTTAATTACTTTAAAAGTAATTATCGAAAATTAGTTATCAAGGTCAAGTGAGAACTGTAAACTTTAATAATTTTACAAAACTAATAATCGACCCCAGTCAACATTTTCAGCAAATTATTTTTAAAATTTGGTAATTTGTTGTTAAGTGAAAAGGTAGAATAAAAAAAACAATAACTATAGTAATCTATGGATTTGTATTATTCAACGTTTTATAATGTACCTATGTTTATTCTAGTGATAGTGAAAAAAAATGCTATTTAAAAACATTTGAAAATAACACAAACACAATATATTACTATACATGAATAATATATATGTATTTAATTTAAGTAAAATGTTTTTTTGATTAAAATAAAATGATTTCGGTTTCGTTTTAAATGCCGCCATTTTGTTGTCAAAGTTTGGTGTTAAGTTTAGAACTTAGATTTTGCGGTTATCATCAACTTTTGTGGACAATTTACGGTACACTGCGATGATAATATATAATGTACAATAATAATATTGGTAATGTCACATTGGAATTGCTTGGGGAAGTCTCTCGAAATCCAATAATGTTCATCCAAGGTCGTTTGTTCTATACAACAGTATAATGGCGTGTCTGGTCTTCACTAAGGCGACATTTTGCGCCATTAAAATATATAATAATATTATTAAATTATGTTAAACCCGTTTCCGGGTAACAAATGCAAATCGATACAACGACACAACCACCATAATAATACAAGTTGCTTTATACATTTTTGGCTATTTAAAATATATTAAGATTTTGAATAATAATATATTTACCAACGCCAAATAGCGCACATCCTTAATTGATATTACATTTTTACACACTATGTATACCTAGTCCTATACACTTTTTTTTTTTTATGAATCGATCGCCTAATTTTCAATTCATTTGGTGTAAACCACCATTGGACGTGTTGTATTTTATTCATTTGTTTCCTGTTGGCCATTATTACAATTATTCACTTAGGTTACATCAGTAAGAAACCTAAGACAATACTTATTTGGCGTAGGCTGACGGCGAATACCGTGGTCCAACGCTTTCTGTACCAGTTTTGTTTTGCTAAGGCATACATTTAGTATGACGAGTTCATTATAGAACATAATTTAATTATTTTTTAGTTATAAATATTTTATTAATCTGGTCGGCTTTGGTTTTTGTGAAATTTTTTTTTACTAATGTTCTCCTAGTGTCTACGCTACGATTGGTTTCGTGACCGATATCGTTGCATAATCTATTGACAATGTCGGTTACTGATCATTGATGATAAAATATAGCAAATATAACACTTTTTTAATTTCACACAATTCAGAAACAAACGTTACCAGCAAAAACTCTTTTTGTTTACCCTTTTATATGTAAATGTCAGCTTGATTTATGTTTTGTTGGAAGCCAACTTTTGCTTTAAAACCCAACTTGCGTATCTAACGATAAAGGAATGTATAAAAAATAAATCGAGTCATATTGAACAATAAAAAATATTTTATTAAGGATTTAATATTATTATTATTACAATTTTATTACAAATACAAATGTAAAATACATTTATTTTTACTTATAAATAATGAAAAGAGGCTTAGAATACATTTTTTTTTTTATATCAACTTGATGGGATTATACAGACAGAAAAGAAAAATTCAAGGTTCGGGGGAAATTACAAAAATTAATTATTTGTTGAAGGGAAAAAAACATGAAGTAGATTAATGTTTTAAGATATTGAATTAAGTACATTTTTTTTTTTAGTTTAAATTAATTACATTAATACTGTAAAAAAAAAAACATATAAATATATAATATAGATATATACTTATTGAGTCTATCAATCAGTCTAATTTGATGAGTGTTTTATTTGAAAAAAAAACTGGTGATAACATTTGTTTTGGTATCAGACATATGACAGGAAATACTTAATAAATAATAAAAATAATAAAATAAAAAGACTAGTTTCTTTCTTCCATCAAAATACATAATTAAAACGTAACAAGTATTCTGACTATTGTTTTCAAAGGACAAGCTATTATCACATTATGTACCATTTTAGGTTGTGGTTTCTAGACAAGTGTATTATTATTGTTACTATTGGGTGCCGGACAAATTGAAATTTACAAGTTACTATTATTGTTGTATTGAAATGGGATTTAGAAATATAAATATACGTCGTATCAAAGGAGTTTGATACGTAGAAAGGACAAGTGAACAATTTTACCAGTCGGTAGAGCCACAACATGATAACTGTAAGCCGTCAAACGTGTAGGATAATAGATTAAAATGAGAAAATCGAGTTAATTTGATATGGAAGAATTACTAAAAACATTTGAAATGACTATTAACTGTTTTGAATCATGTTGCAAAATTGAAATTCTATAATGGTATTAATTTTTTTTTTTTTAGGCACCCAATTATATTAAACGTTTTGAACTCTCACAAGGAAAATATTGTGTATGTATTGATATATTATAATATCCTATTTACCTAGATAATTATTGATAAAAGCTGAATAAATCTTAAAAAAATAGTAACAAACGTATCACAGATTATATGGTTGATTAAATTTTACCTATTTTAAACAAAACAGAGCATCAGACTTATCTTACCAACCCATTAAAAATAAAGAATTTCCATAATATGAAATCTAACAGCCTAAACTACATCTACACAATTCAAGTACAGTCTATCGTTTTGTATCCGGATGGAGCGTATCAGCCACTTAAAAAAAAAACTATATAATATTATGATAAGTAATAACCTATTGAAAAACATTGTGATATGGTAGATTTTTATTATAATTTATTTTATTTTTTATTTACAATAACATATTTGGTCGATCAGACTTATAGCATGCGAGTTAATTAACGATTGGGGGTACAGCCAATATTCTAACTAATTTTTGTTGTATCTGTGAACGTATATCGAGAAAAAAAAAACCCTAATCAAATTATTAATGAGCTGTAACTCAAACTAAAGTAGGCGGGTTGGTAAGAAAGAACAGTTTAATTTCCTACCGCGTATTAAATCTTGCCTAGATTCCATTATATTATAACATATTAGAGTTTAGTTTTAATTGCAATATTTTTTTTTTTTTTGACACACTTAGCATCGTAATATTAAAAAACCCTCATTTTTTTGATCACTGTTAATACATCAAAACAAATTTAACAATAAATTACATTTACAAACTTATATTCAAAATAAGAAACCTTATTCCTTGTTGATTGATAGGCTTAACGTTATATTTAACTGCGAACCTTTAAATAATTTTCAATATAATATATATTTAAGTCACTAAAATAATATTAAAAACCCTAACGCTGAGATAAGCCTTAAGCTGTCAATGTCGTTATGTACAATTAAATCTTAATAAAAAAAAAAAAAAGGTTGTTAAATAGGCTAACGTATCAACTTAAAGTAGGCTGTATTTATACAATTTTAGAATACTCTAATATTATTATTAGCCATATATAATATATAAAACACATACAATTGTTTAAACAGAGTTGAAGTTCCACATCGGATGCAGTTCATGTGATAAATAATGTATTCTAAGCAAAGTGTTGGCACTCACCCGTATACTCGTGCGCACTATGCTTAGCCGTTAACGTTGTTTCGTCATAGCACAATGTTGGTGCCCAGTGGACAAGATGTCGCCAAGTTGGATGTTGGTCGACTTTTATTTGACCGAGCCAAGTTTGGAACGGACCTTGGGTGACCGTCACCTTTGGCCATATCTCAGGATCTCCTCCGTGCAATATCTTTGCTGGACGTCGATGAAGTATTATCTGCAACAAGAGATTATTTTTTTCCCATGTTATTATTTATGACAATAAAAAAAATTAATAGATAGGTATAGGAAATATACCAAAGGGTTAGATTATGTTTGAACAACTGCAAAAAACTAGTAGAAGTTTGATATTTTTTGGCGTCCGCATGACAAGCGGTGCCGTCTTCACGTTTTTTTAAAGGGCCCCCACATAGCCTAAGACGGCCCTGGCGACAATTACAGTTACGATTATAAAATGTCATCATGGACATAATATATTGGTAAAAAAATGAAATCATATTGTTTTGTATAAATCATACCAGCTTGTTCGCCAGATGGACAGCGATGTAGCGATCATATTTCGCATATTATTGCGACAAAAATGTTTTGGTTTTTCGTAAAAAAAAAAAAATTTCAAAAACAACGAATTTTGTTTATGCAACACAGTGGTTTGGCCACGTGATCAAACCAAACACACTGGTTGCCTGGCTTGATCGACTGAGCAAATTTGGCCTAGTTGAATATTTTTTTCTTCTAGGAATTCGGCTGGTGACACGAATGTGACAAGGACACACCGAGGGAAAAGGCACACTCACACATGTCCCCCCAAGCACATTTAGCGGCAAGTTCGTTCACCTCGTGTGTCACTTGCTACGACGACCGGAACGGCTTTCCCCGCGAAAATAGCGGTACCGCGGCGCGCAATATTAAACGGTACCACGGTACGGGTGCGTTTAGATTAGAAATCGTGCATGGCACTCACTGTCTTTGGACTTGGACGTCAGCGACCGCCGGAGTTTGTCGACGAGTTTCGAGTGGAACATGTTCAGCGACGACGTGGACGACAGCTTCGGCGGCGACGACGACGTCGACGAAGACTTGACGGGACTCTGCAGACTGGACTGCGAGTTCCGCGAAGAGTTCCGGTGATGACCGCTGTTGGACTGCCTGGACACGCCGAGCGACCGGTGCGCCGGCGACCCGGCCAGGAAATCGCTACCGGGCGACGTGGACAGCGACGACGGGCCGTCGGCCGACTTGGACCCGCCGTGCTGGCGTCTCGCGCACGAACCCATCGTCGACGACGACTTGTCGTTGGCACACTCGGACACGCGCCGGCTGCGGTTAGAGTTGTAAATGTTATAATCTTTTTTCACCACGGGCATCATGAAAGCCATCGTTAAACAGTTAAATAGCACACACACGAATTGTTCTGTTTATCCTTTGTTTGTTTGTTTTGTACAGTTGCAATTAATACTATTTTAACACACGTCGACGATATCGTGGACTTGGGTATAATAAAATATATACCTATATTATATTGGTCGTCAATAAAAATGTATAATAATGATAATAACGATTTATACTATATATTTTCTTCTGGTACAGTTAAGTAAAAACAATAATAATATTATGGTTTCGTTTGCTAATCGAACATAGGTATTATGATGTGTTAGCGGTACGCACGTCTGTTGGCGACTGGCGGGAAGCTAAATGTTAAATTCGATTCGGATAAGAGAGCGGATAATAATAACATGTAATATTATTACAACAACAACAACGGCAAAACGTTTTTGTAACGATACGATTTCGTTTCTCTATTTTATTCCACTGCGGTCGAAACGCGATAAGAACGATGAACGAGTCGTGACTATGTGCAATGCAATGCAACGGAATGAGAATCACTTTGGCCGCCGTATGACCTTTTTGCCGCCGCCCCCCACCGCTGCCATTTCTATCGTTACTCCGTCGCGCTCCCCCCACCCACCATCGACGGGCGGCTGGCACACAACGTTATGAAATCGGCCGCCGCCCGTGGCCTCGGGGACACGACGGTTACTCCGGTCGGTCGGCGTCCTAAACCGCGGCGGTGGTGCGGCGTCGAAGAGGCGAGGGGGTATTCGTCGTCTGGATGTTATTGATCCGAACCTTCCCGCCACCACTACCACTGCGACGGCGTGGGAGCCGCATACCAAGTGACGGCAGTGTAACCGCTTTTTCCCCCACGACTATGGCCGCCAACGGTTTTTTTTCTCGTAGTGTTCCACTACCGACACGTCCGTATTCGCTGTGTGTGTTTGTGTTTGGCAAATTTTCGGTTAAGTTTGGACTTTGAACAGGTAAACAAGCGAAAACCCGGCGTTTGGCATTTGTGTTCCAATCGTGTGGCCGATTTGAAATTTGGCTTTTTGGGGGGAAATTGTCGGCCCCTGTCGACTGCCATTATTAGCAGATGGCGCGACACGTACGCTTTCCACTCGCCCCTCTCGCCCCTCTCGCCCTACCGTCCGCCGCCCGACATCTGGCGCCGCCCCGCAATGGAATTCCAGTGGTTCTCAAACCGGCGTCAACGACGATTTACCGCGATAATACGTTCACGACGATCGTCGTCGTCGTAAAACGCGAAACCACTAGAAGATTCTTTTACGACCAAAGCCAGGTTATGGTTTCGAAATCGCAATGCGCTCATCTACCGACACGGTCTAGTCTTTTATCAATATTACCGTTTACGTTGTATTGTGCAACATCCGTTTTGTCTCCTTTTTTTTTTTAATTTTGAATTTTTCCAATGTCTTTTTTTTTGTCAAATTCATCGACTAAAACCAATATTCAAAATCTAAACCGTAAAATACCGTTGCAGTATAATTAGGTATTATTACTCGACCACACTTATCTATAACTTCCCCTTGACGCATATTTTGTTTTTGTTTTTAGGTCGTCCTTCATCGATTTCAGGGATCAATTTTTTTATCACAATATATAATATACTTTATATTATATATGTGGTACACTATGATAGATGCAGTATGCACGGTTAAGTTGCTGTCGCCTGTCGCTGTGTAAATAAGAAAAAAACAAATTCATATTAACCATTACAAGACTGGTACAATTACAATGCCTTTGCTCGTTTGTAATTTAACGGCTTAACGAGCAAGGCAAAAATAATGCGGGGAAAGTTTTAATTACATTAAAGTAAAAGTACCAAGCCGATTGTCTTTTGGACTAGACTAGCATGAAATTGTATTATTAATATATTTAATATTAGTTTAAACAACCATCTAGTTTTTTTTCGGAGGAAATCGAGTTTTTTTTTAAACTCATATTTCGACATTTTCCGACCAAATTAAACATCAACGAGACAAAAGTACAATGTTTGAAATCAACAAAAAACACAGTCCAAACGGGTACGACGTACAAATAACAAGACTAATAGATAAATCTATTCTTTTGGGTAAAAATAGTAATAATAATTCGATAGGAAAATATTTGCACAAAACGAGATAATAATATTAATATACTATTGAGAACTTTTCTGATTATTCGTTGGAATACAATAAATCCAGCTGTTTGTTTAACAACCAACGTATATATAGGTATATGGCGTGGGCTTATTTATTTTACTTTTATCATTCTGTGTGTATTTTCCCATCTGACGATCGAGGCTGTTCTTATTCTCAATTGACATTATTCTATACCAAGTTATTTGAAATTTATTTGCAAAAAAAAAAAACAAATGTCATTCCGTTAAAGGGGTAAAAGAACAAAATTGTCTACCAAGAAGGATCATCCTTAATAAAAGGATTAGGACATCAAAATATAGAACTATAATATCAGTCAAGATGACGACTACCCTTAATGTCCCTTTTTAGTCTCTCTGGTCTTCTTTATAAATTATATTCATACATTTTATCGGTTTATCTAATTAACTTTAATACCTTAAATAATTGCTTCATATCAATGTATGGCTTTAACTTCAAACCCTATGTACAAGTTATTAAATGGTCACATTTTTTGTCCTGAACTTTTAAGTCTCATTCCAATTCGTATGTTCCCCAATACTTTTCTCGTTCCTGACCTACTTTTTCCATCTCTTCGCATAAAACTTCATACGGTTACAATACAACTCTGAATAGAATGTGATAAATTATCTTCCTTTGATTTTTTTTAATCTTGATAACCCTTCAATCTTTAAACGTTGCATATTATGATAGCTGTTATTCGAATATTATCAATTTTCTGTTTCAAATCATTGTATAGTATCAATTTTTAGGTTTTGTTAGAGCAATTTTATATTTCACTTTTCTTGCCTTGTATTTCTTAATATTGTATTTTGTTAGATTTAATTACTGTACTCGAGCCTTTGGTGTTAATTCGAATAAATACATTTTTGAAAAATGTAAAAATGTCTTAGCTATAAAATTTTTTTCCCCCTTTTAATTTTTAACCAATTCGTGTATTGGTTAGAATAAAATATCATAGTTATAACCCGGTTTAGTCGAATTCTACTAACTCAATCTTTAACACATTTATATTTCATGGATATTCTTAAAAGTTATAACTTATAATGCAACACAAATGACAAAATTTGTGTAACAATAGTCGAGTGAGTCAAAATGATTCTTGTGACATAGTCATGTCTGTGAGTCATAGTCATTAGTCATTACAATATATTAAATGTCTGAGTGTTTAACTTTCTTAACGTGTCTGGTATGGTATCTAAATTTTATTGTTTTTTTTTAATTTTAAAACACGGATGTAAAATGTATCGAAGTTAAACCCAATGATAGATCCATAGGGTCTAATCCTCAGAAACTTATTGTAAGCACTAACACAGATAGAACAATATTCAAATTCGACACTAGTTAGTTGTATCGACGTTATTAGTTAAACAGACATTTTTATTTATTTTTTAACCACATGTTTATACTTCAACGCAAACATTCTACTAAAAATAGCGTTGGTCGTTGAATAAACATACAAATAGGTATAATAATAATTATAGTTTTATCCGAAATACCATTTGAATAACCGAATTAAAAAAGGACAAAATATAAAACTTAAATAAAAAAAAAATCATGCGTTATATACTCCTTATACTTATAAAGTCCTTGTCTAAGTCGTGCGATAGGCAAAATGGTTATGGGATGCAATTTTTTTTTCTATTGAAAGTTTAATGTTGATTGAATAACACGTGCTATATTTATAGATACAATATTATTATATTGATGATTATTATAGATTAAACAATTAGCATTACACAGGTACAACAGGTGCGACGCCGTTTTACCTCTTGTGTCCTTCACATAGGCATATAACAGCTTGTCAACTTGTTAGGTATGCGTATTGTAAACTTTTTTTTTTCTATCACATTGTTGTATCGTTTAAATAATAATACTTAGATAATACTTGCAATACAACCACGCGTGTAATCGTCGGGCCTTGAACAGCAAATTTTCCTCACCATTTTCAATATTAACAAGATTTCCTTGAAACGAGATACCTTTTTTTTTTCAGGCTTTTTTTTTTTAGCACTAGCAATTTCTTTGCAACGATTTGGATTAATAAAAGAGAAAGATGTAATGAAACAGAACGTACATAGGTATGTACCTATTTGCTTGCTCGGCCACCGTTTTAAGTTTTTAGTTAAATATAAATTTAAAATATACACTATACGAAAATACAGTTTCTTTTGCCTACTCAATCACTCCGTATGTATGGTTGTTTTTTTTTTATACACTCGGATAACCTCGTAAATTAGTCTTGTATATTTTCGAGTTTTAAATACTATTAATAATTTCAGGACGGTTAAATTTAAATTTATATTTTTATTCTTGGACGCACAGTTTAACTAACACAATCTACACAATATTTTATTATTACGCTGTCCTTTTTGAACGCTCATCTTATTATAAATTATCACTATTGCATATATTACAGATTAGCACGTTAATAAATTATTACTGACAAGTTATCTTAAACATTTTACTCAAGTTTCACCTTGCAGTCACGGTGTTTGTTGAAATGGACTACTATCAGTAGCAGTAAATTAACGTTAAGAAATTAATAGAATGTATACATTTTCAAGATTGTTTTTTTAAATAAGAAATGTAAAAAATTGTGTTGGTAATTATTATCCCACATAGCAGATTTTTGGTCACGAGAAAATTAGATTTTTGAATTTATACTTGTTGGTTTAATACTTTCAGAGTTCATGGCATTGTAATTTAATTAATTCAGACTAAATTTACAAAAAAAGAATATTTTAATGAGAGTTTTTCGAATTGATAACGATAATATATCCAAACGATTTAGTATAATTAAATGTTTTTCTTTGCAGATAATAAGCAACTAAATACAGAGTTTAATCAACACTCGACATTTTAATGTTTATACTTAATAATTTTGATGACCAAAAAATGCTGACTATATTTTTTCCTAGTTTTAATCGCAATAAAATCGCATTTACCTAGTCTGACACTATTTAGCTATTTTTAAATGGACTTACTTCTGTTAAATGTCTTTTTTTCGAAGGTTTCTTGCTTTATCGACTGGTATAGTAAAAATAGAACAAATGATTCACTCAACCTTGACCTTCGTTGACTTGACCATCAAATAATAAAAACAACCGAAAACAATGTGTTTACATTTTAATGTAAATGAAAACAGTGGGCTACCGGAAATCGATATGCTCTTTCTTTTTTTTTGTTCTTGCAAAACGTCTTAGCCTTTCAATTTTACTATTATGTAGGTATAGGTATTCAAGACCTTAATTGTTTTATTGCCTACCTATAATATTTAATATTTTAACACTTAACACTTTTAACACAAAAATGTCAGCCTACTAAGAAGGAGCAAGATAGAACGGACACTGGTTTTGAATGAAAAAAAACCTCTTTCAGAAACGATGATTAAATGCAAATCTATGGAAAAAGATTTTTATGGCCTTTTTAACGGTGTATTTGAATTTGAATAATACTAAAAATAACTACACAGACTAAATATTATGAAGACACATTACTCCCTTTTTCCAACTTCAAATTAAAACGCAAGTAATACATTTACATTGAACGACAGTATTTATAAAAACAAATTACACCAATAAACAAATGAGAAAAACTCAATTAAAACAAGTGAAGGATAATAACTCAATAGACGTTTGTGCTGATTTAATGATGATGATAAACTACTATATATTTGTATGAACCTGCACAAAACCAAAGTCATAATGGAAAACTCGAAAATGTACAAATCAGCTCATATTATGGTAAATGTTGTTTTTGAATTTTTCGATTAGGTAATTATTGCTTAAACTTATATTAGTCTAACGTAGACAACATTTGATGAACCCAAAACAAAATATATTGATACAAATTTTAAACACTCAGCTAAGTTATACATACACACTAATTAATTGATAAAAAAATGTGACAACGACCACAGGAAAAATAAATAAATAACCATGGCTAGGAAATGATGTGTAAAATGTATGTAATTTTAAATTTTCTTCATAAAATCGTATAAAAGAATTTCGTAATTTGTCTTGAAACATCAACAATGTACACTGTACTAATTAATATATTTGTAAAGTATAAACCTAATGGTTAAGACATGTCTGTGCACTGTTGTGTAGGCTCACTATACGACAAATAGGTTTAAGTATGTTGTTTTTTTTTTACCGTGTAGGTAGTAAGAACACAATATATTTTATAGTCTATAAAAGGCCGAAATTAAATTCCCTTTTATAAGACACACGATGATGTCGTTTTATGTCATGTCTCTATAATGTTTATTTTAATACTGCATCTTTTGCTTTTTCAATTTTTTTAGTACACACAAATTATTGGAAAAGAAAAACTGACTTCATTAAAATTGGTACATTTGAGTGACTCAAATAGATGTCTCAAACTGGACAGAATCTATAACTAGTAGAAAATAGAACAAAATACGATACAGCTTGTACTGTGAGTATGCTAATAAGTATGTAAAACTAATATTTGTAATTATCCAAGGCCTTAAGTATTATTTACTATAGTTTATATATTATGCACGAACATAATACATATGTATATTGTACATTGTAATCTAATATCAAACTTGACAATATATTTTAATAAACCGATTTTTTCAATGCCAATCGTCTTCAAAATAACAATAATAATAAAACGTCAGAAACACAGTTACAATATAACCTTTTTTTTATGAGTTCGGTCTACATAGTTGACAATTGAGAACTCTCTATATATTATATAGTATAAAAAATGAACACTGTACAAAATAGAACAATGTTAACTACTACAAACTACTGTATATAGTCAGTGCTTGACTTGAGAAAAAAGTAGTAAAGGTACTCTAGATACCTTTAAAAAAGTAGCGTCCCTAGCATTTTAATATCCCTCACATTACCACATTACCCACACCCCCTTTAACGGTCCCCTAAGCAGCATTAATATAAAACCATTAAACAAAACAGAATAATATAATATAATAATTGTTTAGGTATAACTTGTCTTTTTTAAACAATTACAACCTTAATTTGATATAAATTAATCATTTTTCATTTTTAAAAATCTTCAATCTTCATTTAAAAGATTCCACGATACCATTGATTAATTGCAAATATAAATACAATTTTACCGGGTGATTACAAAAGAATAAGTCGGTTTCAGAAATCTGTATTTTCTAAATGGTACAGCTACAGAGCTGTTCGACCTCTTAAAATGACAGCTGTAACCTCAAGTTAGGTTAGGTTACCGCTACGATAATTTGGGATGAACAATATCCACACACAACCCTGGAACACTTAAGAGACTCGCCAAAAGTTAACGTTTTTTTGCGGTATGGACTATTTGTTTTTAATGAAGCCACTGTTACAGGAAACTCGTACCTTTAAATGTTGTAAGATTGGCCGTATGATTTTTTTTTTTTTTGTGGGGTTGCATCAAGGGAAAAGTTTGTGCCGCCATTGCCTGCGAAAATTGAAGATTTGAAGCCACGCATAACTTTGGCTGTGCAGACAGTAACTACTGACATGCTCCACATTGTGAGGGAGGAATTTGCATACCGACTTGACATTGTTTGGGTTACTCAAGGAGGACACATTGAACATTTTATAATTTTTTTTATTTTTAAAAAAACTTGAGGTTATAGCAGTCATTTTAAGAGGTCACCCAGCTCTGTACCGTTTAAAAAATACACATATTTGAAACCAACTTATTCGTTTGTTATCACCCTGTATTTAATCAATGACGGTACACCTCTAGACAGCGTATTTAAAGTTTAAACTGTCAAACGGAGCGATTCGTTCCATCAAATCGCGGTAACATTTCGCAACAAGACCAACAACATGACGATTGACGGCTACGAACGGGAAACGATAATGAAATATTGACAGTAAAATAAAATATACGTATCAGATATGAGATATCATAAAATTTTGTAAATATTAGAACATTTTGTAAGGTTTATATATTTAACACAAAAATTTAATTTGAGCAACCTTATAAATATAGGTAAGACTAAATAACAACCCGTCCCATGCGTTCCCCTTTAAAAAAGAAGTAGGGGTACGCTAGAATATTCAAAAAATGTGTTGAGGTACTCAGTCCCCCTGCGCCCCCCCCCCCAAGTCAAGCACTGTATATAGTACTCGGTAGAAGAGAAAAAACCAATATGTACAACAATTGTTTAACAAGTATGTTAAACAATTTGTATAAATCATAATTAATGTTCTGCTACAATAATAAGTGATGAAAAAAATAAACTTATAGATTTAAATGACGTTATCTTATATTTTTGTGTATAACACATCTAAATCTATTTAATCTAAATATTATTTACTCAGCTATATAAATATTAAAGTTTGTTGAAAGGTACATTATTTTATTTTTATCTCGCATCCTTGATGTGTGTATATGTTTTAATAATTTATGAAATACAAAATTGTAGATCACAATAGTATTTGACATGCCGTGTGTCCGGTTAAATTACACTTACATCTATAGTTGAGTTTCGATTCGAAGCTGAGAAGGTATATTGTTTTTACAATGATGTGTATTTATAAAATTCCGCTTCAAAATCCAGAATAACGCCCAAAAAAATGTGTATATTTTTCCAACTTAAAATTAGGGTGCGCTATGATTAAATAATAGTCAAATCAGTTCCAAATATGTAAGGCATATATATTCCTTTGTTATAGTACTATCTATATACCTATATACCTACATTGACAAACTAAAAACCCTTTTTTATTTCTCTTTTTCCAAGTCTGAAAATTTGACTGAAGGTAGTTATAGATTTAGAATTTTCTTAAAAATCTGTCAAACCGTTTTGAGAATGACATTATTGTAATCGCTTATAATATTATTGTTTGTAATTTAACATGATTTGTAAACATTGGGTGGTCACTGGTCGCGCTTAATGTCTAAAATGTAATATTGTACACAAACTGGCACAAGGCACGTGTAATGTTTATTACAGCGGGAAATTAATAATTCGTCGTAGTTGGGCGAATAAAAAATAAATAAAAACGTATTTAGGAATACAAAAATACATAGGACGCATATTACGACGAATAATACGATAATAACATTATGATATAATAATTAAATAATGATCAAAAGTGTGTAGATAAACATTGTATTGTTGGTGACGATAAAAAAAACGTACTTGGTACTCGAGAAATGTAAATAATACACAATGCCTTATCAGAATAATAATTTATTCTATTGCATCGTGTGTGTACTGTCCAACTCTATAATCATGTATATTTTGACAGTGGCCATTTTTCGGTAGTAAAAAAAATCCCAAATTCATATTATCAGACTTGACGGTCGCCGCCGATTGATAACCGTAAAATGACGAATTGGCGTGGACGATGAAAAAAAAATGATAAGAAAGACAAATACTGTGATAACATTGAAACCACGAGGTGTCCGGCGCCCGAATAGTGTATTGTCTTTGGCAAATCCCCGCAACTGGTCACACTGGACCGCCTAAAAAATCACGTTTCTCTTTTTTTCTTCTTTTTTTTTCATGATACTTGTTCGTTGTGGGAATCATACGTTCTTTCTTTTCGACCCGGTGTCTGTCAGCGTTCTATAACACGTTTTTTAAAATCATCTTTTTCTTTACTGAACTTTTTTGTTAATTGTGCGTTTCGTTTGAGTATTTATCCGAATCAGGTAACTTTTAGGTGCACATTACCCACCCGCTAAGAAACGATACCGGTTTGCGCCGGCATCGCGATTGGCAAATTAACATTTTAAGTGTTCGGTTTTTTTTTTGCCAACTACTGCGAATCGCATTGCAATAATTGTCAACCGAAAATGGCCGAGTGGTGGTGGCCAATTACTGATCACTTTTACCACATGGATATCATGTGATTTCTATTCGGTTCTACGAGTCTTTTGTTCGCCACCCGACCGTTGACGATTTCTTTGCGGTTTCCTCGTTTTCCATATTGGATATTTTACCCAAAACTTTAAAAAAAAATTTTTTTTTTTAGTACTTGTATTTTATAATTTTTTTTTTTTTTTTGTATTCTTTGTCGTTCAGCATGAGTTCCGGAGTACTGTGTTATCGATGCAACAAGTCTGGGCATTTTGCCAGGGACTGCAATGAGTCGGGATCGATCAATAGTGCGACGTTCAGTCGAGGCGGCCGCAATGATCGGGAAGCCAACTGTTACAAGTGCAATCGTGGTGGCCATATGGCTCGTGACTGTAAGGATAAGGACAGGTGTTACAGGTAATATTCATTGTATATTATAATATATGACTTATTGGTTTGGTATGTTGTCAGTTGGCCGTTTCATATCTGTGGGAAGAACGCCACACGTACAGTTTTTTTCGTATGAAACCTAGTGGCGGCATTTGGTATACAATGCTCTACATAATGATCTTATAATCACAACCCAATACTTGTTTTTCAAATGTTATTTGTTTTAAGTTATGAAAACGATTATTTTTATAATATGTTTTAAAATTATTAGCTTAAATTTCAAATTAATCTATACAAACTCTCTTCGACGGAGCACAATAGAAGTTTGTTCTATTCTATAAACTGTTAAACATTTTTTATTTGAGTTTTAGTAGAGTTGTACTTTAGTGAATCTTATCAAAGAGCAGTTAAAAAAAAAAAAGGCGATATGTGATAGTTCGATAAGGACATAATTGTTAGATTTTAACGACATTGTTTAATTAAAATGTTTGTTTCTTTCAAGGCAACATAAATTAGTATACTGAATACTGATGTGGTTTTAATTTATATCAAGATACATTTACTTTATGATTTGTGTTACTGTATCATTTACTGATGTTAATGTTATCTCCATCATTGACATCACAACCCTGTTTGACTGTAGCCTGAATAAATCTGTGCCATTCAAGAAATACAATATGTGTAGATAACTGGATTCTAATTATTTAACTCCAACCTGTTAGATTATGAGTTAACAACTAAGCAATATTGTTTAGTCAAGCAATTTTTTTTTTTTTTTTATTGCACAAATAAAGTAAGTATATAAAATAACTGACGTAGGCGTCCTTTTTAATTATAAGTATATTTGTTAGGTACTCAAATTATTCGTTACAATATCATATTTTAAAGAACAATTTCTTCTTGCACATTACAATTAACAAAACTGTATTTTTAAAAGTCTTCTATAAATGTGTATATGAATATCATAGCATGAAAGGTATACTAGTCTTTTGTGTTTTCAATGATTATTTCTTGTTCATCTAATGTAACGCTTTTTGGGGCAAGAAATGTCACCTATAAGGGATAAGCTAAAAACAATAAAATCAGCAAAACAATAATCCTATGACATGAGCGCAACATTAAAATATTAAGCAACCATGCACTCTAGTCTTGATTCTAGATGGCCATTTTATATGGTTATGACTACTATCCAACGCCAAAAAAAAAAGTATATGTGAACAATTTTTAAATCCCTAACTTAGTATTTCCTCGTGATTATTTTTTCATTTGATTAATATTGAAAATTGTATGTTTTTATATTGTTGTTTATAAATTTTTTTATACCTTTATACCTGTGTACCGTGTATTTAAAATATACATAGCTTAAATGGTGCAGGTTCAAATTCGTTAAGTCTAGTGACACGTGTATGCAAAGCTGAGATTTGTATTTACATATTGTCCTTAATATTTAAGGTATTTTTAAGAAGAGGACCATTTATAAGAAAGGGGTGGGGGAGTTGTAAGATACGATACATGTATAACCTAAAGTATTTTTCTACATAATTTTTGATACAAAGAGTTATGATTTTAGTAACGAGATATTTTGTAATTCATGTCAATTATATAACAATTAATTCCAATCTAATCAAAATTGAGATATTTATGGCAACTTAATAGTTACATAAATAGAAACTATTATTTATCAAAACTACTAATATTACTACAGACAATTTATTAAAAATGTTGTATTAGTCGTGCTCTCTTCTGATAATCTTTTTTTAGTTTTTCAATAATGAAAATATATCTTCTATCATTCACAGTTCAAAATATAAGGTTTTATTGTTTCTGAAATTTAATATTTAATCGACAATACAATTAGTAAATTTCTTCTAATACGATGTTTTATTTTGATACTGCTATTAAGAGTGTTATGATAGTATACAGTTTTCATTCATTCTTAAATTAAGTGTGACTAGGTTAACTCCTTATGTCAGTCACACGATTATATTATGTGACTGCGGTAAATGGTAACCCCGTGTACCTAACCTAGGGTTAAAATACAATAAAGAAGATAGAGATGGTCTCAATGTTTCACAAGACACTGCCACAATTACACATCTGTTTATTTAGGAGTAATAAATAATATTTTTAGCATAAATTACCTATATTAAACATATTTTTAATCATATAATATATTAATTTTGAAATAACTAAATTTTTAACGATATATTTAATTTAAGTACCTCTCAGTTGAGCACAAACTGCTAAAGATAGTTTGGTTTTTTTTTTCGTTCTTATTTTAACTCAATTTTTATTGTATCTTATTGGTTTTATTAAAATTTTGTTTGTATATTTTAGATGTGACGGCGTAGGTCATATAGCTCGTGACTGCTCTCAATCAGCTAGCGAGCCATCGTGTTACAACTGCCGTAGAACTGGTCATTTAGCTCGTGACTGTCCCGAAGAACGTGCAGAACGCCCAGAACGTGGATCAGGTGGTGGTGGTGGTGGTGGTGGCGGTAACAGCAATTCAACCTGTTACAACTGCAACAAAATCGGTCATTTCTCCAGAGACTGCCTAGAGAGCAGGTAAATAAAAATATCAATATAATATTATCTTTTTGACGATTATTGAAATCCAAGTTTTTTGTTCAAATTTAAAATGTATGGCGGTTTAGGTGTAATGTCATTTATCACACCATCTGTCACATTTTTTTTTCCATTATATTAATGAAAAGAAGTGTGTAAAAAAGTTTAAATCTTAAGCAGTCAACATTAATAGGGGTTTTTTTTTTCAGAAATGGCAATGGAAACTATTCTGCGTTGTGCCGTAACTGTAATGGTTCTGGCCATATGGCTCGTGACTGCCCCGAAGGTAACAAACAAAGCTGTTACAACTGTGGTGAAATTGGACATATGAGTCGTGAATGTCATAAGCGCAACTAACGCCGCATCGATGACACCTATACTTATTACATACTTTGCAAAATCGCAGCCAGAAAAAAAAACAAGGATATACTCTATACAACTTCGGAGAGAATAAATAACATCTCTCTATCTAAATATATAGTTATAATAATATTTTATATTACAAATATGATACCCTTAATTTGAAGAAAAAAAATCGAACCATTGTCACTTCAGTGTATGTTCGTTTTGAAATTAATAAAAAAAAGAAATATATTTATATATTTCGTTCAAATGAAACCGTTTATTAAAACCTAATTTTTTATAAGTATCATATATATATTTAATTTATATATGATATTTTTTTTTAAATGCATTTAGTTTCTCAGAGTAAAGTAACAAAATATATTTATACTATATTTTAAATAATACCATTAATTTGTATTATGTTCTTTTTATTGATATTCAACATTTAATAACTGCGCCAATCGTTTATTGTATTTAAGGGATATCTTGTATCGGTGTATTTTTTTTTTTTTTATTACTTTTATTTAAATAAAACCTGGCAGCGTCGAGTCAATATCTTTGGTTTACTCATAAGAGCAAAGACACTTATGTCCAAAATTCATTAAATCCATTCCTCAATGTATTACATTTGGTGTGCCACTTATTAACCGTGTTTAATATATCGACTTGTATGTGATAAAAAAAATTTTATATACACGTTATAATTACACAAAAGCATATAAATTTTAATGTAAAGTAATTCTATAGAGTGAATGTTATTGTTGTATAATGTTTGTAAGCATGTTTTGTTTTCGAAAAAGTAGTATTTGAAAGGACTCGTGTTTGTCCGCTAATATCTGTTGTGTCGTCGGGTGAGCAGTTTAAATATTATGACTTGAAGTAATTCATCATTATACATAAAGTTTACATTGTTTCGATCTCTAGGCTTAAACTGTTGAAATTTGTGTTACAATTTTTTTTTATCTGCCGTTTATTTCGGTCACAAGTACTAATAATATTTTTTTTTAATTATTTTCATATCGAAGAAATTTAAGAGCGTTATTTCTTTATTTACATTAACTTTGGTATTAATTTTAAAATAGAAAAAAAACTTCATTTTTTATCAAGTTTGTTTTTTGCCGGTAGTTAATTTCGGCGTTTCAATACATTTTCGTTTGATAAAGGGATTTGTTTCCGATTAAAAAAGTTTTATGGTCGAGGTTAAAGTGTGTTATTGGTGGTGATGGTTATTAAACTTAAGCATCACATAATACATGTTTGTTCATTTATGCACTTATTATTAAAATGTGAACTATTGTTTTTGGTTTATTAATAAAATTGAAGCTATTGAAAAGTGTTGATTACAATTTTCAAGTGTCACGTAGAGGAGTAATATGTTGATTGAACATTTTATTTTTTTGTTTTAATTGCAACAAAATTGATTAATCTATTTTACGACTTAAATTTACTTGTTAATAAATAAAAAAAAAACTAAACATTTTTCTTAAGACTATATTAAGATTGCATATTAAGCTTTGCAAATAATTTATGATTTTTACTGGTTTAAAACAATTTAGGAATATCTGGCACCATTGGTAATAACAGTTTTATTGAAATTACTCGTAATTTTACATATTTTATTAAGTAATGACAAAAAAAAACCTAAATATTTTTAAAAACTAAAATTTTTAAATAAACACATTTCTTAAAAATATATGCTCTTAAACAAAAGAACACCTAGTGATATGTGAAAATATTGGATTCCACAAAGTGCAATTGAAATTTGTAGCTTGTTACTGTGGTGTAATCGTCCAGTAATAAATGAAAATGCTGTATACATTACATTTCAGCACTATTATTAATTATAATACAATTTTTACCATAATTTTAGAACCTTTTAAATGAAAATTTGTCAAGGGTAGAACTCGTATGTATACCCATAATATATTGAACAGGGAAGAAAATCTAGACTACCATTGTTTTTATTTTTTTTGGCTAAAAATAATTACAATGTACTAATGATGATAATAACAATATTTGGTCGTCATATTCGACTATAATAATTTGCTCAGTAATGGAAAAGCAATAATAATTACATTAAATTTTAGGTCAACTCTAACAGTTTATTTCTCAATCAAATTCAGTGATTTATTCAGAAATTTTATTTGGATTTTTGTTTACTGTGACTCTTCAAATGGAAATCGGCGATCGAAAGTCTGATGTTCACCGAGACGTCTACATTTTTCAAAAGTATTAAAAGCATTTGTCCACCAATGTGTAAGTACGTTTAAAGTAATATTGTTCGTACATATTAGGAAAACCCTTTTATTAAACCTTTTCATGTGCGAAAAGCAAAGATTAAAATATATATTTTATTTAGAAATTCAAAATCAGAAATAGCAATTGGTATCAACTTCTTTGTGATTAAATCTATAGGACCTCTCCCTTCAATCAGTAAAGACTGCTAATATAAATATGTCTAGTGGCGTACATTCAATCTTGATCTGGGGAGGGTTGTAAAAAAATAATACTACCTAACCAAATGTTTCAAAATGATAAACAACTTTTTTCCCACCAAAAAATAATTAATCAATTAAGTGATTTTATGGAATATTTTTTCGGAAAAAACCTCGATAACCTTACCTTTAACCTTTATTTTGATATTTTGTATTATTGTTATTACTTTTACTGTTTATTGTTGTAATTTATTGATTATCAAATTAACTTACAATATATTTTTTAGTGTTAATACTAGTCAATGTTATTTATCACCAAATTAAATATATGTTAAATTTTTGTAATTGTTTTTAAAATTTACTCTGTTGTTTTTTCATATACTTATTCGCGTTTCTTTTTGGTTATTTCAAAAACAAAATGTAAATAGAACAAAATATAATATACTTATATTTTTACGACAAAATATCTGGTGTTTTTAATGACAGTACGCCTTTGATATTTGTCATTTTTTACAGGAAAATTTTCACTGGATAATAATTATTATAGTTCTAATCCGTCTATAGGGTTATTATTTGGAGGCCTACACAGAATGAACTTTATTTAGTACATACTGTAAGCATTATGTATAGCTTAGGTACGATCCGTGTTGCTATAGAAATACAATTGTTTATGTCAGTTGCAATGTGCGTGGTCGATGATATTTAAACATACATAGTTCAGTGAATTATGGCTAGTAATAATATAATTTGTATGACAGTAACTCTGTTGCCTTAAATTACATACTTTAATCGTAGCAATTATTATTTGATTTGAAGTAACAATGTCAAGTTACGAGTTTGCCAACCACAATTCGAACCACGGACACGATTTAGTAAGTTATATATTTTTAATTTTTCAAGTATATATTTTAGTTATAAAAAGTCTACAATTTTCTGTCCAAAATGTAATAATCCAATATTGGTCGTTGTTAAATTTGTCAAGCAACGACGTTGGAAGTAAACCGACAGTAATAATTGCTTTAGTCTTTACTATACACGATAACGCCGATTTTATTTTGGTTAATATACTTAACGATCAAGAACTAAAGGTCATTTTATATTTGATATGCTTTACCGTGTGAGGTACAGGCACATTTCCCAAAGATATACTTTGAAGTTTTATGTATATGCCTGCCATTTATAAAATGTATGTTGTATGTATGTATGTAGCCGTTTCGTTTCATTACAATAACTATAATAGTACTAGTATTATTACCTACTATAAACAATGGAAATATTCTATACTACAGTATATACAAATATTTGAATTTTTAATTTCAAACTTGATCTGTAATTCAGCTTGGAATATTTAAATTGATAATAATTTTTGACGTATTTTAACAATTAAAAATTTAACTAACACATTTTAACGGTTTACAGGAAAAAAAGAAAAAACAAGAAAGGAAAAAATCCATACTTTATTTGATTGAAAATTATCTAAGAACGGAAGGGTATGATCGATATTTTAAATTGTAAATGTATTATGCGTATAGTTTGGACTTTTTTTTTTTTTAAAGAAAAACAGTTGAAGTATAACTTTTCATACTACAAATTATAGTATCCATTACATATATTATATTATATGCATTTGGTTTCGTGTTAACGTATCTTTACTAGGTATACTTCAATCTTAATATATATTGTTCTTAAAAGATACCACGAAAGTGCATCCGTTTTGGCGAACGAGGCTTGTCTGAACACAGCACAGTACGCGGTTTGCGACAACATAGACTTGGACACTATACTTATGGAATACGAGAATTATTATTTTGTAAGATACCAAAAGAAACCGAAAATCAGCAAACAGTTAACGACCGAATGCAACACTACAGCTGGTAAACGCAACAAAATTGCGAATAAACATTTTAAGAAAACGGTATCACCGCCAACGGTACAAGACGTCGTGCCTCTCTTGTTGGACACTAGTTTTATAAGTGTCACTCCGGTGGTTAATAACACTTGCGGGAAACCTATGGAAGACGACCAACACGAATCAACGCTTTCGGTGGACCTAAGTCATTGGAAAAACGAATGGCTCGATTATGCCAAAATTATATCAAAAGTGAGCGGTGTAGTTGTTTCTTTTAAGATTCTCCTAGTGTAATAGACAGCAGATTATAAAATACAAAAAAATAATATTATTACTACACAGGAAATTTTGATGAATAATCCTAATGTAAAATGGTCAGACATCAAAGGCCTGTCGACGGCCAAACGATTACTCGACGAGGCAATTGTAATGCCAACCAAATATCCAGATTTGTTCACCGGGCTGTGCACTCCTTGGAAGGCAATGCTTCTTTACGGTCCACCGGGAACAGGTAACGATTTTACTTATTGTATTTACTAATTTATTAAATGGTTTTGTGACTTGTCACGTTCGACATAATGTACTATTTGTAGCACATAAACGTTGATATGTCAAGTATCTGTAAACGTTTATAGTATGAATATAACAAATAAAAAGCAGTAGGTATAAGTGGTTTTTTAATTGAATTTTCTAACGATTGTTTATACCATTATATTAGATTAACAATACTGACACTATAGGCTACTGTGATTTTAAGTTTAGCCAGTGCGGGCAGCCACAATAATAGTATTCTACGTATACAGCAGTACTGTATAGTACACATAGAGTATGTGTTGAGAAATAAATTAAGTTTTTTTTTAAAATAATTATAATATATAAGTAATTCAATTTTTTTCTTTCTAAATGAGATATTAATATTTACAAAATAATAATTCTCGTCTTCCGCAAGGGCATTGCATACGGTCTGTTTTTAAGGAGCAATTGTTTTACATAAATAAAGCAAAAATGTAAAAATCTGTTTCCTACATAACCTATTAACGTCGCCTAAGAAGTCGTAAATCTTTATAGAATTCGGAACATTATTTTGACCGCATGCAATCCCGTTAAGTATAGTGACCAAGTATGTGTTGTCGGAACCACAGAAAATGTGTCCAATCCATTCATTTCTAGACCATTTTTAAAAATTTCTTTATTTCCAAGTGCACTGAATAATTAATCATTTCACAAGACCTAAAGTTTTACAAGACGTATATTTTTTATCGCAGTCACCTCATCGCTGTCCTCATTGATAAAACAACATTTGTATGTAATTTTGATGGTAGAATGAGGTCCATAACCAGGGGAAAGGTCCTAGAGGACTACATTACTTATTTGCCATATTAATAGTAAACTTTACACCATTGCTGTTGGGTTTTAAGGAAAGACTTTGTTGGCCAAGGCCGTGGCTACCGAGTGCAATACGACGTTTTTCAACGTTATGCCTAGCACGTTGATCGCCAAGTGGAGAGGAGACTCTGAAAAGCTCATTAAAACCATGTTTGAAATGGCAGAACAAATGGCGCCCAGCACGATATTCATCGATGAACTCGACGCCATTGCGTCCAAACGAATCGATCACGAAGCAACCCACAGATTAACGTCTCAAATATTAATGCACATGGACGGCTTGCTAAGTTCTAACAAACGCGTTTTTCTGCTGGCCACTTCTAATCACCCGTGGTAATATGTACATTATATGTTTTAACCAAACATTGGAATTTAGTGTAGATCATCATCTTCTAAAAACTAGTATGTAGTGACCGCATGGTATAGAATAGGTATACTGTTATTATTTGAAAATTATGATCTGCGATTACGGAATCGTCGATTTTCTGTAAAAATTTAAAATTATTATTATGCCAGTATTAATGTGTACTTGATGCATAACGATGTTTTTATATTTCAGGCTACCTCGATATTAATAATATTTTGTTTAACTCTATGAGAACTTTAAAATAGCTAGCCTGTCTATTTTAATAGCATCTGAAAGTCCTTCTATAAACTCACTGATAGGAGTAAGACCATAGGGTATATTTTTAAAACTATAATTTTATCATAAAAAAAACACAAATCCGGACATTTCATCAGTTATGCAATTTTCTAAATTTATTATGTACTATACAAATAATTGTAGCAAAGTATGTTTTTTCCAAGTCACTAGAATACTGATTTTAACTCTTTCCAAAATGACTGATTTAATTTTGATAAGATATTATGAGTTTTATTTTCTATTACACTCGCCGATTACGTTCGAGTAAGTAATAGAATAACTTATGATGTTCGTGGCTGACACATAATTAGATATTTAAAATCGTTAATTCAGATGTTAATTACTAGTTTAGTCATTGTCAATGGAGTTATTAACTTCTCTCATATATATATATATATATATATATTATAATATTTTCATTTCTAACGTTATTGAATTTCTCTAGGGAATTGGAGACGGCCATTGTTCGTCGACTAGAGAAACGCATTTTCATAGATTTGCCAGACGAGCAAGCTAGGAACGATATGTTCGTTTACTATCTGTCAGAAATGTTAAAGAATAACAAGTACATCCGCTGTAAAATCGACAGCGACATTCTGGCACAAGTGAGTGTTTAGAGCGCATAAACTAACTTAAACTGACTGTATTTTAAAAATAACAAATTAATTGTAGCGGACCAACGGCTACTCCGGTTCGGACATAAGACTCGTGTGTAAAGAAACAGCCATGCAAACGATGCGTTCGATATTTAAAGGGTTGGGACACAAACCGGAGAACGTTGGCCAATTCAATATAACCACAGAAGATGTCTGCACTGCTATTGCGAAAACCAAACCTTCGACGGCTAAATCCGACAACGTCAAGTATCAATCGTGGCAAACTCAATACGAATCCGTGTAGAGCCATTGTAAAACAACATAATATATTGTAATATATATTATATTACCTACGACTAGTTTTCAAAAATGTCCCTAACATACAATTTTAACGGTGGTAACTTTTTGAATTCCGGTATATTGTTCAAGTACAGCGCCAAGTTGTTGTATCTTTCAATGCGTTTTTCTTTGAACCTTTCCATTTTCAGCAGCAACATGTCCAGTTGGTTTTTAATAGACGAACACAGTAAAACCATTTTCTGTTTCTGCTCGACTTCTTTCATTACCGTCTCGTTTACTAACGAATCCATTATGGATGCTAGTGTGAATTGTTTCTACAAAACGTAACATCATATTATTATTATACATTATGCATCGTAGCCGATTATACACAGTATTTTATACTTTTTACATTACACATATCTACATAATATTAATCTCACCTTCATTAAAACATTTCTGGCTTTGATGAATTGATATTTGGTGTGATGTCTAAAATCTGACACGATCTTACTGCGTATCGATTTAGCCGTATCTAGCGTGAACGGCCTTGTCGCCGCTTCCAAGTACGGCAAAGCGTAATCCACCTGTTTGGCTTTTTCTCTTTTTTTAAATGCTTGTTTTTTGTCTTTCTGCAATGGATATAGTAAAATTTTAAGTACCTACTAATCTAAATGTATATACAATTGACCAGACACAGACCTGTTTCCACAGTTAGCGTAGATTAGTTGTTGCACGACTGGAGAGAGCTAAATTTAGCCTCAGATCCTTTCGCACTCTTAAACTAATAACGATTAGAACCGGAACTAAGTATGGTACCAAATTATCAGACTAAGCCAAATTGAAATTTAAAAAAAATGCTCATTTTCTTTGCTCAAACGACTATTATAACCAAATCAAACCTGCTTCAATTTCAAAAATATCTCCTCCTTCCCCTCGTTTCAACGCTTTCCCTACCATCTCCTCCCTTCTCTCTCCACCCTTCTCCCTCCTTTTCCTCAACGATTCTAACTGCCCTTCCGTCTTAATCCCCTTCCCTATTTTCACTTTCACTGTACAGGAAGGGATAGAGTGCCTTACTATTACCGGTTTAAAATGTGGTCAACTTCAATGGTAGGTACTCACTTCGCCTTGAAGAATGCGCCTGCTTTTGGCGTTTCTATCCCAGTCCAGAGAATCCACAATCAGCCGGAAGTCGGATCGTTCCCGACAGCGCGTTTCCAAGATGGACAGCACGTTACCTTCGAACCGGTAGACGTCACGACGTGCCTCATACTCGGCTGCTATCATGTCTTTCAACATTAAGTACGCCTCGTACTGTTTCATCTTGTTTTCGTACGGGTAAACCTCGTTTTCGACCATCATTTCCTCGTCGAATTTAAGGTCATCGCCGCAAACGGCAGGCTTGTTGAACATCCGACTGGGCCGAGTGATCTGACCCTCTCCGTAATGGTGTTCGACGAGGATCGAGTTGTTTGCAAGATTAAACTCTCTGAACGCAATGTCCCTGTCGTTGGGTTTCGACTCGTCCCTCAGATACTTTTCCATGATGACCTGGGAGAAAATTACTGGCGTTTTGACCTAGTAGAAACGTGCTTTCTACACCTCTCTCAAAGCACAAACACGACTTACTTTCAATTTCCTTTTGGCAGTAGTGGAAATGTCCGATTCTTTCGCAGTTTCGTGAAACTCGTATAAACGCCAAAACAACAAATCCGACCTGAGGACCACCAATCAATCAGTGCCTACAATAACGGGAACCGATTTGCTCAATACTGACCTGCCCTTAAACCTCGCTATAACCAACAGCGGGTCCATGTGAATCTCGATCAACGAATCTAACCTTGTCGTGTCATAAAAGCTAATGACACGTTTATCTTCAACATTGATCGTGTTGGAGTAGAATCTGTGTGCTGCAAAAACACAAATATCTTTTCAAAATCATATCTTCTATTAGTCAATGCGCAAACCCCCAATTTGATTTCTGATTTACAGGGTGAAATCATTACCCCTTGTACTACACACTTTTCAAGCAATCCTCTCGGCCGCTACTGAAGTACTCCACGTTCTCGGTTTCTTCAGTGGTATACGTTATGTCGATTCGTACCAGCCGGTCTATTCTGTGTTTGTACACTTCTTTGACAAACGTTTTATTTGCACGATCTTGTTTCTCGTAGTACGTCGTCCTTTTTACCAGTCCATCTGGCATCACATAGTCAGCGTAACATTCTTTGATGGCGTTTGAGTACATGACAACTTTCTTACCGGCCGGGTACTTCATTAGGTATCCTAAACAACAACATTATAATACCAAGTACAATAGACCCTTATAACGTTCCAAACCTTCCTTCAAATTTTCCAATATACCCTTTGTTTATGTCATTACTCATTTTACAATATTAAACAATATTCAAATTTTTACTTTTATAAATATTTTTTAGAGCTTTATCAACTTTTTAAACATGTCTCTTTAGTTGAATTCTCAAAATGAGAATAATTTACTGAACAATTTAAATGGTCGATACCAGTTTTGAGTAATTATTTTTACAGTTACTTAAGTACAAAATTTAAGACGGGAGGTGGAGTGCGGTTGAGAAATGCGCGCAGATAAAAATAACTCCAAATTCCATCCTTCTTCTCGTCCTAATTTTTATACTTTAATTTCCAAAAGAAAAACTATTTTAATTATTTCAATCATCAGAAAACTGGTGTAAGGCATTAAGAGAATCACCCGGTATATGTAGATAAATATATATACCTACATAGTTATAACATAACTTATATTAAATACATAAAATCGAACGCTTACTGTGTCTTGGGACTTGTAAAATGTTTACCCACGAGCTAGGCATGAACAAATGCGTGTAAACATCATTTGTGTTGTCTTGCTTAAGCGGTAGCCGTCGTAGATGCGTGGGCTCGTCCACTAAAAAATGTTCCCAACATTTGGTGTTCATTAACGTATAGTTGTATTGCTGTAAATAAAAAAAAAATTATCACATTTGTGCGATGCTCGATTTTTGGTTTCGTTTAAATAATTAACTCAAAATTACTAGTAATTGCTAAACTAACTAAACTACTAACGATTATCTACAAAAAAAAAATCAAGAATGACTGTTTTGAACTTCTGGTCGTTACTCCGTATTAGTAATTAGAACACATTACATACACTCAGTTAGCATTTTTTTAATACCTACTCTAGAATAGCCCAAATCACAGACAGTTTATACATTTGTATTTAACATAGTTTATGTCACATTAAAAAAGTATTTTAATCTCTAAGAGATCGCATCCGAGAACTATTATTTTCATAATTAACAAATAAATAATGTGTTGGCACTTGAAGTAATTGATTGCAAAAATCCTAACAGCTTATCATAGCTTAACAGCTCACTGATGAAAAACAGGTACCCACTTAAGCATATTTTGATAATAATTATTGTAAACATACCATGCAACCTCCGTCCAAAGGTTGTAAGTTAACCCAATAATTTTGATGGTTCCACATTGCTTCTATTCCAATGTATTTTCTATTCGAAATGTTACAGCGTTCTCCCGTGCTGGGTTCGATGAAGAAAGTGTCTCTGCTAACATAATGGTCTTTGATTTTCAACGGCAAAATCATTACCCAACAGTGTACACGTCGCCCGTGTAACGGATCGTAAACGTGCATTTCATTTTCCTGAGATTAATCATTGTCACAAAAAAATATTAGTCACATAGATACTTGAAAAAGCTTATTATTTAGGTAGACACGGGCGTTCAATAAGAATACAGGTAAATTACTACTCTCCAGCCGCGGCTGTACTTTTAGTACACTGGTTCACTAAATAGTAGTAAATAATTTAAACTATGTAACCATTATTTTTATTTAGATCTGAATACAATTGGGGGAATTGCATGCGGTCTGTTTTTAAAGAGAATTCTACAGGCAATATTTAAGAAAAAAAGAGGTTTTTTAATACATTTTGACCATGTTAATTAATTTTTCGGTTAATTTGTATAAGCTTTAAGGTATTATTTTTAAATTATATGATTATTTTCTTTGAGTAAAAGTAATTTTGGCTTATTTTTGACCAAAAAGCTAAATGAAATTTCGACTACCTAGGATGGTCCAATTTCAATACTGCAAAGAGATTCGAGTTCTTTGGCTATAATATGTAGGAAGCCGATTTTTATTTCAAAATTTCAGTTTCTAGTAATTACATAAATTAAGTTTTCAATATTAAAACCTAACTTTTTTTTAGATAAAAAAAAAAAATCCGTTTCTTACATAACCTATTAAAGTTGCCAAAGAAATTTTTACAAAATTTCAAACGGACCATCTTAAGTAGTCAAAATGTTGTCTGACTTTTGGTCTGTAACGTCAATAAAATAGATCGCATGTAATCCTATTAAATTGATGTCATATTTGTATCATATTCAATCTAATATATAGTTGTAATTGTAATGATTTGCAAATGAAAAATCACCCCATAGTCTTCATCTTAATTATTTGGAGTCGGCCAAAAAGATCCCCCCCTCTTTTGGGTTTTATGTTAAACGCGGACGCCCTTGTTTGGTTATAAAAAATGCGTATATAGTTAAGGAAAACCTCTTTTGTTTCTTGAACGACGTTATATGCTTTTCTTTCTTCTTCTATCAATGTTGTCACGTATTCGCTGCAAAGATCGATTGGAGGGTCTACTGAGTATTCCTCGTCCACATCTTCAAGTTGTGCAATATTAGCTTCGTGGAGATCCTGATAAATGAATACATTAATGAGAACAAATACGCTTGCCAAGTCGAGGTCGGCTAGTAGACTTTCTTGATTTTTAATTTTTGGAGAATTATTTCAATTATATATATTATTATTAAACAATTAATTTAAAAAATGTGAACATTTATGCCCCCCCCCCCCAATAAGGTGAGGAAATGTGTTTTATGATATACAACTTTAAAGCCCTGTAGTGAATTAACTATATCAGACAAAGTTTTGAAACTCTACATTGGCTAAAGAAAATTGTAGTAAAAATTGACAATTTTTTTAATCATAAAAAACTAAAGAAATGTATTTTTAATTTTTTAAATTTGTGTTTTGTATCTTTTTGACGAACTCTTTCTAATAAGCTCAAAGTCGACTTTATAGCTTTTATAGTTTAAGATAAAATTGAAATTAAGCATTTATAAGATGCAACAAGCAGACTTTTTTCAAATTAAAATCTTTATACCACATGGATATGAAATCCTATTTACCTGTGTATACCTTTATTATCTTACATTAAAGCTAAGACAATTTCTATACAGTCTTCTCTTAATAAACTAATAAATTCAAAATTAACTAAATAATAAATACTTGTTTATATTATCTTTATATTTAGTAATTAATGGTACGAAATTTTTCTTGGGGATTTAGCGAGGGTGGGGAACTGATACAGGGGTGGGGGCCTGTATACACCTTTAAAACGCACCTGAAGACAAATATCTAAATATCTATCTTCTCACTATTAGTGTGTAGCATTTTAATTTTTCCTATTCGCAACAAACCCTTAAAGTTATCAACATAATTTTTTTTTTTCAATTTCAATAACCATTCTTGATATTTTAAAAATCAAAAAAGTAATAACAAATTTCTAAATCGATATACGTTTCGTTCGTCTGGAAAATCTAGCACGACGTTTGTGAGGTTGTTGGTACAGACTTCTTGTTCGGCATAACCTTGCACGACAAAAGCGTTGTACCCGCGGCCTATCAAGAACGAAGCCAACAGCGTGGCCATTTCGAAGCAGTTGCCCGTTTGTATTTCCAACACCATAGCCGGCGATATCATTTGTTTTGGCTGGAAAATAAACGATGCAACGAGTTACACCCGGACGAGTAGATCAATTATTTCAGTCATAGACCAGACATATAGTAAGTAATCGTTTACCACCACGACGGGATTGTCTAACGGCTTGTATGTTATGTGCTGGGCGACGAACATGCTGTAACTGTCAAGATCGTCCAAGTCGCTGTAGACCAATCTGGACGGTTTGATGGTAGTGCAAATGCATTTCTGAAATAATCACCAGCAATCAATAAAATGTATATCTTATGCGAGCAACTAATTGTTTGTCGAGCCTAACCGACCTGGTAACCGCATTCGTTTTCGTGGACCAACAACAGTTGCCGTCTATGAGAGTGCTTGGCATCGAACTGCTTAATGAAATTATCCGCGTACAAAAGAACAAGTTTCTCCATATTCGTGTTCTTCACATACAAATCCGGAATGTTTTCCCTATAACAATACAACAACAATCGAGAATAGCTAGTGAAGAAACAGTCACGTCAGACAATAAGGGTGTAATGAGATCGGTATAATATGCGGTTTGGATTTCCATCTTAACCTAACCTAACTTAACTTATCTTATGGTGTTATATCAGTTTATACAATAATTTTACTCGTCCGGATAGCGAATATATTTAATCGCTATATTAAAAGAATATTTCACACAACATTGTACAATAAGATTAAAAAAAAAATGTTCGAACACCATAGTAAAAACTGTCTTGCTAAACCTGGAAAAGGAGATTTTGATGTTTTGAAAAAGAATAAAACACCTCAAGTATGTCCCAACTTTTATAAAATGCTCCAACTTGCATTAACACTTCCCATTAGTTTTGCTACATATAAGAGGAGCTTCTCAGCTATGCGGAAAATTAAATCCTGGTTAAGGACATCAGCTATGGAACAGAATCTATACTATATATTAAAAATATACAGAATCTTTCTATACTATATATTAAAAATTTAATTACTCAAGCACTTAATTGTGAAACGATCTTCAATACATTTTCTAAAGAATGCAATAGAATAATCAATTTATAATATGTAACGACTGTTTAAATTCATTCATCAAATTGGTATGTTGCGTTAAAATGTGTCTGTTTGCTACACCTAAAATAAAAAATTTAAGCCCTTCCAAATATTAGATAGGATCTCACCTTATAATCGCATGATGACAGTTTTGAGCATTCAATGGCCCGTTAAGCTACACGATGATGATATAATTAATTTAGAGAAAGGGATTTTAATTAAAAATAACACAATGCAACATTTTATTTTTTTTAAATCATGTGCAAAACTGGAAGGAGTGCCTTCTTAAACTTAAGACCGTCCAATGTACCAATCACGTGCAATCTCAAATCGATGAGGTGCTATTTAAGGTACCTAATGAACCAAAAAAAAAAACAAATTCCTACTTTCTTAGTTCCATATAAAATTTAAAAAACTATAAATTTTTTAACTTCGACTACAAGTCATAATATTATATTCTAAAGACGAAAATAATAAAATATAATGAATTAGATAGGGACCTAGGGTTTTTTAATGCATATTCGAGTGCACTACGTTTGTCCATTTGGATTATTATGTACAAATTAATCGCGTTGACTTACTGGTTTAACAAACATTTTTGTAAGACTTCCGGCCATACGAGTTCGACTTCGGCAATTTTGAACTTGGCTTCTTCTAAGGCATCGACGTACCGCTTTTCAGCCGACCGGTCACCAATGTCTTCATTCAAGTCGCTCAGTAGTAACAACCGTGAGGTCGCATTCTCTTCTTCGTGGTACTCCTCGTTGGCTACAAGCTCGCCCACTTGTGCTTGCAGGTTTTCATCAAACACTGTAATAACCTCGTAGCTGGCACACGAATCAGATTGAGCGTCTTCGTCATTTTTGTAATCGTAGTCAATGTCATTGTCCTCTAGTTGTTCATCGTTAAACGCAGATGGATACTGGGACTCCACGTCTTCCAGAATCCAATCTAAAGACTCTACATCCATTTTAACGCTACAATAACGTTATTTCATACTGTACACTGTTAAACATAGTATACTAGCAGATAGCGCACATACGACGTTGATTGTTGCTAGGCTTTTAAAAATTTGCGTTGTTTGATCCATATGGGTGGATATTGGTTAATTACATTCAGTCGCATAGAATAAGATATCACGATTACAATGACATAACTAGACACTTGGGGGACCTTAAACGTGTTTTTCTCAAAAAAGAAATATTCCATACACCGCACCGTACAATACCACAATGTAGCACAATGAATTTTAATCCAATTGATTACTTAATTATTAATAAATACTGTTTTTTAGACATTTTTTTATACATAAATTAGGCATTTTCGTTAAAAATCACAAAATCGAAAGACCAAATTCAAGCAGCTGTATCGCCGCCATTTTTTCTATATGATTTTTTATTTTTGTAAAATACTTTAAGTGGTGTAATTTAATGATGTAATTTATTTTATTTTAATAAATCGTACCATTTAAAAAAAAAAAAATTCTGGAAAAAATGTAATAATTGTATTATTATGAAATTGAATCGTTTATCATTAATCTATCATGGTATAAAATTAATTTAAATAGTGTTTTCATGTCAGCAAAAAAAAACGAATCAACGGTTTGTATTTAGTGAATTTTTTTTTCTCAAGTCAGATTTATTTATATCACCGAAAAATCTTTAAAGAACATACTGGGTAGGTATACACGTACTGGGTAGGTACACCATGATAGACATGTATACAGAATATTTACAAAATATTTGATTTTCATCTCCTGCGAGAAGACCCCTGTCCTGGACTAAGAAAATTTGACCAAGTCATACGACTTAGTTGCCTTGTCTTGTCAGTATAAAACTGTACAAATGTTCGTTATTGTAGGCAAAAATCACTTACAAAACATGTACCTATGTATATTCAAATATGTAACAAAGATATTTCAGCATAGGAATGAAATGTAAATAATAAATTGTAAAGATTGGTAAATTTATTTTTAAATCGCCTCCAAAAATGAAAACCACATACAAAACGAAAATAGGAATTAACTTTTGTGTGTTAAAGAACGACGAAATATATTTGTAATCAACAAGTTTTTTACGTATTTATATAGGACTAAAAAATACATTTACTAAGTCTCAGAAGTAAATTTTAAATTCTGGCTTGTTAGTTACATAATAAAAAAAATAAAATCCTTCTACAAGTATACCGGGAAGTAACACAGTCAATATAAACCAACTATTTGAACTAGAAATGATTACCTTTATTTCACTTAAAATTACAAAAAAAAAAGTGTTTTAATCGTTGTAGATAAACTTTGAATTATTAAATCATTAAGCTTTTAACTTTTTTTTTCAAAATACATTAAAACAAAATGTTAAACAACAAAATAACACCGTTGGTTCTCGATCGACTTGTAGAAAGATTTTAAGTTATCCGCTTTAAAGCATTTGGCTTACAACTTGAGTCGGTAACGTGGAATGGTAACCAGTTGGAATTTATTGGAAAAAATTCCACATTTTATACGTTTGACGGGTTATTATGTTATAAAACAAATATTTCAGGCTGTCCTGTATATAATGTTGAAAAATCAATGTAACTTGGTCTCTAAAAGCTCTACATACATTTATCTACGTCTCTTTTATCTTTAAAATATTGAACGGTAGCATTGATAGTCCGAACTATTGGAAAAACTTTTATTCATTATTTTAAAAACAATGATTTTATAAAAAAAAACAATGACTTACTAGGGCAAGTTCTTGTATAAAAAACAAAAATGACATAAATAGTCGAGACAAGATTTAATGTAACCGTGGTTCGTTCATGAAATAATGCAACTTTTACTTAAAAATGAAGACGAATAATTCTGGTGTCGTTTTTGGATCTTTTTCGTGGGACCGACCACCGACTCTTTGTGCTGTTGTTCTAAGTGGCTTAGGTCTAATCGCTGAGACTGCTCCTGTAGAACAAGAATACATAATATTATCATCTGAAAAGTTGATGGATGATTTATTTAATTAATTTATATATTAGGGTACCCTCCTCTCAATATTGACTTCGATGCGATATTTTTTTATTGTCTATAAAAACATAAGTATGCCAAATTTTAACTGAATTAAACGATGAGAAAACATGCTAAAAGTCTTATTAGCAACTAATAGACGGCAGAAGGGCTCAACTTAAGGAGGGTAGATCACAATAAAATATGATATTTTTGACATGTAGTGTATTTTGGGAACCAGCCAATCTAAACAAAGTAACTGCATTTCGTGTATACTAAAACCACATACAAATTATATGCCAAAAAAAAAATTAATTTTGTTTGTTGCCCAGTGTAATTAAAAAAATTGTTTATAATAAAAATGAATACTAATATACCTAAGCTCAATTAGACAATAACATACATTTATATATAAAATGTACACATGATGTAAAAGTATATAATACTTATTAAACTAAGGTGTTGTTGATGCTAAAATATTGAGTTAGTTTAATACTTACAATGTAATATTACATAATATCATAATATGTAGAATTAATAACCTCTATCATGTTATATTTAACTTATATATTATATACTCATATATTTTAAGTACACTTTTGTATTCATATAAATGTTTTGATTACACAAATTTATTTTGTCATTTTGTTTCAAAATAATTGTGTACGAATTTATTAATATTTCGTTTTATTTTACTAAAAATAAAACGGTTAAATCAAAATTTAATATATGATTTTAAAACTAATTATACGGTTAATTTAATCGATCTCCGTCGATTTAACACATTAAGTTAGGCCTACGTTCGTAAACAAAGTCAAATTTTAGCGGATGTTATATAATATAATAAATAAGTGTTGTATACGATTTGCTAGTTACATAATATTACACCTTATAACACAGCCACATATAACACATATAACAGCCCTTATAACACATACAAAAGTTGGATCTTCGACAGACTCTACAAATTAATTCCTATGTCGTGTGAATCTAAGGTCGAAATTTTGCTCCCATTTTCAACATAACTTACCCTGAAGCGAGTGGTTAAGAGGACGCCACACCGGGTATTTCTAAGGAGTAAAGTATAGGCAATTTTTCGAAAAATATTAATTTAGAGTTTAAACTATAATGTATACTTATTAATACAGTAATGAGGATACTTTGTTATTTGCCATTTTTTTTGCCAGACCATCAGTCATTTCTATAGAATAAAATACAATTTGTCAAAACTGCTTTGCGCTGATTTATTTTCTCAGGCTTCATACATAGTTAAGGAAAGAAATTCATACATATTATTTATGACAAAATGATCTGTGTTCCATCATCCGTATTTTTTTTATATACCTAATACAACCAACGCTATATCATTGTTAAAAAAGTAAAAATAGTCCTTTCTTAATTAATTAATTATTCATAAACTGGTTGAAATATTAAAAAAGGGGCGATGGTAGAACACAGACAATGTTGTTGTCTATAATATGTAAAAATTTGGTTTTTTAGTTTTGATTATTATTATTGTCTTTGTAAAATTAATCCGCGCAAGGCGGGTTTTTTGAAGAAAATAACGGGTGTGTGACGACGTCCTCTTAAGCGGATCAAACTAGATTTTCATATATTTTGCTGTAATCTCCAAATGTTGATTCAATATTCGGATTCAGTGGCTCAAAACACATAGGAATTCACTAGTCGAGTCCATCGGATATCCAACTTTTTTCATTTTCTGTTGCTGTGTAATACTAGTTATAATTATGACGGATAGGCAACTCAATACACACTATTGTCAAGATATTTTATTATGGCAACTTCACACTCATAGAATTTGACTGTCTGGTATAAAGTTGTTTTACCGCATCTTACATAGGCATTATGTAGTTAAAGAATACAGGTAGAAACTTTGTCTTCAGTCATTCAGTTGTTTAGAGGTTATATCATTAACAACATTCAGTAGAAAATTATAAGAGCAAGCAAATTTGATCATGGGACACTTCTATTTAAATTACATAAATTACTAGAATAAAACACATTGAAATGTAGTGTAAACTAGGTTATTAGATTTAAAGATAATTTGTGTTGTAATAAAAATGATCATACTGAGGTTGTATTTTAAATAATCATAATAAGATCGTTTTCCTTTGAACAAATAAAAAGTATATATAATGCAATTAGTACTTACCTAAAATGTTTGTATGATTATCAAAACAGACTTCGGATTTCTCACAAATTTTTAGTACACTTTTTTCCTTATGATCCATCATAATTATTTCTTATTTTCATAAAATATTTTTTTTCAAATATCGAATGATATACATTATTTCATGACTTGTATTGAAATATAATTTAATATTATGTTGTGATTTATATATATATATATATTTATATTTATTAATAATAACAGCTATGAAGTAGATAAATTTAAAAATATTGCAAGTATATTAGTATTAATATGAATGAAGAAAAAATTACATTTTATAAATAATAATATAAGGGCATTAATATAGGGGCTAACCAAATAACAACAATGAACTTGAGTTTTAAAACCATTTAAGGTATCCTGAATATTTTAGTACATAACAGATTGGGAATTTTATTTATCTTTACATGACGCATTTAAACAAATTTGCATTTTCATTTTTTCCTTATAATTACTACATTAAAACAAATTAAACTGCTAATATCACAACTTACTACATATAGATACCACAAAAAGTGAAGAAGACTTAATCAAATGAATGAAAAGATTTGAAACTACTGACCTACCTTTATTATTTTGGATGAACTTGATGCTGAATTAGAAAAAGGTCTCTAGGAGAAATAAATCAAAGATACTCATCATATTTTTTTTTAGCAACACTTTCCCCCTCTGAATTGGATCTGTGTGCGAATTAACTAGGCAAAATATATCCCAATGATTTAGATACAAGTTTTTCAAATTAATGTCAACATTTTTCTAATTACCAGCTAATTATAAAACAACAATCTTCGGTTGAGATATTACTTACCACATAACAATATGAACAATAATGGTGGTTATCTACTGCAACCATTATTCTTGTGAAAGTAATACACAGTATTAATGTACGTCAGATTTTTAATATCGGTCACCATATAGTCTATGTTGTAATAATATGATAGCTAAGGTCTGATTTCACCAACGATATTTATTTCAGTTAGCCGTTAACCAGCCAATTTTGTACGATTAATGTCTAACAACCATAGTTAATATCACACCTAAGTATAATTTTACCAAATAATGTAAGTATTGATCAGTAGTATACTTCTGTAAGAAACTGTAGTAAAAAAAATAGCAATAATGGAAAAAGTGTATTGTGAGATCAATAGAATTGAGTTGTTATTGTAAAATTTGTATTATACATAGCCCTTGTATTTGACTTAATAAATTATTATAGTATAATTATTTTTATTTTGTCTAAGACATGTTCAATGGTCAGCTAAAATCTTCCGCTTCAGTCTACATTAAATCTAAGAAATATATTCCAAAACAGGTACAAGATCCACACACTTTAAAATAGTAATGTAAAATTAATCAATATGTATATATTTTTTTACATATTTTGAAATAAGATAAGGGGAAGTCTATTATTTAAGAAAGTATGTAAGTAGATTCAAAACCTTAAATTATTATTTTTTATAGTAATATTTCTATAATAATATTTAAAGTTGTATATATTTTTCCGTACTGTATTACACTTACTGTGTTTCCCTACTAGTGTTAAATATTATATACTACTGATCATAATATTATAACAAATTATATCACAATAAATATATTGAAGGAAATATTATAATATGCAAACATCATATTTTATACAAACTGTTTACGATTTTAGTTCAGATGGTATAAATTTTATTAATTGAAATGGGAAATCCCCAATCATGTATAATTGTATATATTCATTTATATATTTATCTTTAACAAATAATAAAAAAAAATCAATTATATACATTAGATGCCTTTCTCAGTGAAGGCAATAGTATCATGAAAATTCATTCCAAAAATCAAAATGACAAAAGGTATACACAGTATAGTCTACTAAATTGTAATAGTATTACTTAATAATCAACATGATTTGAAATACTTAAATGTCGATTTAATGTAATTAGGTTTTTTTTCTTACAAATATAACACAATCACAATGTGTAATTTTTCTATTTTTTTTTTTTATACTTATAATAGTAGTGTTTTTATATAAGAATGATTAGAAATAGTTTGAGGAGCATAGACGGAATAAAGCACGCCTATAATGGATCCAGTCAATTAAGAATACGTTCAGTTGCGTCTGTAAGGATGATACGGTTGTGCTTGGTTTGAGTTAAAATTATTCGCTCTCGTCGGTCCTGGGGCGTTATTGTACGTCGCCGCCGGTACACCGGCAGGAACGTTTGGCGTCACTACTGGGGCCACTAAATAATTATAGAAAGTTGTACATTTAAAACCTAGTTGAAAAAAATTGATTCTTTTTTTTTTATTAACAAAAAAAAGATAGAAAAAGAATAGGCAACACTGCAAGTGAGAAATATATATATACATATACATATATTTATAATTATGTGTGCATAAATATATAAATAAATACATAAACGTGTGTGTATATATATATATATATATATATTTACATTTTTTTTTATTAATAACAATAATAAAACAATGGCCGACTTTCATAACTGAATGACATACTTTACAAGTTTCAAATAATCGAGAATTATATGGAATAATAATAATACGTGAATTTAGAAAAGGAGGAAAAATTAAAGAAATTGTTACTACAATATTGTACTCGCAATGTCGCCCAATTTCAAATAGGAAGGGAACAAATTAATAATGGAAACTCAATATACTGTATTTCTTTTCAATTTTTAAACAATTTTTATTATCATCATCATCATTATTATTATATTATATTATTATTATTATTTTGTTTTAAATCACGCCAAAAGCGACCATCTACATCAATGAAAAACACTAACTGACAATAAATAATAGGATTCTTTCTCAAAATAAAAATTGTTACAGGCTAAGTATTAATAATAAAGCTCAAATTTGTTTATCCATAAATAATTAAACATTCATAAATAATAAATAAAACGAGAAATATATAAATAAATATCTATATAAATATTTTAGTATTTTTGTCACAGGTTAAAAAAGTTCTCAATCGTGTCCTATTCGTCGAATATATAAAATGTCTCGATAAAAAAAAAAAAAATCAATAATTAAAACAAATTCTTATTTAAAACCATAACAACTGTAAACCTAGACTTATTTTGTACAAAAAATATGCTTATAACTCATCACATTTAAGTCATTTATTCTTTAAAAATATAAGTTTTGGTAAAAATCGTTTTTTGAGAAGATTATTCTCAAAAAGCAAAAATTATTTCTAAGAAATTGTTATCCTATAATAAGTAAATACAGATAATATTATTTAAGTTTATCCACTAGTTGTGTAATCTTACTTTTATTCATAATTTTAAAAATAGTGACTTTATAAAAAAAACAAAAAAAAAAAAAAAAAACAGTAACTTACTAGGACGAGTTTTTATATAAAAAAAAAAAATAATGACATAAATAGTCGGGACAAGATTTAAAGTAACCTTGACTTATTCATTAAATAATTCAACTTTTACTTAAAAATGAAAACAACACTTATTTTTTAAACGATTCGAGAATCTTCCTTAAGCCTGTATGTACATTAAAAAAGTTTTTACCAATTAATCAGTCCTGTGGTTTTTAGCTATCTATTACAATGTGATTTTTAACAGTAATTTAATAAACCTAAGAACTTGAAATTACCCGAATTTTGTAATATTATGTATATTCCTTAACCCGATTCCCTTCACACTAAGTTATAAAATAATTATAATCGAAATATTTTAAATGTACTGCCTAGTCTCACTTTTGGTTTCACCTTAATAAACATGGTGCCGTTATTTTTACTTAAGTCCAAAGAAAAAAAAAAACAAACTATGATAACAATTGTCATATGTCTAAAAGAAAATAAACAGGCTAAATTATAAAATATAAAAAAAAAAAAAACCATTAGAATCTAGGGACATAATAAATAGTTACGCTAAGTTCCATTTGTTAATCGAGTATAAGTTAAATATTATGTAGTAATTATAAATAAGTTGTATTAATATAGATATTTAATATATAATTCTATTATATACGTAAGAATTACAAATATTAATCGATACTATAGTATTCCTAATATTTTATTTTATATAAGTTATATTATTTTAATTGTTTCGTTATTATTATAATAATGTGTTACCCAAACCAGTGAATATTGAGAGAAGAGTTAATTGATTTCAATCAGTCATGAAGTGGGCCATTCTTTAAAGTCAAATGGCTTACCATACCCACCGCCAGACCCGAGACCAGCGGCTGTGCCGTCCGCCCCTCTATAAGTTTGGCCTGCACCATAGCTGGTCGAATCCTAAAAATATAATTTACTCCAGTATTAACCTATATAAACTTATATCTAAGTAACACCACAACTACAACTAACTACAAAAAATAAATATATATATATTATAATATATAAACAAAAAAGAAATTATTTTAATAAAATAATTATTGAACATCTGCCTTACAAAACAAACATTTTACAATAAAAAACTGCAACATATATACATAAAACCATTAGTTATAAAAATAATTTAAGTTTTTACTATAAATTAGTTTAATCAAATCCAGTTTTTATAATAAAAAAATATGTATAAACAAATAAAAAAATTCAATTCAACAACTGTTATCCCTTTTTGCCAACTACTTATAATTTAAAGTACTTAATTACATTAAATTAACAAATATAAATATTCAATTAAATAGGTTGACAAAAAGAGTTAAACTTAGTAATCTAAGGAAAAAATCTATTTTGGAAGGCAGTATCATTTTTGAAAATTAAATTCAATAGCAATTACAGAACTAGTGCAAATTGTACGGCTCTTGTTTTTAACCTTTAAATTTTTACTATACAATTTGTAACACAACTAATATCATTACACATAAATCAATATATTTTTTTTAATACTATTGCCATTTATTACTATATAATATCAACCTAAAATAATTATCTTAAAATAACTTCCATTATAATTAATTTACATGTAACTAACTTATGTAAATTAAAATTAAAAATTAAACTTGTAATGAAATTACACCATAAATGTTTTGTATATTGATATGTACAGATTTTTTATACTATTAAATTTAACAAAATGAATAATAATAAACTGTTAATAGATGAGAAAACTTAATGTTACAGTAAGTACTAATTAAATAAGATTATTTGAAAATTTTAATCTTCACTGCATAAATTGTTTTAGAGAAATAAAAACAGTTTACTTTTAAATTTGTTTACAACAGTATACATTATACATTTTGCGCTACAGGACTAGGTCAATGCTTTTAGTAGAACAAAATTGTACAATAGAAGCTAGTATTTAGCCAGTGGCGCAGTTGACTATCTTCATATTATTGTAGGACAGGTGCTTTAAAACCTTAAACCCCCATTTAGAACCATGAGCCCAACTGTACAAAATAACCAAAAGTGACCCGTCGAAGCTAGTTAAAAGATCTTGAAGGGGATTTGGTTCATCCAAGTTAGCTTCTCTACTTGTGCCACTGTATTTAACCTTCACTTCTTATTATTTCCATACATACATATTTAAATCAGGACTTAGAATCGAAAATACTTAATTCTAGTTTTTTTTCTAACAACTGAAGACCTAATTGTATAGTTCATTAAAAAAAAAAAAAAAAATAACAACACAGCACCACAAAACGGGTATTTTGATATACCTGTTCAAGGGTATATCAAAATACTTAACACAAAACTGAAAAAAAACTTTTTTATTTCCTGTATTTATTATTTTAGTTTTGTGTATAGAGTTAATTCAGGTTCAAAGCACTGATTTAGCCTGAAGTGTAGTGAATGACATTGTAGAAAACTTTATAAAACCTAATGTAGGTAATATTCTTTTACTTGTACAAATACCTGATTAGGTTAGTAACGGTAACTGCCAAATATTCATGAAAATAATACATAGAAATGTATCATTTATAGAAATAGTTAGAATTTATTAAGTTTAACTAAATGTTATGACTTATCCACTACCAGTTGTATATAAAAAACTAATCTCAAATATCTGAAATTTAACTGCAGGGGCATCATCATTCAGTTTCTAAAAAAAAAACTACGGTTTTTGTGTGAACACTATTGTTAACATTAAAATATCACTTAGTTAAGTTATTATTTTTATATCATTCAATGTAAACACTAACTTGATAAAATTATCAACTTTAAAAAATGGTAAGATAATTAGAAATTTCTTAATGATAAGATGTTTTTATAACTATTAATATACAGCAGAACAAACAATTTGTGTTATCTAAGTATACCATAACCATTTATTATAATAATATAATTATGTAACACAAATGGTCTCTTTAAATTATTCAAGTTATTGATGTTCAATGATATGTGTAAAAGGTAATTAAAAAAGTTATTTCATTTCATAATTTCAAAAAGTATAAAAAAGTAAGTTATTTTATTTGGTTTTCAACCAACATTCATAAAAAAGAATTGGAAATTAATTTCAAACGTCAATACTAATTGAAAAAATTAAATCGTTTTACAGTTTAATTCTCACATAAATGTATAAAAAAATAATGATAAAAATTTCAAGTTTTTAAACCAAATAACCATACAATTTACAATGTCCACTTAATAAAATTTTAAGAAAATTCTACTAAAAACATTTAAAGCAACACCACAAATATGTATAACTTATATGAAGGAACTATCAAGTCTTTACTATCATACCTGTTGATAGCCAGTGTAACTTCCATAACCAGTGTAATCACCCGCTTTTTGTGGTGCTGTTCCAGGTGGCGTAGGGCCAGTAGCTGGGGCTGCTCCTGCAGAACGAGAATACATATCATCTGAAACGTTGATAGATGTATAAATTCAACACCTAAATACACCATTTGTACATGCAATAGAAACACTTACTTTGTGGGCCAGGACCAGTTTGTCCGGGTGGTCCAGTAGCTGCTGCGGGTCCATTTTGAGGCATATTCCAATTCCAATTATTACCATAACTCGATTGTGGGGGTGCTTGAGGTGCTTTAATAAATACAACAAAAATGTTAATGACAAAAATAATACAATTTTACCATGTTACAATCAATTAACTACCATAAGATCCATATCCAGGCTGTTGAGGCGGGTAGTTTGATCCCCATGTTGGAGGTGCCATCCCTTGGCCTTGGGGTCCAGGGGGTGCTCCCCAACCTTGAAATCCGCCAGGTCCAGATGGAGTACCATATCCAGGGTATTGTGATTGCGGTGTAGAATTCCATCCTCCTTGATACCCTTGCATCATACTACCAGGTCCCATGGGTCCCATTCCACCCATGGGGCCACCCATTTGTCCTCCTGGACCACCCATTCCCATTCCCTATAAAAAAAATAATGAATAAGATTTAATATTTAAGACATTAAATCACTACTAATTTAATTTTTTACTAACCCCCATAGCTAAGTGATTGTTTTGATTCATGCCCCATTGGTTGGCACCGACATCGTTCATTTTATTTGAGTCTCTTGGTTCAGCTTTTTTAATTTCAACCTGAAACATAATATTATGGAATAATCACAATGTTTTTTTTATTTTAAAAAGGCAGTTTATTTATATTAATTCAGAGTTGCAACCAGGAAGGATTGATGTCATAAAATAATAATCGTTCTTAACATGATGCACACCTTTCCCAAAAAGATATATTGGATATGACACTATAGTTACAATTATATAGATATAAATATTTATCAGCTATTATAATTTACTTGGCTTAGGCTAAATTAATATAAAAAGTAAAAACCAATCAAAATTAAATATATCCATCCAAATTAATTACTAATATGTATTTTATTGGTGGTTCTTATTTCAATTTTTGTATTTGACCTCTGATCAATTTTTTTAATATCTTTAATATTTTCAAAATACCATAGTGATTTATTAACAACAGAACGAAAAAAATATATTGAAATACCTAGGAATGAAAACTTAACTAAAAACAACTATTTCAAGTATTTTGACCCAAATTAGGGATATTAGTTAACAAATAATCAATTTTTTAATTTAAGTAACCGCAATTATTATAGAAATATTTTCATAATTTTTGACATTTTTCTTACGTATTTTTGGTAAAAAAATTAATTTGTACTATAACTTTCTAACACGTAATCTGACAATAGTATTGAAAACAGATAATAGATTTTCCATTACATGCTTTGTATTAAAATTTAAAGTATGCTTAGGAATATACTGTTAGAAAGAAGTATCATATAAGATGAAGACATATTGAAAAACCAAAATGAGTATTTTTAGCTGTGTTAATATATGACTATACATTTTTGCTTGGTGTTTTATTGCCTATATATTGCGCCTTAATAAATAATAGTAAAGAGGCCCAAAAAATGTTATAATACAAAATTATTTGTTTTGCGGCTACTTAATCACTATGATAGATGTTTTTAAGGCTTTGAGCACGTGTTCTCATTATTCAATTCAATTAAAGTTTGCATACTTATGTTTTTAAAAACAATAAAAAAATATTAAAAGAAGGGAGGGGTCAGGTACAAAAATGTAAAATGTTTAAATAAACATCTCCTAATCTATAAAAATTAAAAACACAAATATTTGAGAAAAAACACAATTCAATAATAAAAATGAATACTAATATAAGCTAAATTAGACATTACATCAAATACATAATGTACAATATGAAAAAAGTACAAATAATTAAGTAAAAGTATATATATGTATTAAACTAAGGTGTTGTTGATACTAAAATTGAGTTGATCTAATACTTAAAATGTAATATTACACCAATGAAATATTACATGTGTATAACTAAAACCCCTATTATATTATATTTAACAGTTAACAAAAAGAATATGATGAACTAAAGGTCTTAACTTATTATAACTATTGTTATTAATATGCCAAATTTCAATGTAAACTATGTCTTGGCATTAGAATACAAAGTTTATAGTAATATCATAATTTATTAGAGATCTATCACAGAGAATATTATAAGATGTTGCCAGAACATAAAATAATATCATTGAGTATATTATTATATTGTACAACATAATATACTCATTAATAATATATAAGCAATGTAAATAATATTATTTCTACTTTTATAAATCATTATTTTTCATTTTCCTAACATTTAAAAATTAAGACATAGTTTATAAAAAATTAGGTGTTTTGGGTTAAATTATTTTAGAAACATAACCTAATTATTATTCAAGAAATAAATATTCACAGTTTAAGGCGACAGTAAAAAAAAAAAAAAGAAGTTAAGATGAAATAGGTAACTTTGAAATTTTGATTAATAGAAGAAATACTTCTTTGCATATAATTGTAATTATATATCTTAAGTTTTTAATTCAACTAGACATAATATAAAGAAAATTAAATTTCCTTGATAAAGAACATTGAAGCATCAAAATAGTGATGGTGAATTACTGTTACATATTTTTAACTAAGAGTATTTCTATGGTTAGGCGCCTCATGTATTAAGTACAATATTTGCGTTAAATATTTTAAGCTATAGAATACATATATTGGGTGGATCATAATTTGTGTAGAAATGAGGTAAGTATATTAAATATTGCTATGACGTAATATTATTTCATTGTCAAATATTGTATTTACAACTAAACTATCTTTATACCAATCAATTAATTATTGTGTACTTAACACATGTGTGCACTTAACCATTGATTTGTTAATCGTTACTATTTGTATTGTTGATTTTTTATTTATTACTTCAAAGTTACCCTATTATACTTAGTAGCATTTTTACTAATAAAATATCAATACCTGTTTGCCACTAAGGTTGACAAAATGCTCAGCTACACATCTATCAACTGCATCATCATCTTCAAACGATAAAAATCCAAATCCTAAAAATACCATTAGTTATATTTATGGTAATCACCACGCCGACACTGCTGCCTATTATTGATAATCTACTTTATTTTAATAAAAAATAGAGTATACCTAATTATTAAGAAAAAAAAATACTATTCATCCAAGTACAACAAAATTAAAAATTAATAAAAGGATATAATTTTGTTAATAATTGAATTCAGTTAAATTTCATGGAATAAACTCAGGGAATTTTTATGAACTGTAACTGACTAAAAATGCAATTATTTTATTTTATTTCAATAATAAAATGGAAAAAAATCAATGGTACTTGGGCAGCAGTGCTAAAACAATACCTCTTAATATAACAATACGTATAAATAGGTAAATAAACAAACATAAATTATACATTTTCACAATAATACCTATTATTTAAACGATACCATATAATAATGTAAGCAACATACAAAAATAATAATAGCAGATAACTGAATCAAACACAACTAATACAAATTACCTTATTTATATTAATCTAATATAGTTTTTTTACTTTCATGTTACCTTAAACTTTAATAATTGTAGATTTATTAATTGTAAAAAAATTTTCATCCTATTATTTATGTAAAATATTTATAATAATTCTATTTTATATAATTAAACTAAAAATAAACAGTAACTGTATGTAATTGTTAGGAGAAATTAAGTTTTAAAATATTAACTAAACAACAGTCAAATGATAAATTATATTATGTTATGTTTGATATTCTGTTAAATCAAAATGATAAAGATATATAATAGAATTAACTATTTAAATAGAATTGTTATTTAATGTCTTGCAACTTAACAAAATATGAGTATATTTAACTTCAAATTTGTCTCTCTCTATACATATAATATGTAGAGTAGTAGATAGTAGTTAATTTATAACAAGCCCTACCATTATGTTATAATCTTAAAATAGAATAAAATAAATACTGGTCAATTCCAACATTATATAAACTATATTATAAAAAATCTTAATGTATGATATTAATACTGTATATATAAATTGCCTTATAGTGAACTAGAATACACTTGACATAATTGAACATAATACATTTAATTTAATTTAAATAAAAAATGTTTTTATGTTTGTTTAAACCTCCAAATTGCACTTATATGTCAATAAAAAAAAATAAAATTTTGACTTACCCCTTGATTTCTTTTTCTCTTGATCATACATTATAACTACTTCCATAACTTTTCCATAACGTGAAAAAAATGTCCTCAAATCTGTTTCAGTGACATTAGAAGGCAGTCCACCTAAAAATACTTTAGGGTAGCTTGAGCTCCTTTTTGGCTTTTGTAAAGTTCTAGGGTTACATGGCTTTGGATCAATCTATAACACATATTTAAAAAAAAAATGTCCACTAGATAATAAAACCATCAACTGTTTAATAAATGAAGACTTACCGTACGACCATCTAAAACATGTGGACCATTTTGTAATACTACATTTACATTGTTTGGATCAGCAAACGTAACAAATCCAAAACCCCTTGACCGACCACTTTCACTATTTTTCATTACAACACAATCTATTACTTCACCATAACGATTGAAGTATCTTTGAAGGCTTTCTAAGAAAAACAATTATTTAACAGTTCACATTTATAATTTATTACATATTTAATATATATATATATATATATATATATATATATATATATATTATATATATTCTATATATTTATATAAATAAAAAAATACCTTGTTGAGTTTCCCAGCTGAGACCACCCACAAATAATTTTCTGAAATCAAAATAATAAATATATTATAAAAACTATATATTATACTATAAATATATTATGTATAAAACTTTTAAACTAAGCACACTAAATTGAATCATAAATAACAGGTACCATAAAAACTTTAAAACATAATTAGCACGGATGGAAAGGCAGGAATACAATTTTTTAATTTTTCACCAAGTTAATGGATTTTAGCTACACATCTAATAAAAATTAAGATAATTAATAATTACTAAAATTTAATAGCATATGATAAGAATAGGACATTGTGTTAAAGGTAGTTCATAGTTTTTAGTCGAGTGAAAAAATGTTTTAAGGTCATTTTTTGTATTTATTTTTTTATTCATCATCATCAACAGCTTAACAGGCCTTTAAAGCCCAACACTGCCATCATGAGACGATGGGTTAAATAATCCAAGCTTATGCTGGTTAATATAACCCTAACCAAAGCCTTATTAATACAAACATAACCTAAAAAACACATCAATGTTTTTAAGAAAAAACAAGATTTTATATTATATGAGATAGTGATTATTTATATATTTGATAGTTTTAATAATATCTATAAAAATATTTTATAGAAAATAATTGTATTTATCAAGACTAAATATATAAAATACCACACTTTTTTTTAAATAAAATGTTTATCAAATTATTACTTTTATTTAAATAATATAAAATACCTTAATAGATATTACTAATTATTGAACGACGTGATCTGGGAATTTAATATAAATGATAAATTATTAAGTCGTCGTACATAAGTGGCACATTAAATGAACGTTAATCATTTATATCACATTAGTGAATATTGTCTCGAGATAAAAAAATTACTAAATATTTTTCAATTATAACACTATCTTTTAAGTAAACAGTTATATTTTATATATTGTTCTTTGTATCCGATACAAAATTGAATGATTAAATACGATAATAACCAACATATTTAAACATCTAGTCGATAGTTATTTGATACCCAAAATAGATGAAAGCATAAAACTTAAACATACAGAATTTTCGAGCATAGGACATACATAGAACCTATAAAAATCAAATTTAAATCGCTTAACACGATATATTGGCAGAGCATTTTATTATAATCATTGAAAATGTAATTAGAAGAATCTTAAAGACGCAATTCATCTGCTTAAGAACGAATAACGTGGGATGACAAACATAGCCGGCAAAAACGACATGGACGAGAAAACGTAGATTCAATTCACAGAGTACAATATTGAATGTTATGCTTTGTAAAGTGCCGACTGTATGCGATCACGCCTAACTATTATCAACGGGCATACGAGACGCTTATTGAACTTATTAAATGCGTACACACAAACACACACACACACATGCACACAAATACACCGAAGGCCGGGTCCATTAGGTCAGGCTGCCGAACTTACCCTTGCTCGTCTTCTTCCAAGTCAGATTTGCCCCTCATCTTGTCGCCGTATTCTTTATACTAAATTATATAAATTATAAAAAAATATAAAATCGAATTAGTAAAAATAAAACTACAAAAGTAAACAAACGGTGTCAAAGACGTATGCGATAATTATGTATTATAAGAGAATGTACAAAATAATATCAAACAAATGACTATCGTTTAATTGTCCGGTCGTCGGACATTTAACATAACGAATTGACACAAAAACACGACACGTCCGACGCAAAATGGCGTCCGCATTTTTCTCTCTCCTAAAATTTCGGCATTTCATGACACGCGACGTTGCCGCTCCGTCACACCAACCGATTGATCGCTTTTGCAATATCTTTGACCCCGGCTTCCGGCACGGCATCGGCCGCGCCATGCATCAACGCCGATTTTGTCCCCGGCTTTACTGGATTTATAATACGATCTAACCTGCAATATTTTTAATAATGACCGAAAAATCAACAATATAACAAACATCTCTAGAGTCGACGGCTTTGAACTTTTAAATAATATCATAATAATAATTTCGTGGCCGTTAACGCCATTTTGCTGTACGCTGATAACGCGACAAGGTTTGTTTTTGTCGACGGAAATGGCAACGTCGCTTACGAGCGCAACGTATTCTACCGGCCGCTTTGGTCAAACTCGACCGCGCGTTAACAACACCGTAACCCGTAGGTAACAACATATAATAACATAAATTGCCTGCCATTTTCGTGCTATGTCTATCCGGCTGTACTGTGTTTTACAGTGCAAGTAAAACATAATATTTTGCCGTCTCCACAGTCCAACGTTACCGTATCATTTTTTACAAATTACGATTTACGATATTCTGCCGTGTCTTCGCCGTTGTTAGTATCGTGCCCCAAAGTCGTTCTTGGTGTCGTTTCAATTCAACAGCCAAAAAGTGCCGCACGCTACATTTTCCGGCAATGTCCTCGTCGAACGTCGAACTGATCGATGACGATTCTGGGTAAAGTATTTTCCATTGACTCGTAGTGTAAAAAATATACCGTACACATAACCAGTGCTTATAAAGTTGATATACTGTCGCCCGTCAGTATTTGGGTTATGTTTACCGGCGTAATTAATAATGTTGTATAATATTATAATTTTTATTAGATATCCGTGTATTGTGTAAACGCGGGAATAATGTTTTGCCAAATTCCACCTAGCAGTGAGCATTCAAATTGTTTCGACTTCCCATAATGATAAATTCATTTTACAAAATTTATCAAACGCGTTACATGCGTACCTACGGACACACGGACAGTTCATTTCAATCGAAATTCGTTTCATTTATAAATCCAAGTATAGCTTCCTCTCTGAATCTGAACAATTTTGAAATTCACCACAATATTGTTAAAATTATTAAAATTGCCAATTTTAGAAAAACAATTATATCATTATAAATTTTAATGCTCAGTGTATAACATACCTAGGTTGTAGATATAAATTACAATTGTTAACTATTGTGTTGTATAGTAGTATAATGTTATTTTAATGTTAAATTTATTTACGATAATAGTATTAATTTTAAATAAATTAATGGGGAAGGGGTTAACTCATTAAGTTAAGTTTCATGAATAATCATTACAACCATATGCAACACAAACGTTTAAAAAAATTTGATTTTAGCTATTAAATCATATTTTGTTTAATTATATCCAGTTAAAATCAGATGTTTGTGGGATAACAAAGTTTTTGTATACATTTAACTACTAAATAATTTATTATTGTTGCTTTATAATATAAATGTAAACATTGTCTATTTAGAATCATATTATGTAACATGAAATTAAATAACAACTTCCAATTGGCTTCAATAGTCTAAGGTTAATTTTATTTTTCTTAATAAAAATGAAAACAATCTGGTAAAAAGCTATATAACTAATATTTTTAATAAATATTGGATTTGTTTAAATAATTTCAATAGGTTAACTTAAATGATTTAGTGTAATGCATTTGTTTGAACTAGGACTAACAAAATATGTTTGTTTTAGCATAACCATATAGTCTAATCTATTTGTTTTATTCAACACTAATGTTTTTTTTAAAAATAGCCTATAATAAATAAATAGTTTTATCATTTCTTTCATTTTTGCATACACAGTTCATTCTTGGATTTACTTTGCTAAATTAGGAATAAATTTAGTTAAAGAAAAACATTAAATCTATCAAGACACTTCACTTATAATTGCTTGCCTATTAGTTTGCTCATGTTGAAAAATATGATGTAATATAATGATTAAAGACCATTACTATTATTAAATTGTTCCTTTCAAGTGCTGAATTTGCAAATAGTTAATTTGAGTTGAAAATGTAATTTCTATATTTATAATATTTATTTTAAAAGTTTAGTTTAGAGTTTTTAATTTAACCAGAAACCCATTCTCCTCATTTGGTAACAAAAAAAATCTATTTTAGAATTATGTATAGTGATGAGCCCAAATATAAGCGTATTCGATCAGAAGATGATGATTCTCGAAAAATGAATTTGACAAAAAAATCATTCAACCCAAATTGGTTGAAGTTCAGTATGTTTAAAGATTGGTTGATGCCACATAAACTATCGGATAAAGCTGTGTGCAAAGTTTGTCATTGTGTGTTAGTTGCTGGAAAAAGTGAACTTGAAAAACATTTAGCTACCCGCAAACATGAAAGAAACATGGAAAAAATCAATGGTTCCCCTGCTGAGCCCGCAGAAGATATTGAAACTTATGCCATGCCCATACTTTCAGGTAGAGTATCATACTAGGTAATTAAAATCTAGAAAACGGCTTAATTGAAACTGTCCTTCAATGTATGTAAATCTCATTAAATTATTACAACATATTTTAACATTAGTGTTTTAAAAAAAATATTAGTGCAATTAAGTGATAATAAATTTAACTCATTTATGCACAGATTGTATTAAAAATTGAGGCTGAATGGGTCTAAAATATAATTATTAAGTTGTCAAACAAAATCATTTTAAGTATTTAACCAGGTAATTTGATTTAGTAACATATTTTTAACATCTTACAAAAAGATTGAAGAATTTTTACGGGTAATTATTTATGTGATACAATATTATTATTATTTAGTAATGAAACTTGTAGTTAGCAAAAACTGTTTATAAAATATGTAAGTATATGTTTTGGTAACTCACTTTGATTATTGATAAATATTACAAGTAGTATATTCTGAAATTAAACCATATTTTTTTGCCAAAATAAATTAAAAATAATAAATAAAAAGGTACTTTTGGATTATTTTGAACTTCTCAAAAAAGCTTTTGTATTGCATTGGGCTTTTACAAATAAGTATTATATAGTTTAGTCTGAAAATATATTCTGTTTTAAAATAAGGAAATAATTGAATATTATTTTACAATTTATTTTATCAAGTCGTACACAGCATTGCAATGGTTTCCTTCAATTTGGCCAACTGTAATAATTAATTATTAACAGTTATAAATAGTTCTTGTTCATACTATATATATAGTATTTTTTGAATTGTTTTCTTTAGTAAAAAGTTTTGTTTTAAATGTTGTAAACCACTCGGCAATTGTATTTATATGTGTAGCCAATTTAATGGTGCTAGACATTATGTATTATCAAACATATCAAGTTAATTTTAAGTGATTCAAATTGGATCTGTTTCCAACATTTGAATGTTGTTCTTTTTTATATTTTTATTAATTATGCCATATAGTGTTAATTAAGATAATTATTGATCTCTTTTATTCGTGCAATACCAGAATAGTGAAACTAATTAGGCTTCTTAATTAGTTTATATTATTATTTTTTGCAGCAAATGAAATTCAGTAACCTGCAGCACTTAGGGGAACTTGTGGTATTTGTGCATTAAGCGACGTATACATCCTTTGTATTGAGTAATAAGAACTATTATTATAAGAATATTGATCTTTAAATAATTCAATGTCCAACGACCAACAACACGAAGAATACACTATCATAACATCAACAGGATCTAACAACCGTGGTCAAATGTCTCAGCCACATCTTACATTTACACCGCCTACTCAAATCTTTCGTTCTGAATGGCAACGTTTCCCTGAATTTCATGCTTGGCTACGACCTATTGAGGGTGATGTGACCAAAGCCTGGTGCATTGCTTGTGAACGTATGTTTCGCGCTGATTTAAAATCACTTCGCGTGCACGGCGTGAGCAAAGCTCATGTACGCATGGTTCGTGCTCGTTGTCCTAATGCTGATGATAACCCAGTTCCGCCAATAGAGTATAATGTAGTAACTGATAAAAAAGGTACTTATGGTATAGCTGTTGTGACAAACAAAGACGACAAGAGGTCATTAGGATCTAGAGCTTTATACATGAATCAAACAAATCCTACCGAAGAAATAATTACATCTGAAATGGCGGCACAGTCTCAACGTGACAAATATGTTGTAGTATCATTACCTAATGATGATGAAGAGGAAAATGAAGGCCATCAAGCATCTGGTTCAAATACTCAATATATACAAAAAGAGGTTAATGTTATTGATGAGACTGGTAATTTGGTGTCTGTGGTTACTGAACATCATGTACAAAAAAATAAAGGTAAAATTTAGGTATCCTGGTCAGAGCTGTTTTTAAGTAAAAAAAAAATAATAAGAAACAATGTATTACTGGTATTTTTATAAATAGGTTTGGTCATCACTTAATAAATGATTCATTTTTCTATTTGTACTAGTTTTTTTAAAATTATTATTCTTTATTAGGAGATTAATTAATTATTAAAGCAAAACAGTCTTTTCGTATGAGGGTTGTATAAAAAATTAATAAAGGTCCAAGTGTTAACATAATGTTTGTGTGCATGTGTGTTGTACAATATTGCAGTTCTTGTCGTATAAAATAAAATTCATTAAATTCCCCAGAAAACCAAACACCCAAGTTCAATCTGAAGTGAAGTCAAGTGATAATGTTGAGGAACAGAAAAATTCTGCTGATGAAGATGACATAGCCATCGAAGAAGTATTGACACCTCTTCGCATAAAACAAGAATCGGCTGCTAATCGCGCTCATATGTTAAAACGAAAACGAGGTTTACAAAAATATCGTGCTGATTGGGAAAAACTATCGGAGTTTAAGGGATGGCTATCCCCAGAGCCAAAAAGCTGTTATAAAGCTCGGTGTGAAGCTTGTGACAAAACTCTAGTTGCAGACATTACAGTGCTAAGAAATCATTCTCAGGCAAAAAAGCACGTAATGAAAACTGGAGGTACTGTTTATGAAGGACCACTTGTTAAGAACAAATCAAAAACAAAATTATCTAAATCTGAAGAAGAAGAGTATGATTCTGCAGATGATTTACAAATGAAATCTTTGAGCATTAAAGGTTTGAAAATTAGGTACCTAATATGTGTGTCTTAAGAGTTTATAGCTTTATGCTTTTAGTAACATTTTTTTTTTTTTTTTTGTGATTAAAATATTAATTATACTTATAAATAACTCGACATTACTTAATCATAGTAAGCAAATTCAATTTAAAAATTAAAAATGGATAAATTATACTTAATATTTAAATAAATTAGTAAAGCTATAAACTATATTTCTATAATTGATAAAATTAACAATTGAAGATCACCAACTGTCATATAAAACATTTTAAGCTCTGTTATAATAGGAATAGATTCATGTTTTTATATTTAGATTTTTAAAGTTTATTGTGTTACTATTGGTCTTCAGTTGTGATAACAAACGTGTTTTGGCCTATTTATTATAATTGGTCAGAGCTTACGCGTTTAATGTTGAACTTAAAATTAATTTTTTTTTTTTTGTAAAATAATTTAAAATACCAATCTACACTATACTTTTGAGACCGTATGTTTGAAGGACAGTTTTAGGCAACAAGCCCTGCAAAAGTTGGTCAGAGCTTTTACTATGTGCATTTCGTGTATTATGGAACAATAGTTCATTATGTTAATACTTGTGACCTGAATATAAACTAGTTGTTGCTTAACTGTTTAAATACCAATGTTTACGAATGAAAAAAAATCTCCATTAATTTGATTAAATTACTTTTAAGTTATAATAAATAATATTAAGACAAATTTTTTTTACCGAAACATTGCAGCTCTGACCGATTTTAATAAATGTTTTAATTTTCATACTAAACAATTATGATGTACTTTATTTAAGTGTCTAATAATTTTTATTTATGATTTCCATAAATAGACAATGAGGATGACTATGATGTTGGTATTCAATCAAATGACTACCACAGTACATCAAATTATGAAAAAGTTGATCAAAAACATGAAGACGTACAATGCAAAGCAATAGGTACAATAAACATATAATCAAAAAATATATATGAATTTGTAAAATAAAAATATTTTTGTACGCTTTAGTTTCAAAGCCTGCGCCGTTTTGGAAGGCTACCGCTGTTGTAAATGGCCATGTAACAGAATTAAAACTCAGTGACTACAATGGTCGTTATTTAGTCCTGTTTTTTTATCCTCAAGATTTGTAAGTTTTTAATTTATAAATTTTTTTTTTTAAAACTAGTTAATACCTACAATTTATTAAGTAGTGTTAAGTCCTTGTTAAATAAACGTTTACACAAGATTCGTAATTGATTGACGAGGGAGCGAAGGTGAGTGAAAACTGAAAACCATATTCACTATTTCATTGCCACATTATGTTTGGTTTTGGAGGGAATGTAGTAAAGTTGCTGACTTCTTAAAATAATATTTCTCAAACTATTTCCCTACCCTGGTTGAAACTTAAAACTTGCCAGAGGAATAAGGTAGCTCTGTAGGGATGGACCTAAAAGTGATTTCTATATTTAACTGTTGATTGAACGATATTTTTCCAAAAATTATCCATCAACAGACGAAGGATTAGTATTGCTGCCATACAATAGTTACAAAAATAGTATGCTTAGCCATAATAACTCAAGTAAAAATTTCTTTGTTTTTTATCGTTTAATCATATTATATATAATTGCATCAACAGATTATGATTCAATTTTATTCTGGTGTGGAGTATTGATGTTATAAAAATATATTTTATAAAATTCTAATAGTAATGGTAAATTTATAGGTACATAAATGACATATTGTAAAATTACTTTAATATGTACTTTTCAAATTAATTTAATCTAAAAAAATCTAAGAGCAAATTACATCTAAGTTAAGGGTTATTAAATATTTAGAGCCTACTCTAATACTGTTAACTATACTTGTACAGTAGTAAACAGTTTCGCTTTTGGGCCACAGAAAAATTGCTTGATATTTAATTGTTTTCATTATGTGACTTAAATTAATACTCGAGCCATACATAAGTTATTTATAAGAACATTAAATTTACTTAACTAGCACACTAGTTGTCTCAAGCCTTTTCTAATACCGTTTATTGTAAATTTTTATACTGGCGGTTTCGCTATAAGGCAAAATTAAATTGGCAATGCTTTAAGTATAATTAAATTGTATTTCTACAATTCAATTTAGAGACGCCATACATTATTTTGTAATTTAATTAAACTTGTTAAATGCATTCAAAATTATCATATATACACACACACACACTGAAAGGTGTAATTATAAATAAAGATTCAATTTAAAAATAAGAAGTTTTCTCTCCAAATGCCCATTATTAGTAAATAATATAGGCCTATTTAAAAAATATACTTCTTCTCCTTCGCCTACATCCAAAATATGTGGGATCAGCCATTAGTGTCTTAAACCTTTTCACTTGTCTGGCTAGTCTCATTATTTTTTCTGATGGGTAATACCTTATGTATATTGTTTAAAATAGTACTGATATAGTTATTTTTATCACTACCGGTGTAAAACAATAAAATATAAGATATAATGCAGAATACCAGTTAAGTTGAGCCGTTTTATTAATTTGGACCGCCTGTCAAAAGTAATGTACTAGAACTGACCAAAACATTGTTATGTGGGTTGGGCTGGCATCTTCTCTAGTAGTAGGTATAATAATGTTGCAGAATATGGCAGAAACTTATACGTGCCCCAAAAATTCTGCTGAGTACAAGACTTGAGAATTAGGCATTTTAGCCTAATCAGGTTAGAGAGATCTTTTTGAAATCTTGGTGTTAATAAAAAAATTAGATGCCCATTCTAATACTGTTTATTATACTTGTTCAGTAGTAAACAGTTTCGCTTTTGGGCCACAGAAATTGGCTTGATATGTAATTTATTTTTATTTTATGATATAATTAAAACTCGAGCCTCACAATTATTATTAAGAAGATGAATTCCACTTCACTGGCTTACTAGAGCCTTTTCTAATACCGTTTATTGTAACTTTTTATACTGGCGGTTTCGCCATAAGGCAATATTAAATTGCCAATGCTTTAAGTATAATTAAATTGTTTTTCTACAATTCAATTTAGAGACGCCATACATTATTTTGTATTTTAATTAAACTTGTTAAATGCATTCAAAATTATCATATATACACACACACACACACACTGAAAGGTGTAATTAAAAATAAAGATTCAATTAACAAGTTTTCTCTCAAAACGCCCATTATTACTAAATAATATAGGCCTATTTTGTGTGAGGTAGATACACTAATTCGGTTGTGTATTGAAAAAAATTAATTGTATTATTTCATTTTTTTTTTCAGTTCTAGAATTTGTCCGAGTGAATTAATTGCTCTTAGTGATAGAGTATCAGAGTTCAGAGCTTTAAACACTGAAGTAGTTGCATGCTCAGTGGATTCATACCTCTCTCATCAAGCGTGGTCTCGTACATTACGATCAGATGGAGGAATTGCCATACCTAAAATGCCATTATTATCAGATCCTACCCATATAATAAGTAAAAGTTATGGGTGCTATTTGCCTGAACTTGGCCATTCACTCAGGTATTTTTTTTTAAGACAAGCTTATATTATAATTTTTATATGTTTATTCTAAAATACACAACAAATATTGCTTGATATTTATTTTTTAAACTCACCATTTCAGAGCCCATTACATTATTGACATGCGGGGTATCCTAAGACATGTGACCATTAATGATCTACCGGTTGGTCGCAACATCGGCGAGATCTTAAGACTTCTAGAAGCTTTCCAGTACACTGATGAAACGGAAACCCTCTGTCCTGCCGATTGGAAACCGGGCGAACCGACTATTTCATAACATTAACTATTATTTATATTATTATTTTAATTATCTATTAACTACTATAAAATTAAATTTATTTTGTAGCTCATTAATTTTATGATGAAATAGAAATATTTACTGGATAATCGACTTGAACGTCTAAGTCTTATTTACATGCCTTCATAGTGTATAATATCTTCGACGTGTATTTTTTAAATATTTACATTTTTCAAGAACCTATGTTAAGAATGATGATTGTATAAAATTAATAAAATAAACATAAAAAACAATATTTTTTTTATTATTCTTTATTTTTTTTTTTTTTTTAATAATGTCAACCTCTTTTCATTTAATTCATGCCTCGACATCTACAAATATATGAATTGGTTTTATGTATAGTCATCGTTTTTGTACAAAAAGAATACTTACAGCCGTACATGACAATATATTCACGCGAAATAATTATATACAGTGTCCATTCAATTATCAATAAACACAATTTTCATATATAAATATCAAATCTAAATAAAACAGAAATATTTCCTTTTGTAAAAAAAAATATATATATGTATATGCATATATATATAAAAATGTATGTATAATATAATAATTTTAATAAAATGTATAAGACACATTAATATTAGTAGTCTACTTTACAATTCATTTGAGGCAACTTAACATTTTTCAGGTCGAGAAAAATAAAAAAATAACGCACTTACAACATTATTATCATTATTATTAATATTACACATTATATACATAGTACAAAGTATAAAATATTTTTTTAAATATTACAAAAAAAAAAAAATATATATATATATAATAATAAATAAAAATCAATGTTACAATTTTTTAAGTATCAGTTTTGACTAATTTATAATAACCCCCACAAAATTATTTGGGACATTTATACATATAAAAAAAAAAATTGTTTTTATTATTTACACAATATTTAATGCGAAAAATGTTAACTATGTATAAGCTATAATATAAATATTAACAAAACCTCAATAATAAAGGAATTAACATATTATTGATTAGCTTGAAAAATACTAAAAACAATCACACGGTCAGTCTCTTTGTTTGATTTGTCTAAGGATTTAAATTTTTTTTTTTTTAATATATATTTTTGTTTTGTCAACTGATCATAAAAATTACAAAAAAGTTTCCAGGGAAAAACTTGTTTAAAATAGTCTAAGCTATCTTTCTGTAATTCGAAATATTATTTTTAAGCTGTTAAACGAAAATTAAAAGAAGAAATTTGGAAGAATATTATTGTTAGTGTTATTGTTACGGGACTTGTCTTTACTACTGGGTAAAAGGAGACGGTGTATTTCTGGAACACTGGAATAGAACGCGGGATATGAGTGCCGCCACTTGCTGGTCGAGTATTTGACTCATAACTAAGGACAGCAGCCTCTGTTCTTGTTGGAGGAATAATGGTCTGTTGTCTGGATGCCTGGACAGTAGCAACAGAATACGTGCCGCTCTCCTCAGCATGTCCAGACTGGTCCCCATTGAATCTGGGTTGTCACGAAGAGCGTTTAGTCCGTGTGTATTTACAACGCTCAGTGCGTTTTGCTCGGTCTGTTCAATAAATGCTACCAAAAGTGATACACAAGGACTTTGTAGAGCTATTGTACGAGCCATACTACTGTCGGCGGCAGCTAAATAATGTAATAGGTTGACAGCAAATTCCCTTAACACCTATAAAAAAATTAAGAAATCATCGAGTTAGTTATATCAGGTATTTGAATATTCGTTTATTCGTCGACTTACTTGTTCTTCCGTGCGGCACAACAACCTAGTGAGTACGTTGGCTAGTTTTTCCAAACGCGAGTATGGAGGTGTGGCTATGACCAAGTCGACATTGCTGTCGGTCACACACAGTTTGCACAAACATTCTAGGGCCAACCGTTGGGGAGACAGCGGTGCGGTAGGGAACGGATCTTGACCTGCCGCCGCAGGGCAAATGGCCCAATGTAAAAGACCATCCAAAATGGGTCGTGACACGTCTTCATTAAATGTACTTAAATCAACATAACCAGCAATATTGGCCAGAGAAACTAGCAAGTTTTCTCGGACAACATCTAAATAATCCCACCACCATTTAGGATCGTTGCCCGGTTCAATTGTATCGGCATCCGTTGTCGTAGTACAGTTAAACAATAATTCTGTATCGTCATCTGCTTTGTCGTAATTTCTGGTTTTCGATGATCGTAGAGGGTGTTCGTGATGGGTTAATAAAAGTTTGCCTACAAGACCTAAATACGGACCGCTTTTGGAGAATTCCAATTCGTTGCCAGGCACAAAAGATAAGTTCCGCAATATATTTGATATGCACACACACCTTTTGCCGATTGTATCTTGACTATCCGATATCAGCGAAAGACTCGACTCGTCTTTGGAATAACTCTCATCTTCATATTCTGATATACTCTTGCGTTGTAACACACCCATTGGGTCACAAATTTTTATATTTTTATTATTTACTACATTATCAATACCATTCCGTACAGACTCTTTATTGTCCAACTCTTCGTCTTCTTTTTTCACCAATGTTTTGTTGTCTTGTACAACATCCTCCACTTTGACTTTATTGCTTTTCAATAACTTAACAAAGGGTACGAGTCCAAATTCTGACCGAAAACATGGCACCAGAAAACTGGTATCCGTTTCTGCAATGTTGTAGCCCATATCATAATTGTCGACAACATCCCAAGGCCTTTTTCCATTTTTGATGAATAATTCTTTAGAGCCATCTACGATAGCTGAACTTTTTATCGGCCGTTGTGATGGTATTGATGGATCTGGGAAATATGCTTTTTCAGATGCATTGATATTGTCGACAATACCGATTTCCGGTATATCTTCTACAACTTTTGATTTTTCATACCAACAATAAGACTTTACGTCAGTTTCCAGCATGTTGATTAGCGACTGTCGAAAATGCTCTAACAATATGTCTAATAAGCCAGGCATATGAGAAAGGCCAAAATAGGGAATGGACGAGTCGTCAAATAACAAAATATTGAGCACATCTAATGCCCATGTAGATTCGGCCAAAAGACCAGAGCGTAATGACATCATTAAACGCCATCCGTCTACTGGGGTAATGTCTTGACGAGTAATACGACGACGTTTGTAAAGGATAGGCGTCACGGATTCCACACTTTCTGGTGGAAAAATCACATCACGTTTTAATAAACCGCTTCCTTGAAACATCGGCTGACCAGACATTCCAGGCTAAATAAAAAATAATATTAATAATATTAGTCAAAATTAATTATAATAATAATAATAAGTATCAGTGTCTATGTGCTTATGTGAAGAAAACATTACATAAATTGTGAAGAACAATATGTATATTTTTAAATTATAGATGTTGAGTACCAATGAAATAGATATAAATACACAATAATTAAACTCTTTGTGTTATATGCTGCAGAACATTACTCCGAGATATGCCAATATGCAGTGGTTATAACAATAGAAAGTATAAGCTGATATAATTTGGTCGCCACTGATATGTATAAAAGTAATAATCAATGAGTTCTTACTTTAATATGAGAAGGAGGTGCCATTGGACCATGAGGTCCATACGGTTTACTTCCATCTGGACGGTAACCATGTCTAGGCATTCTCATTGGTGACTGAGGCATAGAACCCCAATGGTTCTAATAAACACAAAAATACAAACAAAATTCAATTACCGTCTCTGATAGAATAAGTTAGATTAGATAAAAAAGAAAAATCCCATACTTGTTGTGCTCCATAGGGTGGCTGTCCTTGAGACGGATATCTATGTTGATCCCATTGTGGAGGTTGTCCTAGATGTGATGGTGGCATAGACCGAGGTGGACCCTGAGACCAATTTTGTGGTGGCTGCGATCCAGGTGGATATCCTGGTCTAGGGTATTGGTTGGCGGCATTAGGTGTACCTGACCACCCTAAAACAAACAAATAAATTTAAACGTATAGCTTCACGGCTCTTTGGTAATACTTATATGGTAAGCCTCATTTGAAATACTCATTAAAAAATAAATGAATACAAATATTATCTTAAAAAAATAATTATTTACCAGGACCTGGACCGGGCCCTGGACCAGGGCTGGGACCTGGATACATCGGCCTTTGTTGTGGGCCATAACCAGGATAACCAGCAGGTTGTGGTGGCCCAGCTTGATCTTTAGCAAAATCAGGATGCCGACGTGGCTGTGGTGGCGGCATACCTTTTCCAGGGTAGGCACCCGGCGGCGCGCTAGTAGGTGAGTATCCTGGACTCTGTACGAAAATAATCAGTAAAAATGAAAATCATATTGTATTATTGTGTGGATTAACTCAAATTGTAGGATAAATCCTTACCGCAGGTGGTTCTTGTCGATAATAATCAGATTGAGGTGGTTGTCCAGTGGGTGGAAATCCGCCAGGAGTGGACACCGACACTCCTTGCGTCTGATTAGCTGTAGTCGGTGTAGAATTCGGAAGAGGCGGACCTGGGAATCTAGGGGGTTGTTGGTAGCCGGACGGGACTGGACCACGACTATATGGGTCTGGGCCATTACCCGGACCTTGCGGGGGAACGTTTGGAGGTCCTTGTGGAGGAACAGACCCTCCATAATTCCTGAAAAATTAGAATTTTTTTTTAATGAATAAAAATCATATAAATAACCATGTAAAAGACATACCTATCGGCTTCATTAGAATAAGGCGGATATATTGACGGCCTAACTGGTCCAGTTGGGTAACTAACAGGAGCGCTAGCTGGTGGATAGTGTTGGCCGTATTGATCGTTGCTGCTAGGGTATTGGTTGTATCCACCGGGTCCCTGGTAACTTCCTTGCATTCCTAATGTATCAGAATATGTCAGTTGACGACAGTAATAATAATGATTGTAACGCATGATTCAGCATTACTCGTTTTAAGCGTAAAATGAAATTTTTTTTTGTAAAGAAACAACTTTGGATTTAAAATAAAAATTATAATATAATAATATATCACATCATAAAATTTGGAAATATAATAATAATAATACTACTAATAATTTTAAAAAACAATAATAACTATAACTAATAAAATAAAACTATTGAACAAACGAACACAACATGTTAACTGTTATGGGTCTACACATGTGACTGAAATAACATTACTATCACTGTATTCCCATATTTCCAATTATCTTATCAGTTATCAGTAACTGATTGCTTTGAACAAAATGTTATAAATACTGTGACGTGGGTACTTGATAAATAAACCTATTTTTAATTTAAATTTTTTCAGAAAATGTCAAATATAATACTTTTAATATAAATAATAGGTTTATCAATTCAGTTTTTTTTTTAAACAAACGCAACTGAAAAGTTTTTAAAACCATAAAACGTAAGAAAGCTTATTACAGCGTTGAAATAGGCCGAACAAAAGCTAGCAACTTATAGATAGTTTAATATTTATTAACACTGTATGTATACACTCTTTTACACAAGACTGAACATTTGTTTTCTAAAATGTTTTGGTTAGTATATTTCATTAACTCATAACCAGAAATCACATGTGACTGGCATGATAAAATGCTAAAATTTGGTAGGAAACTAGCCCTGCTACTTAATCAATTACAGCATATTAGTTTCCAATTACTCGTTTAAATTTAATTTAGTAAAATGGATATCTTTAGGGATAATAATAAAAATATAAATAGTAATAAAATAATTGTTATTAAGAAAAGAATACTATCCTAACAAGTTCTCCTCCTGTATATTTTTAACAAAAAAAGACTTTACATTATTCTTAATAATCCATATAATATTGAAATAAAAATAATGCGTTAAAAACCCATTTTTAATGTTGTATATACTAGACTAATTGTTTGACTTTTTATAACCATCCAATTCACATTTTGAGCCGGTTCGCTCATTACGATTGGCTCCAGATGATCTGGACAACAAATATATATCTAAGCGTTTCTTCAGTACATACCATGAGGAGGATGTGGAGGCCTTTGAGGGGAATTGTAATCTTGTGGACCACCGTAACCACCGCCGTAGCCTGGATAGCCGTCAACGTGACCAGATCCTTGAGCATTTGGAGCCGACGGCAAAGAGTCTTGAGAGTTAGATCCTGCAGAACCTAATGGTAATTATTCAATAAATTCAAATTTGGTCAACACGAGCGTGTTGAACAAAGTGCTAACTAACCTGGAGAGGGCACGGACGTGGCCTTCGAACTTTTCTTTTTGGTAGAAGATTCAATCTGGTTAATAATAGGCACAGGATCTATACCCCCGCGATCGAAATGGCATTCATACGGCAATAAGTTTTTTGTATAATGCTTTCGTAGTGTGTACGCAGCACTGGATGAAGCACCAATACCCAAAAGACCGGCAACGTCTTTCCAAATTTTATTTTTTGTTACCTAACATACAAATTGTTTGATTTAAGTATGTGAAACTAACACATATTTAGAAGTGAAGCATAGTGGCCAAATGTTATAAAAATAATAATAACTTGTGACTGCACCTTGCATACCTCCATGAAACCCCCCCGCTCTTTAACGTATATGTACAAGCGGAATAAGTCAAGGGGGTTTTTGGAGATAGTTGGACACGTAGAGATTGGCGTTCCTCTTTCGTCCATGAATTGCAATAATTTATCCAACCAAATTCGCCGCTCTGGATTTTCATCCATTTCATACAGTTTACTCAAACTGTCATGCTTCTAAAAGTTAAAAAATTATATTCAGTTTAAAAACAAATTTCTCTTAATATCTATAAAATCTTTCATATAATATGAACTGTTGTAAAATAATAGTAGTCACCTTTGGTCGGTATATGTGTTCGGTCGGAGCCATATGGCTGTTAAATACTGGATTATGGGGCGGAGGTCCTCTAGACCAAGCTGGAGCCATTGGTTCTGGATTAGAATACTCATCATGAGCTGGCGAACAAGGGGGTCCCATTACTCCTCCCATTCCTTGTTGATACATCATATTACCACTCATATTTTCTTTTCTTTTAGGTGTTGTACAATTGGAATCATCTCCGGAAGCTGAATATATATTTGATAACGAGATATATTTAAATTAATAAACTGACAATACGAATAATAAATAGACAAACTTACCAGCTGAAGCATTTGATAAGGTCGATTGTTGACTCGCATCATCGATAGCAGTACCATCAGGACCGGTCGTAATAACTGAAGTGACGACTCCACTAAGGTTTTGTTGTTGGGATCCTTCGTGATCAACAGACATCATTGAAACATTTGGTGGTGCCATTGGGGCGCCAGCATTAGATTGAACTGGTGCCGGTGGACCCATGCTATGAGGAGACATTGAATTGCAATAGTTGCCTGGACCTGGACTAGGTGGCACTGGGCCTGAGCTCTGGTAACCTCCAGGCATTTTATGTTGTTGCTAATATTAATGAAAAAAAAAAAAAATTTTTAATAACAATTTTATAAAGAAAAAACATTGTATGTATATTTATAAAAAAAAAGCATCCTTTAAAGTAATTAAAGCATTTTGTGTTTATGTGTTCACCTGTAAGTGCTGTTTGAGGTAGTGTGGATGAGGTGGTGTGTGCGGTCTGGGACCAGGTGAGACAGGCGGTGGCGGTCCAGAAGAAGGACTCTGTTGCATCGGATGCATTTGATGGGCATGTGGATGCATATGTGGTCCTGGGAGTGGGTGATGAGGATGGTGATGATGTAATGGTGATTGTGCAGGAGAAGGGTGTTGCATTGATGGAGGTTGGTGTGGATGTGATTGTTGTTGTTGTGGTGGTTGTTGTTGTTGTTGTTGCTGCTGTTGTTGTTGTTGTTGTTGTTGTTGTTGTAGTTGTTGTTGTTGCTGCAGTTGTTGTTGTTGTTGAGGGGAGGATGATGGAGGAGGTACTTTGGTTGGTGTAAGTGGCTGAACAGGACCGCTGTGGTGACTATTGTTTAATGGAGGTGGTGGTACTTGTGGCGGACAATTGCTAGGCCATCCCTGCAAAGCACATTTAATGTGTCACAAAGAGCGGTAAAGGTCAAAGGTTACGAGAAGCGAACAAGTCACACGACAAACTTATGAGACAATAACGTAACAATTAAAAAAAAAAAGTAAGCGTATTTTTTTTAAAACATCCAAATAATCAATGTATTAGTAGTAAATAAAAAATAAACGGTTCCTAAAATTGTTAACATCCAAAAGACGACCAATTTTACGAAATACTAGTTACCTGATAAGGCGGGAATTGATGTGGTGATCCATGGTGTATCGACATGGTTCTAGGAGAGTACTGTTGTTGCGGGCCGCTACTATTAGTTGGCGGGTAGCCTTGATAAGGTAAACCCGGTCTCGCACCATAATTACCTTAAAAAGAAAAACAGCAGGCGTCAAAATAATTCGAACATATATCTTCAAAAAAGCTGCGAGGAATTTGTTGATTTTCAACTATTGCGTGTACTTACCGGGAGGTTGTTGCGGATAAGATCCCATCAGCGGGGGCGGTTGTTGCGCCGGATATCCACCGTGCGAAGTGGCTGGAGGCGGAGGGCCATAAGGGCTGGGTGCGGGCATTTTGTACGGACCTCCCGGCGACGCCATATGAGGCGGCATGCTACCCTGGGATTGAGGGGAAGGCTGCTGTTGATACCCTTGTTGCGGGCCCATCGGCGAATGGCTCATCCTGTTGTTGTTGCCCTGCCCAGCTTGTCCCTGGTCCGACTGAGGCTGTTGTTGTGGCTGGCTACTCGGAGGCCTGGGTGGCATTGGAATGTTTTGTTGTTGCTGCTGCTGCTGCGTTTGTCCGCCCGACGCCGTAACAGCGGGCGACATGGACCGCGAACCCGTGGATCCCGTCGGCGACGGCGACGGCCGCAGTGGCGTGCCACCGTTGCCCGTGCCACCGCCACCACAATTGCTGTCGTTGCTGTTCTGACTCGTTAAATCCTAAAGCAGAAAAACAAAACAATACATTGACTGGGTTATCCATACCGATACACGACACGTACACGCACGATGTTACAATAAGCATACAGACAAACGCACAAACGGAATCAACAGGTCTTTTTTAGACGGTAAAAAGATGCAAAAGGATCAACGCGGAGGTCGGGGTGCGGAACGAGACAGACGGTGGCAAAGAGTGAGAGAGAAAGAGAGGTCAATAAAACATGTGCAGGTCTCGGGGAAGACCGTCTGGCCGAGAAAAAATACGATCGAAAGAGACGAAACGAGGAAGACGGACAGAGAGAGAAAGGGAGCGGAGAGAAACACACGGTTTGCGTGTACTCTGTATATACATACATAAAAGGTATTCATTCTATATTGCGGTAATTGGAAAAGATATGATAGGAGGGCAGAGGGTAATGGCGCGGGGGGGGGGGGAGGACAACAACACAAAGTTGTCGGATAGAAGCGGAGGGTTAGGACCTTTCCAACGGGACAGCAGCGAGGGAGAGGAGGAGCACGGTATTCTACAACCAACGCATATATATACATATATTGTACATATAAAACGCGTACACACGCACGGAAATACTCAAAGACGACAGATGATAAGGGCGACGGGACGAGGGGTAGGCGAAACAACGGCGGGTGAAGAAGCACGTGTGATGCCATTCATAACGTGTGGACGGACCGAATACCCGCACCAGTTATTTCACACCACCGCCACCACCATCATCATTGCCGCCAGTTTCCAATAAAATAAATCAAATGGGTTGTGCGTTACACGTCTTTGCGACGTGTAAACGGTCGAGTTCCTTTTTCTTTTTTTTTTCCTCGGCGGAATGGGGTCAAACGACGACCGTGACCTTTCCCAGTAAGAGAGAGAAACGGGGACATATCAATCACAAAACATACCGTGTGTGTGTATTTTATTTAGCAGTGAAAACAACAAAACGGTAAAGAAAGGGAAAGTAGTCGAAACCGTCGGATTGTGTCAAGACCGATAGTTTAAAAACGCCGGTTGACAACAATAGACGGCAATAATAATAATAATTTATAGATAATGCAGTTTACACAGACCCAATGTGCGCGGACCTACAATTATGTATATACCACATTACACGCACACAACAACAGCTATATTGTTATTATACAACATACAGGTAGTACGTCGAATCCGACGATAAACACCACCGCCGTTAACGGAAAGTACACGTTGTTGTTATATATATATATATATTCAATTCAATTAGAACAGCTGCTGTGGGACTGAATTTTTGCGTACACTCATTTTCATTGCTACTGTGAAAATATTATATCCAACTACCGAGAGAGCATTGTTATAAGAAGCCTCGACAAGAATAGATAGGTTTACTATTCAATTAGTAATTTTAGTGGTAAAACGGTCTATATGTATATCCTACACGAGTTTTAATAAACACAGCGAGTTAAAAGCAATACGTTATCACAGTCAAACGGACAGCACACTTACTGGTGTTCATAATAATTCACAGCCAACATTGAAAAAGATAATGTTATTATCAGGGATGAAATTGAACAAGTGGACTTTCCCGTTATAGTGTACCGATAAGCGCGTTTCAAACAATTTAAAACTAGGTTTTGTGTGTCAATCCAATTTTGGATCAAATCTGTGGGCAGAGAAGATGATGTGATATGATTTTATTACAATTTTCGAGTACAGGTCATTTTGCCAAGTCCGATTCAGTAATATTCAGTGTCGTTCATTGTAAAAATGAATTATCACCTTGCAATTTAATTTTTGAAATAACGAGCTTTTTGTCAATTAATGTGTAGGGAACACAATACAAGTATTCAATCAGAGTTTTCCATTTATTATTTTTTCTTGTATTTATTAGCAAAAATATGTGTAATTATAAATTTTGGAATTACACCATTATTACAACAATGAACGACCCAGCCCGTTCGACGACGGTCATTATGATAGCCCAAGTTATGGCCAACGGGATTGAAGTCGGTGTTTAGGAGTAAAACCAAAAATGATTTGAAATTACATACCACCACCACCATTGGAATCGGTCGTTATTTATTTAATTATTATTTGTTCGTCGAATTCAAACACACATGATGTTTATATAATAATTAATTATCGCACACCGATTAATGCGGACGGACAAAAACGACGGTAATGCTCCATATTATAATATTGCGTTTCTTATTGATCCGTCGCGCAGCCTGTGGGAGAGCACACTAGTCGAAGGTCGTATAATATACTAACCGGCGGAAAACAGAATATTTTGTTATTTTTTTTTTTTGTAAAAAAAAAAAGTAGCTCGATTGTTGTAACACGTGCGTTAGGCTTACGCCGCGCCGGTTGTATTTTCAAATTGTTTTGATCCATATTATAAAAAATAAAAAAAGTTTAATGGGCATATACAGCGGAGAGACGATCAGAGAGAGGTAGTGATGCGGGTTTAAATTAAACGTCAATCAATAAGCGCAGTCTGGTCGCCTTTATAGGACTTTTTTTTTGTGGTGAACAAATTATACTTAAAATTAGTCCGATACCGGTGAATGAAATAAAAAAAAAGCTCTTGACAAATATACTGCGCCTAAAAGAGGCTGTACTGATGTATAGTTGGTCGTGCGACTTTTTTACAATAAATTATACCTATTATATTATTATGTGCATGACGTATTTTTTTGATATTTCTTCACTATTTTCCCTCCAAATTGCATGTACAGTGTACACGTCATCATTCGTTAAAGATATTAAAATAAATAGAGATGAAGAATTGTGTTTTAACACAGTCGTCTTAATGCCGGGGAGAAAATTTAACAAATTTTGTACGATACCACGTAAATTTTGTAATTTAAATCCAACTAGAATTTCTCAGAAGGGAACCTTGTCGTCATTTTAAGTAAAAAAAAACAACTTAAAAGAAGGTATTAATGACTTTGTTGCCGCATCATTAATATTATTGATTTAATATCTATACCTTTTGTATAATAAAATAAGTTTGATAAAACACACGGAAATAACAAATTAGATGACATGAAAGCAGAATGGCAACCTAACTGCATCGTTTGGTGTACACCTAAACGATTGCATTGTCAAACGCTAAATGGCCTTTTGCTAATGAAATGTTGTAATCATCGCGGCGGCAGTACACGGTCAGTTTGTGAGCCGACGGACAGAGAGAGCGAGACGAGGAGGGGCGAAAAAGGGTTACGACGACGCCGCTCAAGAAATAACTTCACCCTTAAAACACAATGGGGGAAAGGGGTGGAGGGGACGCGGACGGTGAGGCAACCTGTCGGATAAAATGCTCGGAGAAGTGATTACGTGTACACGGACGCCGCCACCGCCTTTCTACGTATACCGGCGTCTCATCCGTCATGCGGACCCTCCCACCCCTCGGGAATGGCGTGCAGCGAATTATGTCCGGAAGGGGGGGGGGACACACACACGCACCGACCAAGTGTATACGGGAAAAAAATGTATACATATAAATGTGTAAATGCCTGTACAGATAAGCACGCATAATACAATATTCCGGTTATCATGCAGCGGCCGCCGGTTCGGGTCTACCGACGCCGAAATTACAATTTTACATGGATGGCGGCGGCGACGGTTACACGTCCAAATAATAACGCGCCCATCGCCCGGCAGTGTTGCCAACTCGGTCCGGCCGCTTACACGGCCACCGGGACGCGAGTAGGAGGGGATCGCGGAAAATCGAAATTTCAGTTGCCGGCGTTAGCGCGCGGCAACGTCGAGGCGTCATCGTCCCGGGCGACGGCGGCGGTAGATGCGAGGTGAAACGCGCGCGCTACCCGCCGAACAAAGTCCCCTTCTCTGCCGGGTACCCCACTACTGGGTAGTGGGTACCCGTCCACAGACTAAGCCGGTATCGCTGCCGCCGCCGCCGGGCCCCTTACCACCGCGGTTGCGCGCGGACGCAAAAACTCTCGGTGAGACCGACGGTCGGTGTAATAAACAACGCGAGTTCCGAGTAGCAGCACACCGAGTTAGTGGGGACAAGGGGAGGGAAGGCGAGGACTGGAACTTGAGTCGAGTGTGTACTGCTAACAAACGTTCGTGCGTTGGCCGTGTCGGAGCGGTGGGGCGGCCATTGGGGTAACGGCGCAAATAATGGATGCTCGGGACACGCCGGTCGGACTGCCGACCGAGCCGTACACATTCTACTGGCGTATTATATACGACGTATACGAAAAACGTATTGTATATATATATATATATGTATATGTTTGTAAGGGGAGACATGCCGTATAAACAACATTTGTATAAAATTGTGTGCGCGTCCGACCGATATTTTATTATATATTTAAAAAAATACGTATACACCGCCGCCCGCATTATTATGTTTATTATTATTCCTTAACGTACTGGCCCGTTGAAAACCGGATTCCTGCACAAAAATACCAGTTACTCATTTTTGTCTTTCGCCAATATAATAAATGAACGTGAACAATAAATAATAACTGTTTTATAACCCTCGTCCGACGGCTATTGTTGAAGTTAACCCCGTCGACCGTACGGATTAGTGACAAAACAGTCTTTTTTTCGTTAATTGGCAATTATTTCTACATATTTTACCGTGTACCTCTATAAGAATTCACTAGTAGCGCAAATTGCGGGCCTGGAAGTGCTAAAAGATCTTTAAAAAAATTACTAAGTGACAAAACGTGATCATAAAGCAATCGAAAAAACTCCCTTTTACAATTTCTTTTCAAACATATAAAAAGGTTTTTTAAAACTGTAATAACATGAATTATGGACTTTTCTATTTATTAAAATATTGGTTTGAACTTATATCAATAGATACCACACTAAACATAAAACTATAAACCATCTCTTACAAAGAGAGGCTTTATATCGTCGATCTAGACCAACGGGAGAAACGTTTCAACCAAAACACTTTTTTTTAATGAATTTTATAGAATTTGTGATGAAACGACATATTTTTAAAAGTATTGAAAAGTTATCTTACATCTTGAAAAACCGGAAAATCATTTTGTTTTTAATTTAATAAATAAAATACTCTGATCAAAAAACGGCCATATTATAATACAAATAATATAACCTGTGCCGAATTATTGATGTAGACAGTCTTTTAATAATCTTAAAAAAATGTATTTGAATTTTTCAAAATAGTGTGTACATTCAGATTATGTGTGTACTTAAATCGAATACCTAATAGCAAGTAATCTAATTAAAAAATTAACAAATATTTGTTTTTAATTCTATTATTTTAATACGAGTTTGGTGTTAGGGAAATATGATTTGTGAGGAGGAATTACTATTTTTCAGTTCAAACTGGTCGGCATAATTACTCAATGTAATAAAAAAAAATGTTCCATTGTCAGTAGAAAATGATCAATAAAAAATTACTGATCATGAAAGGCTCTGTTTTGAACCAATAAAATAACTAAGATGATGCATAAGAATTTTTCAACTGTTTGGAAAATGAGAATTTTTATCACAAAAAAAAAACGACTAAGTCAAACTTTAGATAAGGTCTCAATATTTATTTGGTATAACTATTGTACTCAAAATCAGTGTTTATTTAACAATGCTTCTAACAACCAAACTTGCCCCCCTCCCCTTATGTTATACCTGCATTTAAGTCAGATTACACGGTTGAGTCTGCATGATTGGTGAGATAAATATCAAAATCATCAATACTTCAAAAGTAATCATCGCGAGCGAAGTAAGAAAATTCGATGATTAAGTTCAACTTTGGTTACAAGGATGAATCCAAGGAAAAATTATTGAACATTTCATCAGCCACGAACTATTAAACTATTTGACACTAAACAAAAAAGTAAATCGCACCTACTCACTTTTCGGTTTTTGATTTCTTCGACATTTTGGGGGGAAAAAACAAGATACCTTTTTCGTTGTGAGTGTCGCGTAAAATCTTCAAATTTAATAATCTCGTTAGAATTTTACTATTAGTAATTTTTTACTATTAGACGATTAATAAGCCAAGTAATAACAAAATGCTATACAAGCATTATCGACTGTTATTATTAGACCGCAAGTTAATGAACGAGATACGGATTGGGCGACTTTGCCCCAGACGAGCAAGGTCACGCATTCGATAAAAAATAATAATTTCCAAATGGACAAATATTCTACACCGTGAACCTGTCGTAGCAGCACCTGTAACCATCAACAGTCTCATGATACGTTAATGGCTACGAGACTACATTATCCATGAACAATAATTATTCATACTGTTTATTGATTTAATAAAAAAAAAAAAAAAACCAAAACAATATAAAAATTACAGTCATACATTTTTAAGAGTTTCGTTTTTGGCTAACTAATTTTTTAACTGATTTAAAATCGTTTAAAAAAATTGAAATGGTGTTTAAGAGCAATGGACGATTTTAAAAGCAGCTTTCAATAATAATTGAGTAATTAATTTTAGCGTCTAGCTGCGTCGGATCACAACCAGAACTGATAACAACGGATTTTCCATTAGACCAATTTAATTTAAGCACACACACACTTTATTTTATACACACAGTCCGTGAAAAAACTTTTGAGATTGATTTTTACCTACTTGGTACAACTATTTTTACTTGGTAGACCGGTGCAATGACTTAGGGCCCATTTTTGTAGTATTTATTATGCATATGTGATAAAAATTATTAAAAAATTATTTTTTGTCGTTAAACAAAATTAATAGTCTTAAAACTTATATAAATATATATATATTATAATTTATCGAGGTATATAATACACCTTGTAATTTTAACTCCATGTAAATATTCTGTGTACTAATTTAACCTTAGGTAGGATACATGCAACTTTTTAGATTATTAAAGTAATTTTATTATGTAATATATTCAATTAAACCCGATATAGGGAATAGTCTTTCACCGTTCAATGGACAGAGATATATCTGAAGTACAATTTATAAAACTTTATCGATTGACGCAGTGCGTGGTAAGAATGAAAAAATATTTATCTGCGACCACTGTACTTTCGTAGTTCACAATAGCAACTTATCACAATATGATGACAATTTAATACAAATCTAAAATCTAAAACTTACACTCATTAGAGAAACTGTTTGGCACATTGGACCTAAAACCTCAACTGCACAGAAATAGTAAAAAGAGACAATTTGAAATTAAATTTAAAATATTAACATCAATTTTTCGCTACTATGTCTTTTGACAAAATTCAATACAAAAAAAAAACAGCAGTTTAAAAAAAGCCAGTACAGTGGGATCGGAGAAAATTGGAATGGGGGGAGGTCACACGTTTACAAGAATTATTATAACTGAAAGTGATAAAATTAGACTTAAAAAACGCTGCAATAGACGGTAGAAATACACATATAGATAAAAGTATTGTAATAACATTAATACGCTTAAAATTGTACTGTTATAAAATGTATTTCTTTTTTGGATTTAAAAAAAAAATAACTACACATTTTTTATATAACTTTATACGTTATAACCTCACTCTAGATTTACATCAGTCCAATTTTAAGAAATTAAGCTCTAACATTACACCTACAAAAGCGAAAAAAATGAAGTTTCTATCCTTTCTAGGAAAAAGGGTTATGTTTTTAAAGTATCTTAACAGTACATTTTCTGAACAAATTTAGAACTAATTCGACAATTTAAAAAAAAAATGCATGTAAAAAATGTATATATTAAGTTAAAAAATATGTACATTTTTGTGTTTTTTTAGATTTTGAAGGGGAAGGGATAAATTTTATAATTTTTGGCCCAATAAAGAACCTTTCAGGTATGATTTCTAATCTGAAAAGTTGCTACATGAAGAAATCGGGTCAGGTGTTTAGAAGATATCGTAGGTCCAAGTACAAAAAAAATCACATAAAAAAGAATAGAAATTTATAAACATTAAAAGAGCACATATCATCAAATAATGCTTTTTCACTTCTCATGTACGCATGGACATATGTGTCCATGTGTGTTAGCTAAACCAGAATTTCAAAATAACTTTTATATAAATATAATTATACAGTTTGACCTCTAAATTAATGTTTGTCAAGTATATATCATTAGTCAGACGAAGTAATTTAGAAAAAAAAAGTAAAAATAATTATTTTTAGAAACAACAATTTTAATTAAGAAGCTTTGGAATTTTGTTATGTTTTATATTAAATTGTTATGATTATTTCTCCTGCCCTTATTAATCAATGATAAACAACAAAAACCTACTACAATAGGTATATTAGTGCTCTTGAAATATTATAAAGATAGTTAAAAAGACTCGAATATAACAGCTCTGATGGTCAAGTATAAAAAAAAGCCCATATATTAATTTAAGTATATATACTTCAATTCAAGTCAGCATTGAATTTGCATGGCAAAACTTGTTTATAATATTAAATTAGTTTTAATAGAAAAAAATGGGTCAAAGTTACTTAGGATCCACACTCAGACACACTTGTCCTCCTATCGAGGGTATATCATTATTATAGCTGTCGATATGGTGAGGATTATAATCGGACGATGGACTTACTGGATGAACTTGCGGTGGTGATTGGTGAGGAGGTGGTGGTGGCTGCTGCTGCTGTTGCTGAGGGGGCTGCAACTGCTGCGGAGGGGGCGACGGGTGTTGTTGGGCATTTTGCGACTGAGGTACGGGCGGCGCGGCCGGCGGGCTGGCCGATGCCGCCGGGCCCGGACCGCCGACGTGTGGCTGCGGAGGAATCTGAGGTTGCTGCTGCTGCTGTTGTCGATCAGTGTGTGGTGCTTGCTGTTGCTGATTCGGGTAGCTGCCATAAGGTGTCTGTACGGAAGAGAAAATCGATAACGTCAAATGTTAGTACAAAATAGTAATTTAGCACGACTATATTATAATAATGAATTCATATCGTATTGTAGGACGGCGCGCAGAAAACGAGAGTGGGCACGACGGTGATCCCGAGGGTTTTTAGGATATTGGACAGCCGTCGCCAGTAAGAGAGAGGTGTATACATTACTATTATTATTATTATTATTTTGGGGCCGGCGAAAAACATTTCACGGGAGTCAAGGTCGTGATGGGTAACGACTACACACGAGGCGTTGCGGCAAGTAGAGGATCAGCTGTGCGAGTGATAATGCCACAACGCCGCCGCTACCCGCCTCCTATCCGTTTCACGATGGCCGGGCGGTGCGAACGCGACCATTACCATTCTATTTGAAGTCGGTCGGGCGACATAAAACTATAACGCACGGGTCAATGACGTTTGCTCGTAAACGGCGGTAGTTTTTATTTTTAAATAACCCGGAAGCGCTATTGATCTCCTCGGCAGCATTATTATTACAACGACAGCGATGATCAGCTACTATACTATATCCCGCGTGTTGCACATATCCCCGCTCGGCCGGTCGCGCTTTTTCATCCCCATTTAAACAAGCACACGTTCGCCGGATGATCACTTTTACTATTGCATAATCGATTTAGACTGCAATTATCTACGACTACCGCCAACAGATAACAACACGGTGTATCCGTGTCATCTCCCGGTAAAATTATTTGTTTTAACTAATAATATCCTTGTTTTAATTACCTGTTGTGGCTGCTGTTGTTGCTGCTGCTGCTGCTGAGGCGGCGGCGGTCCGGGGGGCCCCGGCGGATACTGATGATGCAGCGGCGGTACCCGATGATGCTGCTGGTATCCAGTGGGCGAAGACGGCGGTGGAGGATAATGCGCTGGATGGCCCGGCGACGGAGGTGGAGTCGGTCCTCTGGGGTTCGCCTGCGGACGAGACAGATTTTAAGCATGCGAGTAGTGAACAACAAATGGAGGTGTTTGTGGGGAAACTAGTGACCTTGTCGGGTAGTATAATAGATAGGGTATTAGAACAGTTGAAAAGTTTCAAGCGGTGCGTGTGTTAGAGGTTAGACATGTAGTAAAATGTAAATAGTAGTTTTGTTGTTTGTGCGTAATGCGCGCGGCCGCGGTGCGGGAAGATATCGACCGCCGGCGGAGGGCAAGGCAGGTCGGTCGGGGATAAACACTTAAGAAGGGTTGGTTGTAAAATGACGGCGAAACTTCAAAACCGTACGATTCCGGCCGGGATGATGATAATGACGTTATTTCATTCATGAATCACGACGGGCAGCGTAGTCGTCGTCGTCATGGCACTAGACGATGCGGAAAAGGTGACCCTAATGGGTCTAATGCGAAGCACAATAATTAATGACCTATTATCGCGACTGCGTGTTTATACTATATATATATATATATGTATGTGTGTGTTTGTGTATATACGTGTACGTAACTTGATTGTAACAAAAACAAGATGACCACGTGTTGTATACATACAATACAGAATACACTTGCACACACAATAATTGCTATACAACAATAATAACAATAATAATAATGATATTTTTTTCTTCCTCCTACGTGAACCGCCGCCAACGTTTTAATTGCATTCGTAGACCAACCCGACCCGATTGTGTGTGTGTCTGAGGTTTGTGTTTATCGTTATTGAATTACTGATAAAACGATTAAACAAGGAGCAAATATAAAATATTCAATAATAAAAGATGACAATTTCCAAAAACCTTAAATCCTCTCCAGTTGAACGAGATTTCACATATTGTGATGTTACTGTATCACTCGGGGGGATGCTCCACAGGTTATCGACGAACGTAAACTCGTCTTATGCTTAAGTGTGCTTCACCTTAGGCCTTAAAATGTCTGAACTCAATCTTCTTGTATATTAATTTTACTTATATATGAGATTCATGAGGTCTGACCACGAGGAGGTTGACCCCTATGTGTCAAAGTTGTGAAAAACATTGCAAATAGCGTTGTAGAGACGTAGGCTGAGGTCGTTTGGACAGTTAAAAACGTTTGGCTTTCGTATGGTACACGGTAAAGTAAACAAAATTAACATAAAATACATAAATAAAAATAAAATAAAATGTATCTATAGGACGTAATAGTGCAACGCGTGGGCTCGATGTAAATCCCGGCAACGTGACGCGTGTTTGATTCCAATAATACATATATATATTTTTATGTATGTATATATATATATATATACGTATATATTATTATATTATGCGTACCGATATAATATACGTGTGCGGTGTTGAGTAAGGGCATGGGCGGCGTGTATATAGTAATAATAATATAATGCATGCGTGCCGTTGCCGCCGCCACCGCCGCTCACCGTGCACACAATAAACAAACCCATTCTCTTGTAATCTGGGTTAATAAACCTCAGTGGCTCGCTCAGATATGCGGCACTCGAGATCAAAGAATGATAGATGTTTGTGTGTGTGTGTGTAACGTTTCCGCAAGCCGCAGGGAACGGAGAGAGCGACGAGTGCTACGCTTCTATTAACCGCTTGTGTGTGTGTGCTGTATTAGTCTTGTGTAATAATAATTGTCTGGCGGTGACGACGACGACGCTTTTAAACGACACTGAACAATGATAATGGCCACGGGTGGGTGCACAATGGGCGCCGGTCGCACTGGACTTCATCGCTGCAGTCAAGAAATTATATTCGGTAATTAATGTGACTATTTGGCCCGTTTGGACAGTCCCGCTAATGTTTTTTTCACGATAAAGTCAAAATGGCCATGTTTGTTACTCAAACGCTGACTTGAATTATTATTTCTATTTAAAATACATAAAATTAACATTGATAGGCACTGCCAATAGCAATAATTATAAATTGTATTATAAAACCTAACCAACATCATAATATCAAACTTGAGCAATTTCCTTTGGCAATCAATTTTTTTTTTAACAATCTTTAAATATGAATAATAATGATTTTGCGAGATAGAGATATGTAAGAATTACAGAAGAATATAAACTAATAAACGTTTATTACACGATTCTATAGTAAAAAAAAAAAAATCACCGTCACTATAACCAGTGTTTTATTTTAATATAATATACCTCCAGGCATGTCTAAAAAAAACAGTTCACATTTCAAATGACCAATGAATGCGTTAACGCAAGTGTTTTACAAAAAGATTATACGTTGTCAACTGCACAACACATAACACACACCATGTTGAAAAACTGCATTACGCACAAAAAAAATGCAAACTTGGCGTAATACTATGCTCAAACAGACCATTGAAAATCAATGCATTCGAGCCGAGCTAATTTTCAAATGGCATTTTAGCATATTATAATTCAAGCCGAAAAAAAATTACCATGTTTCATGTGTACCTACTGGGAATAAAATTATAGCAATGTTTTTAAGCGAATAATTTGCAAGCATTATATAATAATTATTATAAACAAAATTTCCATTTACGATAAACTAACGCGTTGACTGTACAAAGACTATATAGCCCACAAACACAATAAAAAATTACACCAGAAACTTAGAAATTCATTAACAACAAGCAAAATACATTTCAATGAAACCAAATGACAGCTAAAAATGTATTACGCGTTAATGACTTATATTAATATAAAAAAAAAGTTAAGCGTAGGTAAAAATAACAAAAATAGACGAATCAATAAAGTCATGATAATAATGTCATACCAATATACTATGAATCTAGGTATATATGCTACTATGTTTAAGTAAACACTAGTTTCTGCTTGAAAAAAAAACAACAACAAAATGGTGATAAATACACTTGTTGGCCCAAATCATAAAATATATGCATGTACACATCATATTATTATATTCAAATTTTTTTTAATCTGAATATTAAAACTAGTTTATTTTACAATAAAACAAGATTTTGTTTCAAGCTATCTAAAAAAATACTTAAACCGAATATGTTGTAAAATAAAACAGTCAAGTAGCATTGCAGAGTACTGTACTAGGTAAACCCATGTTTTTTTTAAGGTATCAGCAGAGTGAAAAGAAAAAATTAAGATACAGTCGTTGTTACAGGCATAGCAATTTTTTATTTATCTATGTGCAACTTATAATTGAAGGTTTTAAACAAATATCTCGACCCGTTAAATTCAATAAGGTATGGGTATAAGGTGCTTAAAAAAAAGATAAACAGTATGCTGTCATACACGCATAAATAAATGTTATTCACTTATATTATACCTACCTAGGTAATATACAAGCGCAAGATAACTGGTTTGTGCTCCGCAAAAAAAAATGGTTAAGGACAAACAATTCCAAGATCAATAAGTATTTAAGCGTGGAAAAATTAAAGTAAACTTTTTTGCAACTCTGCATTAATGAACTCCCATCTGTTTATAAAGATTCTCCATCGCTATCCATTATGCTCTCAATGGCCTATAGTGCTCTAATGGAATAAACGACTTCAACAACTTTAAAACAAAGTTTTCTTACTTCTTAGAAGAGCTACCTCGATTTCGTGTCATTCGCTAAAACGCAATACTTTTTTGTATCATTATAAAAAAACCAGAATCCAATAAAAGAATTGTGATTTTTTTTATCGTCAATATCTCAAGGGTTCAATTAATAATTGAAATTTTTTTTCCACTGTGTCTTAAATTTTAATATAGATGTGATCTCAATTTTCCACAAATTTGTATGTTTCAACCTCCCCCGCCCTAACTTATTATTTTTTAATTAACTTTTATAACTTAAATGATGACCGGTCGTTAACCAGTTTTGGCAAACTATTTTTGAAGTCATTGAAGTTTCAAGTCTAGGGCAGGAGGAAAGGTGGAGTGTAGTATTATGTTTATACGACACTCCATCTATCTATACTCCACCTTTTCTCCAGTCCTTTACTATCAAAAATTGTTGTTCAAAACTGGTTATCAACCGCTGTCATCATTTTTAGTAAAATATTTAAGTTAAAAAAGTTAATATAAAAACAATTAGTTTGGTAGGGGTTAAAAAACGCAAAAAATTGTGAGAAATCACATTGTTTAAAAACACTATGTAAAAGAAAAATTGTATTACTAATTAAACCCCGTGATTTCAAATGGCTCACGATAAAAAATTCGCCCTGTTACTTATATTATTCGCATTATTATTATTATTATTATTATGATAAAACCTAATCTATCTAACCAATCACCATCTTTTTTATTCTCAATACAAATAAAAAATTTACTATCATGATTGCCAAGAACGAGTGGCGGCAGTTTAAAAGTTTGAAAATAAATATTATGTCGACGACGGTGTCCAGTGGTCAGGTCCGAGTAAAGAGATGGGGAACGCGTAGAATTGACAAGAGGGCAAATAAATGAAGGAAAAAAATATAATTCTAGCGTGACGTTCTACGACGGTCTTCTTATAGGTACGAGGGGCCCCTCCGACGAATACACGGCTTTTCTTTGGGTCGACCGACGAAAACGGCTACGTTGCCATTTGTGCGACCGCAGTACCATTATATAACGTGGACGCGGCAACGGGACATGACTTGGCAACACAGCAGGGCTGTGGGCGTGGCGTCGGACGAGCGGTGCGTACACCGGGAATATATACATATACATACACTACACGCCGGTGTATATATATATATATAATAATAAAAATATATAATATAACATATATATACTCAAGCCAACACGCAGCTGCAGCGCGCGATAGGAGCACCGAAAGAAGTGAATGCTGCCGCTGCTGTTGTTGCTCGGTTCTCTGTTGGTTTTCTAACAAAGCCAGCACGCCGCGAGAAGTGGGTTCATCATCTATACACTCTACACGGCAACGAGCAAGGAATAACAATAATAATAATAAAATCGAGTAATAAAAAAAAAAAAAAAAAACATTGACGCCTTGAAGATAAGAAGCATAAGAAAAAAAAATTGTATCCTATACCTATGTCGATGACGACACACGACGGCGATAACAATACTAATAATATATAAAGTAATTTAGTATCGGGAACCCGTAAAAACACCACAATCGACGGGTTTCTAAAAGTAATTAACATTTGGAAACTATGCGAAACCGTTTACGGCAGTGTAACAATATAAATTGGTAACCGAATGAAAAAACATAACGGCGGCTATAACGCGTTATATAATCATAATTATTATTAATACCATTAAGACAGTGGGAAGACAAATTAAAAAAGCACGACTTCTGTGCTGATTATCAGACGATAAACGAGTTAGAAAATAAATATTTTGGTGCATTCCATTCCATTGATTCGGATAATGAATGAATCAATTACCATCGACGGTCGGTTGGTCCTCTCTCTCTCTCTCTCTCTCTTTTACACAATTGTCTCGTCTTTAAGGCGACGATGGTCATGATCCAACGCCGTGTAATTACCATGCCAAATTATTGCTATTATTAAAGTACTCGGTTAGGGTAAATAGTCAAATATAATAATATTTAATTCCGAAATAAACATATTATGGAAAACTGATAGAGAAAAACAGTTTTTTAACGAATAATTAAAAAATTATATACCTCTCACATAAAATCCATTTGAAGAAGGGGATAATGCAAATTGTTTTACCTAAAAAAAAAAAAAACAAAGAAGTCATAGCAACAAGCATCATAAGACTCCTATAATTTGCATTATAAAATTGAAAATTAGACATTTATTTATTGTAGAGAACTTATTAAATAATCATAATCTGTAATAAAATGTATTTTACGAAGGTCTTTTTTGCTAATGGCCATTACTTGGAAAACTATATAATTCGAAAAATTCCAGAATAATATATAGGAAATAATACTAAAGATCTCTACTAAATCTAACCAAAGAAAAAACATCCTTTGTCATTGAATTTAATTGTACACTCCGGGAGTATGTTAAAAAATAATAATAAGGTGTGTAAAATTTAGTTAAAAATCAAAACACCAAATACTAAAGCACAAAAAGACAAAGTATAGAAAACATACAGTACTAGAAATGTACTAGTACCAAAATATTATAATGTTAAATCTGGTCCTACAAAAACTAGCGATAGGAATATGAATACATTGAATTTAGCCTTTTAAAAGGTTTAATAAATACTTTTATCTAAATAGTCAAAATAATTCCAAATTTGTAAGCAATACTCTTTAGACATAGTACTATCCATAAACGTCAACGAACCAAACAAATTTTACTTTTAGCTATAACAATTCATATATAAACATTATACATTACTCGCCCCAATATGCTAACCTACTGTACTGGCTATTTATTTATTAAATATATTCAAGAGTAATAAAATATATAGAATTTTTTTTTTTTTTTAAATAAAATATGTATAAATATCTTATTTAAGATTACGTACAAATCATTCACAACATTATTGACCAATAAATAGTAGCAGACGTAGCCTAATTTTAACATACTTTCAAATAATTTTTTATAATTTGTTTACTAGTAAATATTACCTTAAGTGATCGATATTACTTTAGAAATTAGGCTTTTACAATTTATATTTATAAAAAATATATATATAAGCAGTACATGGAAATGTCAATCAACTTCTTTTTACACGTAGATTTACAAGGAGGACGTATCTCCAATTACAATGTTCAAGGTTCATGTTTGCCAAAGTTGTTCAGGTTGGCTTAGTTAAAAATGCAATAAATTATGTAAATAAAACTCACTATTTTATAGTGTCAAAAATTAATATTTTGTCAAAATAATTTGTGTTGATAAATACATTTTTAGAAATGTGTATTGAGCTGACAAACTTGCACAAACATGTGGGAAAAATGAAAAAGTACTATGTTTGATATGTGACAGACAAACATTTTGAGCATATGGATAATAAAAGAGGACAGATATTCAAGTGACTCACTGTCAACAGTTCGATACTCATTCAGGTGGTTCTGTTTACAGGCGGAAATAAGTCTAGCAAAAAGAAGCCACCATTCCCCTCTCTAAGGCAACGGCCTGACGATCCGTTCCAATAACCAATTCGTTAAGAAACTATCTCATAATGGCTTGTATTGGACCTTTAAAACACTTTAAGCTACGAGGTGATCGAATTGATAATAGCTTAAGTATTTTTATTGTAATTTAGTCTTATGAATTGGTACATGAGTATTGAAGTATAAGTACCAAAAAGTGTACAAATTCTGGACCCTGCTATAACATCCTGTCCAACCTTTTCGATTTTTTTTGAATATCTAGAAAAACTTAAGGAACACTGGTTATATATAGTAAAGAAATAAAATATTTAAATAAACCATTAACCACAAAAATAATACTCTACAGCGTGTACGTATTTTTGGCAGCAATGTTACCATCATCAGCGCATACAATAGGCTGAGAACTTACATTTTTTATGGGACAATAAGACTATAAAACTTTATAATATAATAATTAAACTAAATTTATTTTACCATTTTATTGAAGTGATAAAAATAAATTGATGACTTCAATTAAACATTAATATAATAATAAATTATACTTTGCCCCTTAATAAATAGCAGCGCCTTTATTAAAACTTGATTCATGTGTATCGAATTATTATTAGTAAATTTTCATCAAACGTGATGTTTGATTTTTTAAGTTTAGTTTTTCAACAAATTAAATTTTAAGTGTGATAAAGTATATTATATGTTATGATTATAATCTATTATAACGATAAACTTCTTTTAATTACTAATAAATCATTTGCTCAACTTAATTAGTTTTTATTATGTCTGTATTTATCGTATTATTATGTTTAATTATCATTAAACAAGCTAACAAAATTGTGAATTCCAAAACCATAAAATCAGAAACTATAAGAGTTGAATTGATATAGTTTATTATTATAATTTTAAATGTTACTAACATTAAAAAAACGGTAACCACTCATTACCGCCTAATTGAGGCGGTATAGGAAATTGTTACAGTGTATATTTAGTATACAAGAATTCTATATGGTTGTCTGACTATCACAAACTTTCTACAGTATTCATTTTTGTAAATCTTGTTATCACACTACAAATTATGAGTGGATAGCGTTCTCCATACATGTAAATCAAAACAGTCTGATAAAATGTTGTTTTAATTTTTTTATGATTAAAATTTTACACATTTATGTACGTAGCATAGAAATTGTGTAAGACATTCACTATATTTAAAAACATTTAAACATACATAGAAGTACTCAAAATAGTGGCAACTAATGCCCTGAAAACTATGATTAAAATTCTGTTATCATAATTATAATCATATTAACTAATGTATTTTTACCAATTATTTTTAATAGGTTGTTATATCCAATATTGCAAAATTCACACCATAGTGACTCAATTAATTTACCATTAATTATTGTTCCTTGTTTTTAATTAATATTCTTGTAAAATGCAATATATTGTATTCATCCTAACTTAAAAAAAACATTGTGCACTTTTAACAGGTAATATATTTTAGTCGTCTTAGAAGACATTCTGTAAGGAAAATTTATTTACGCGATAATCTTACAATTATATTTAGTAACTAAATCTATTAAATAAGAAAAGGTTTCTAATTGGATAAATATGTAAATCCAGTAGAAGAGACTGACATTCATACAACCCAAAATATTTAATAGAGAAAAAGATAAATACAAAAAATGAAGATAGTAAATTATGTAATGCATCATCAATTACAAAATGATTAAAGTTCCATAAATTTTTGTTTTAAGATTAAGACATTGATCCAGCATTTATATCTAACGAGAATAAATTCACCTGATAACATTTTATACAAAATACTGGAATTATTGCTGTAATTACTTAGCTTTGTGCTTAATAAAAAAACATATTGGATAGTGAAATTTATTTATTATTTTGAATCATGGAAAATATGTATTATTGGATATTAATACTATTTTGTATTATACCTAGTTATTAATAAATAGACCTAAAATCTGAACCTCGAAACAAAATAAAAATAACTACCTTCAATAACAATATGGTTTTATCTAGTTATAAGGAATATTTATCCAAAGATTTAAAGACTTTCCGTTCCTAGGCAAACAACATTTGTCGTCCAATCACTATATATTACAATTCATACTTTTTAATTGTGAAATAAGCATAAACATTGAGGCACCTTAAGCAACTGCCATAAATTCTGCTCATAAATCTGCTGCTGGTTCAACAAACAAGTTATCAATAAGCAGCACTGGGTAGGACCCATTTGTCTTTTTAGCGAAAAGGACAAAATACTTGAAACAGCCATATGAATATCATACATCCATTATGGCTGTTTTAGTTTTTTGTATTATACATACATTTTGGGTTTAAAAACAGATAAAGAGAATACTAATTTGGTCACTAGTTATTTAAAAATGATTTAGAATATATTATATTGTAATTACAAAATGGAAGAGAAAAATCGACTTACCCCTGGAGCGACATTTCTATAGGGCATGCCATGTTGAGTAGGGTAAGGTGGCATGTTGTGGCGCGGAGGAGGCGGCCAGTTCTGATTATAATGTTGCTGATTTTGTACCGGCGGTGGTGGTTGGCCATCGGGTTTTTGGTACTCACTACTATAGTTATTTTGATACCTCGTTGCCGGATTAGACGACTGCAGCAATTGATTGAGCGTGGGTGTGGGTCCAGTAGGCTGCGATATACTCTGACCGGACATGTGGTATCGCTGCTGCGGAAACATTGCACCTGGTGGTCCCGGCACACGCATCATGGGTTTTGAGTATGCGTGCCTGAACTGGTTGAAGCTATTGGGCTCAGAATTGCTGTTGGTATGGTGCTGTTCGTTGAGTGGTGGATGGTGTCCAAAACTGTTGCGGAACCCGCCCGGAGACGGCGGCGGATAACCGTCTTTGTCGGGCGGCGCCTGTTCGAAATTATTCACCTTTGGCGATTCACCGTCGCCGGTCGGCTGATCAACGCCGTGCTCGGGTCGACCGTACTGTGGCCCGCCGTTGCCTGGACCGGGTCCGCTTCCGCCACCTCCGCCGGCCATGCCGTCGTAGTTGTGGTGGTTGACGGACGCCTGATGCTGTTGTTGCTGCTTGCCGCTTTTGGGCGACTCGGGAGCCTGAAGGCTCATGGGGGTCCTGCGTTCGTGGCTGCCATTTTGGAAGCCGGGCACGTCCAGCGGCGGCCTTTCTTGGTCGCGATTGTTCACGTCGCCGCTCGGTTGGTTTTCCGCGTGTGCAGCAGCCATGTTAGAAGGTACAGGCAGCAGAACGTTTGCCAACACCCCGCCGCCGCCACCCGTCAACGCCAGCGTACATAATATAACTCGAGTCGGCCACTACGTTATGCCCGCGCCGTTCGCGCTCGGCGAACCGAATATCGAACACAATCGCGTCGCGTACATCACATACGATAACAAGACAACGCAGAATAAAATATGCACAAAAATATGATTTAAAAAAAAAACGAAATTTCCTATATTATAACAACAAAAAATATTTTACGCGCGCGGGTATATTATACTATATTTGTATCAACCAGAAACCGTACGCTTATGTGTGTGGTGTACGTCGTATCGGTTGCACTATATCGACCGTAATAATATTTCGTATCCGGTGGTGCACTGGAATAACAGCGTGTCGTCGGCGGTGTCCGCAACGCCGGCGTCCAACATGGCCAAAGAAAAAAAAAAGAAAATAATACTCGACGACGACGGTGGTTTACACGCGCGCAAGTGTGGCGGCCACTCGATAACACACATGCACACACACACTCACACACACACCGTAAACGTTTGCCCGTGTAAAGACGAACGAACGGCCAAAAACGAGGTTAGGACGGCAAAAGGTTACGACGCACCTATTTGGGACGAACGGCGAATATACACCGGAATCGGCACGACGACAATAATAATAATAACAATTTATATATTATTATTGTAATTAATTTTCCGTAGTACAAACGACGGCGACGACGATGAAAAATCTCACGTATACATGCACACTGTCGCGCACTCACACTCGCACGCACGCACTCACAATCGCACACACACGCCGACGAAAAATAATAACAACACTATATAGAAAAATCATACGTGCCCGTATGTATGTTGGAATATTTAATAATAACAAATAACGCGAGATACCCTTTTTTTTTTTCCAATAAATTTCGGTTGAATATAATATACGCCGCGCACACTCACCGATTATCTCTCCCGTTCGCGCGACCGAAGACACACACAGCACAGAAAAATGTACGGCAACGCCGACAGTGTGACCGGAACGTCGAGCGCGGGGCGACCGCGTCATGCGGCAACACTGCAACGCAACGCCGCGTACGGACGCCGAGACATTTTTTTTTATTATTTAAAAAAACCGGCATGAAAAAAAAAATGCCGTGTGTCATAAGTCTTACGTGTCAATGGTTGGATTTAATTTAAATTCGGTTAAATGGTTAATACAATTTTTTTTCGTCCAAATCTTTTCGTTTGCCCTACAATTTCTGGCTGTCCCTTTGCAATAATATATTGTTTATAGTATATAAACAACAAAAAGACATCGCAAGGCGGCGGACGAATGCAGAACGCCATCTGGCCGTCGATTTCCTCGTTAAAATTAACGGACGAACGTTTAAAATTTTCGTTTTGATTATTATCGGTTTCCGGTGATTGGTAATTGAAGGTCAATCAGCTGATGTCTCAAAGACCGAAACATTACTTTTGAAAGAGAACCTTGTCTAAATTCTCGATTTTCCGAATTTATGAATTTTGTTTATTGAAATTGTTAAATTTTACCTAATACACCAAATAATTAACTATTATCAATTGTAATGAATGCATATATAACATGATAAAATCCACTTTGACCCGATTAAAAATAACATGTAGTACATTGGCGTATACTGCAGATAGAAATCGTATACTATATTACTTTTACAATGGTACAATTGAATATTATTCGGCTAAATGGGTCCCCTATAGATAGAAAAATTATACATAATTAATTGTGCTGTATGTCTACGCTGTTTCGTTCATCCCACAAGTAATAATATGAGTGTTTATTCAATAGGAAAGAAAAGATCCTACATCCGATGGGGTAAAAATTATAGAAGCATATCCCTCCTGCATATAGGATATGATTATGTCACCAGTCACTTTTTTCGGGGAGAAGGTTACAAAAATATAAGGAAACCATTATACAGGCAATTAGGCTTTAGAAAGGTGTCATACTATTTTTGTCCAAGACAAACACAAGAAAAGCACTACAAATAATAAACATGGATATTTATTTAGCTTAATAGACTGTAATCAAGCTTACGCTTAATAATAGAAACCGTGTTGAGGGTTAAGATTAGCCTAGATTGAATATGTTTGGAAAGCTGATGGTTCGCTTATTAAGATGGTACTTTTATATCAGATAGATCTTTCAAAACGAAGATGGCTGGGCACAATAAGAAAACACCTGATGGAGGTGAAACTCAACGGGAATGGAGTTTATGTAAGAAGATAATGGAATAAATTGGTTTTGGAAGCAAATAGCCTTAGCCTTTAATGCATGCTGCTAAAACAAAAATGTGTATAACATTTAATATAACATAGTACAGACTATAGTATATAAGTATAATATATCCATCGCAGTTTCTTTATTCACCACACTCATATCAATATGTAAATATTTATCACCTCCACCCACTTCTTCGGTCTACCTTTTCCTCTTAACTTTTTGTACTACTCCACTTTCTATATGGAGTAAAGTTGTTTCATTCTAAACGGAAATAAACCTGTATAACTCCCATTTGTAAAACTGGTAATAGAAACATAGTTACCAATTGTCGTTCGGTATGAAATTTAATTGATTCGCCCAACTTAGTTTTCAAAAAATACACTATTCCTATATTTTAAACACAGTCAAGTCAGGCAAAGTTAAATTTATGCCATTTATACTTATCTTAGAAAAGCTTTTGATACATATATTAATTCTTACCTCAAACAACTTAAAAAAATGATATTAAATTATATATAGTCTCTAAAGGAACAAAACGTATTTTCGATGCGAATCTAGAGGAAAATCCGTTTACACTTTACCACAATAATTTTTCTAAGTAATTGTGTAGTTCATTGTTACAATGCTTTTCAATTTCCAAACATCTATAAAATTTTGGTATTTACTAGACGTTACCCACTTTGAAACTTACATTTTTAAGTGAAGAAAATACTATATTGAACATTTTCACTTGTAAGTCATCAGCACTGTTATACTGTGAAGATAACCGTAGTCATCAATAAGCTTATAATATTATATTATAGTAATTATAAGTATATATATATATATATATATATATATATATATATATATACTTTTATGGGCTGGCTTTATGATTAAATCTATCTGGTAGTAAAAGGATGATCAATGTGTGTCCAAATATCAATAATTTCTGCTAACACCAAAAAATATTTAACGGATATGATTATTTTGTTTTATTGGTAGGGCCTTATTACATTGTCATGTTAACATAGCGGAGACTTTTAGCGGTTACTTACACAAAAGTGAGGTCTTTGTAAATAAACTTTTCAAGCACTATATGAACATATTATATTATAATATATTAATACATAATTTTTTGTACATGACTTTTCATAATAAACTAAAACATGTATTATAAATTATAAATTCTATTACAGTTAATTTACAATCTAAAAAGCAATAATACATTCAATAAAAAACGTTTTTATTGCATGTTTTAGAATATAGTTGTATTTTAGATTATTGCTACAATAAAAACACTAATTTTAACAATCATAAACATTACACTACTAGCACCAAGCTGTATTATAATAGTCTTGTTTGTCGTTAGGTATTCTACTATTTGAGTATTTTTTCGTATTTTATCCATCATCCGACCCCAGATAATTAAATAATTATTATTACGTAACTAATCTCTATTCTACGTCTTTTCAACCCCAGTCCTTAAAAGCACATCTACAAATTAAAGAAAAAAGAAGTATAACATAAAAAAATTACAAGTTATTTGTCATTAGGTAGTAAATATCTAATTTAACAAAATAAAAAATTTAATTATGCAAAACTATATTATACTATTTGCTATTATTACACAACTATTATTGGCGCTTAATTAAAATTAGATAAAATTGAATTATTACCCTGAACTGACTTAACATGCTTTAAAATCTAGGAGATAACTAATTTGGTTTTCGGTTGAATCCAAATGTATTTTAACGCCATATGTAAACATAGTTAATTATTTACAAGGATATAATGTTTATGGTTTCTGTTAATTATAATCCTAATGCACTAAAACAGAGAAAGACTCAAGTTTAACAGTAAATTTTATAATATTATCTACAGTCAATAAATCAGTCACGTTAAAACCTAATACATTATGTGAAATATTAATTACACTAGTTAACATTTTATTTTATCCGAGTACGACCACACTGATTTAATTGTAAAAATGATCTATTTAACCATTGATCTGTATACATTATGCAATATATATTTAATTAAAATTAATTGTTTATTTCACTTTCTCATGGCTTATAATATAATGTATTCTTAATTCTATTAAAATAAGTACAGAGTTTTTAAAAACAATTTAAAGACTTAAGTGTAAACTTGACCAAACACATGATAATAAAAACTGAAAGAAACCATTTTTCTTTTTTTTGATAATGCAATTTAGACTAGATTATATTTGACAATAATTAGTACATATCTTGCAACTATACTATTAATAAATAGTTTTTTTTTTTTTTAGCATAAAAAATATCAAATTAAATAATATTTTACTTTACAATATTTTTAATTGAAAAAAAAGAAAACCATAAAAATTTATATTTTTGTTGTTTATACAAAAAAATGTATTGTATAAATTATTCAGATCAATTGTCGACCTAGTTGTAGGGCAATTGCGAAATGCCCACTGGGCCGTAACTCATAATAAGACATGGTGTAATATGTAAAATCTACATAAGCATAAGCTATATTTACCGACTACCTATTTAACCTCTCCTGATTAAGATATTTCAATTTAAATATGAAGCAGGCGTGTTTTATGTTTGCAACATATAAATGATAACCTATAATAAATGTGGGTTCAATCTATACATAATAATATGTAGAGCTTGTTTAGATGAACGTTGTGCTGTGTAAAACAGTCATGTATAATCAATAACCCTGTATTTACATTTTACTAGATCAAATAGTGAACACATTATTGTACAAATTTATTTTTTCTTTTGCGTCGATCCTCTGGCAGTCCAAGCGCTTTTCAAATTTGACGCAAAATGTATCGAAAACCCGTGAATTTGTACTGCTAGTGCGATAAATATGTACCATAATATTCCATAGGGAAAATCCTGTATTATAGAAACATTTATTTTAATTTTAATTATAACTACTATAAATGTGAAATTATTACAAAAACACTCACTCTCCATTTTAGTACAGAATCGGACGGATGTTCTGTAATAAATGTGTATACATCGGTTAAGTAGTAAAAGAAAGCGTATACGACAGGTAATATGCCCAACAGTACAATCCATTTGATGTAAAGTGATATATTTCGTACGCAATTGTGTTTGACTGCGCTTAAGGCCAAAAACGACGCTGGCAAACTAAAACACCACAAGTACTCCCAAAGCAGTGGCTAAAAAACAAGAACAAATATTATATTAATCGATTGTGCTTTACTCGTAACGTAGAATAATTATCACTCAACTCGGTAAGAACAAATTTAAAAATATTAAAAATATCAAATACACTAATATTTAGGTATTAGGCTGGTCGAGTTGAATGGAAAACGTTAACTAAAAAATAATATTGTAATATTACCTTGGGAATTTCAAGTTCTTCGATTTCTAATACAAATATATCTAATCTATCGAGTACATCGGGACACAATTTTGCAAGCATGAGGAAAAATAACAAATAATGAAATAGTATACAATATTTCAATCGGCTTTTATTTTGCACACTAAAAAAAAAAAAAAACGATTTACATTAGATTACAAATGAGTAGAATTTTAAATATAAGTATAATAAAATATAGGTTTTTTTTTTTTTTTTTAGCTAAAATCACCTTATTTTATAATGGTCGGCTACTTTTTGTCGGTGTGAAAAATCTGATCCATCCGAACCTTCTACCATGGGTCCTCTCGATGACATTATTGTACTGTTTATTTGGAATATTCACTTAACTGACTATATTGAGTAACCATGCACAACGAGCAAAACCAAAGTATTACAATATTATTACTTTCTAATGGACTGATTCAAATGTACTGTACGATTTTTCGCCAACATACCTATTAGTTTGTTAAAAATGAAATGAAACTGCCAAAGTGGTCCCTGATTATTGATAACAGCGAATTCTTAACCTAAATATAATCTACTTGGGCAGCTGACTGTCAATGATAACTGATAACATGGCTTGTCTGTGTAAGCGTGTCATATCGCATACGTTTACACGAATGACTGCACAAGTACTCAACCTAAGACCAAACTTAATACTTGATTTAAGTATTAACATTTCAGAAAAATCAAATTTATAATGGAATGTTGTAATAATTATGTAAAACAAAATTATTTTATTAGGTACCTATATACATATGACTGTTGACACAACTAATATAATATATGTTACCCAATAATAATTTGGCTTATAAACAAACACACCAATAGCCAAAATAATTTTATATTTAACTGAATAAAATGAATGTAAAAAATATCTAAAAATAAAAAAAAATTGTCTAACACAAAAATTGCTCATATTTTTTTTGGAATTTCAATTTTGAACACTAAGACACTAAGAGGGTATTTTTAATTTGTATTTAAACAAAATATCGGTCGAATGTCTTAGGCATAATATTAGAGAACAGCCGTGATTAAATTCATATCCTTGTAGGAAGTTGTTCTAATTTCATGATTATTTTTTTGTTTACACTGTCAAAAAAAAAAATGTTTTTTTAACTCAAATGGTTATTTTGATTTTTAAATTCTCGAAAATACCTATCGACAAAACCGTGTTTGTGATTTCTATTTTTAATTTCAGTTGTTATTAATTTAGAACAGGTATGCATTTAAGCATATTTCAAAAGTTAACAAAACTGTACAAAACACTAACAGCTTAATAATTAAAATATAATTAATAATTATTAAATTATTATTTATTATATATTTTATTCAAAAATAGTGATAAAGAATAATGTAGTAAACATTTTGACTGGTCGATAACCAGTTTTAGATCACTATTTTTGCTAACCTAACCTAACTTAACAAAATTCGTTTTAACATTCCCGGGGTAAAACAAATGATAACATTATTCGGTATAACGTTCTCGGAGCAAATAAGTTTAAAACGTTTTTCGTTATAACGTTCTCGGACCAAATAAATTTAAAACGTTATTCGGTATAACATTCTCTCGGTAAAAAAAGTTATAACGTTATTCCTAGTTAACGTTCATGAACATATTTTTGAACTGAACGAATAAATAACGGTTAACGGAACCCTGATAAAATATATATGTGTCAAAACGACAACAGTTGGTACTGATACTGTTTGATTAACTTAATATATTTTTAGTTTTTATATCCATGTGCTACCTATTAAACCCCTTTTGTTAAATGTATGTACTTAAAATTTAATGGGTAAATAGTAAAAACCTGTTTTGGACATCATTGCTGGGAATAATGTTGAAACTTTAACCTTGATATTTGCGCCATGGCATACTTTTTTTCGAATAAATGTAATTTGTATTATTTATATTGCATTATAGCTCTTGAAAAAAAAAACTTTTATTGTCAGTTATTTATCAGTTTAACACTCTCCAAATGTGCTCAGACTGTTTTGATAGTTTTTCTTAATTTTGCTATTTTAGTTTCAGGGCTTAATAAATTGCCTCGATGGGTATCTTTATCTTTTCTTGCTCATTCCAGATAACGTATTTTTTTTATGAATATAATTTATGAGAATTTTTATCTAGTATTACAAAATAATTTTATTTTTTAAAATTCGATTAAATACCAAATAGTACACATGCCTGTAAGTTATTTTATCTATTTAACATAATTCACGGCGTAGAAATGATGTAACATTATAATAAATATACTTTTTTTTTATTGTAAGGTATATATAATAATATAGCAAAGCCTTACGATATCGATGAGTATAATATTAATATTATACTTAAAATTATAAGTATAGTAAAACCGTATTGATTACTGCAGTCTTTCGCAAAAGGATTTGATAATAATTTATATTCATGTATAATCAACTTGTATGTACAGCTGGTATATAAATAATTACAATGAAATGAAAAACGAATAAAATAAATAAATACAAATAGTCATTTATACAATAGTAGTAAAATAGTATAATAATAAATTATCATAGAAGATTCGATACGGGCAAATTGTTTTTGTAATCATTTGTCCTGTATAATAATAATAATAATATGTACAATATATTATAATATATTTATACAAAAATAAAATATATACATAATAATATAGGTACACGTTGAAAATATATTATTAAAATAATATAAAACATTATAATATAAGTCAAAGGCTCGCTGTTTTTAATGAGAAAAAAGAAACTTAGGTATAAAAAGCGATAATCGAAATTTTACAATAATATAGATTCGTATATAAGTTTAATTTTAATTATTTATCAATATAAACTTCTACTTAAATTACAAATTACACTATTTATGAATTATAATAAATAATTGTATAGATAGCGATTACAATTCAATGTTCATATCACAGAAACAAACGATAAAACTAATGTACAAAATGCAATCATACAAAATGTCCAAAATAGTACCTAGTAATTGTTGTAGAATTAAGAAAAATAAATTTGACATGCGATTCAAAATGACATATATTTTGTTTTATTATGAAATCTATTTTATTTTGTGCACAAATCAAATAATATATAAAGATAAGAGACCTCTAGCATGTAAAACGACAAAAATTGGCTTAAATATAATAAATAAATTACTAATACAACTAAACAATATATTAATATAAATATATATTGTATAATTATATTGCACAATCTATGGATAATAATACTATATTAAGCAGGTTTAATGCAATAATCAGTGTAGCAAATTTAGGAACGGAACAACTGAAATCACCGCTCTATCCATCCTCGGTAGTTTAATTAATTATTCAAAATCTAAATAACCTTATTTTTTTTTTTTTATTTATTTATTTTTTTTTTTTATTAAATATTTTTTTTTTCGTGAGGAGCTACTAATATCAAGACTAGAACTGGCAGTAATATAATATTAAGTACCTTACTGTGAGTAAGAATGAACGTTTACATTGAGTTATTGTTAATCCAGTCAAAATTCAACCGTTTCGGTACTTTAATATTAATTTATATAATTTTTTCAAAAAACCATTTATTTTTTCCACGTTAAATGTGTATGGTTTGGGAAAAAAAAGTCATTCCGGAATGAGCTGTAATATTATGATTTGTAATCTTATTATTATTTCCTGATTGCCTGGACCATCATCATTGGTTGAGCAGTGTGTTGGTTACCTCCGAGATGGACAGCAGAGGACTGCAGTCCTGTGATTTAATCTGGACGGAGACGGACTCGGGTATTGCGATTGTGGAGGCACAGCCGGTTGATGATGATGAGCACTGTGATTGTACAGATAATTGTTGTGGTAAGGCGAGTCGTGATAGGCATCCGTGCTGTTGCTGTTGCTGTCGGTGTTGCTGCTGTGGAAGGACAAAAAAACAAATAAGTATTTTTTAACCGTGTGCTTATAAAAAAAAACGTTATGTTAAGTATAACGTACAACGGTTTTATTTAATAAGAAAAATATGTATAAATTAAAAAAAAAAACGCGCGATGGCAAAAACAAAACAAATCAAAAAAGGTTTTTTCTATCAAAAAACATGCTCTATTAAGTGTTGTTTGTCATGACAAACAATAGATAAATACTTTTATAAGTTTATATCGAGCTAATAATAGTAATGACGTTAACTATGTTGTATTATATGTTTATAAGGACTTACAAAATATATGCATCTTGCAAGTTGTTAATTATTTTTTTTAAATAATCATAGGTACTCTTAATAAATCTACTATATTTAATCGGGCTCATATTTAAATAGTAAGATCTGAGACACAAATGTTAAGAGGGGGTAGACACAAATGTTTGTAGGATCAATGAACTAATTTCATTAAATCTGGCTCTGTACAGAACTGGATGTTAAAATTCGGAGGACTAGAGGCAAACAAAATTTTGAGGTCAATTATTCTGACTGGAACCAGTAATTTATATTGTTATGTTAATATTGAAATAGTATTTTTGAGCGTTAAATAAATTTGAATTGAACAAATTCTGACCTAGAGTAACCTACGTTTTTAATTATTTCTACAATAAAGCTAAGGATTAACATGTAAACACCTGTATAGACACTATACTGGGCAATATAATTAGTTAGTTCAAGAAGAAGATGTCAGGCGGGGAGGTATTAATTTCTATTTTTTTTATTAATTATTGTCAAATTAATTTCGCTATATGTCAACATTTTGAAAATATAAAAAAATTATAGTAAACAGAGTTATAGCCAATAAACTGCGATATGCCACGAAATCAAATTCAAAAACCTAATAAACAAGACTAACATACAACTATACAAGACAACATATCTAAATAATAGTAAATTTGTATTAAGAAAATGGCCATCTCAAAACGGTCACACTCTAATCTTAAAATGGCCGTCCTCTGTAAATGGTTTTTGATAGGTTTGTGCTAAGATGTACCTATTTATTTAATTGGCAAAATATAAAAAAAAAAAATAATAATCTAATGATATAAGTAAATAAAACACAATCGCTTTGCGCGGTGCTTGGAATAAAAGCACGAACTAAGATACTAATACAGTTTCTTAGTTCGTGGATAAAAGACACTCACTGGTGGTGGTGGTGGTGATAAGCATAGAAGTGGTGCGGTGGGTGCGCGTGCGGGGGTGTCCATACCTCAGCGCCCCCGGTCAGATGTTGGTGATACTGGTGATGGTGGTGGTGATACTGATGGTGGTTGGCGTACGCTGGGCTGGGCGGCGTGTCGGGCTGCATTTCCGTCAGCAGTTGAGACTTGAGCCCGTCGGACGACGACGACGGCGGCGACATTTTCTTGGGCTGCAGCTGATACGGCGACGGCGGATGGCCGTTGGTCTGTGGCGGTGTCCTCGAGTCGCCGCCGTCGCCTCCGCTACTGCCGCTGCCCACGCCACTGCCGCCACTACCGCCCGGCGATTGGTTCGGCGACGTCGACGAATTCCCTACACACGTTCCCCACATGAGTACCGTTTGTCTAGGCGCGTCCGAATCGGACTGCATGCCGTACTCGGATTTCGAGTCTTCTATTTTCAAACCGTTTGGTATCGGCGAGGAACTCTTCACCCGGAACTGGACGTCGCACAGCGGTATCAGGTACGGCGTCCCCTGGTCCATGCACTTAGAGACGTCGTTCTCCGCCGACCCCTGCTGCTGCTGCTGTTGCTGTTGTTGCTGGTGTTGTTGTTCCATCGACACAGGAGGCGACCCGTACAACTTGTCGCAGTCCCTGTTTCCGGCCACCGCGGTCAGTTGGTCATACGTGGGTAAGCCGCATTGGACCGGCGGTGCCCTAGGGTTAATGTCCAAAAAACCGTGTCCCATGTACGGCGTACTCGCCGGCGTGTGGTACTCGGTGTAATAATTGCCCAAAGGCCTGCAAAATAATAAATCGGGCGTTCATAATAGAGTTACGCATGAATGTTTTATTATGGACAATTGATGAACTTTTAAAACTACAACTACATAAAGTTTATTAAATTAATATATTAATAAACATATTAAATTATTAATAAAATAAAATGATATTCGTGAAAAATTAATTCCTCAATGAGAAATACCTACCTGTACTGGAATAGATTGTCTGTCGTCGTCAAGTAGGGTATCCGCGTGTCGTACAAAGTCTGATGGTAATTCGTTTGGTAGCCTGCACCGTTGTCCGGCATGGCGGTACCGTTGTACGGCGCGGTCGAGTAGAGTGCGGCCGTGTTGAGATTTGTGTAGAGCACGTCCGCCGGGGCTGCCACCGGTGGCACGGACGGCACCTGTACCGTTGGATACTCGGCAACGGTCACCGGCGGCGTGGCCGCAGCCGACGCGGAAAGTTTTCGCTTGGTACGGCACGTGGACAAGAAGTCCCGTAGGTGAGTTTTGTACCGGCGTCTGGGCTGCGATGGCTGCGGTTGACTAGTGGGCACGGCGGCGGGTGGCAGAGTGCCCGTCAGCTGATCCGAGTCACTAAAGTAGCTGTTGGTCAAGCCGGCGTCCAAGTAGCTCACCTTAAAGTCCATCGTCCGTTTGCCCAACAAATCTCGGCCTTCTTCTTCCCTGTACAATTTGGTAGAATAAGTCTTACATAACTATAATAATAATATATATGTATATATTAATGTATATGTATTAATATGTATATATATTTTTGGTAATACATTGGGAAAATACACTAATGTTGTATTTTTGGAGAACAATAACATAGTTAAGGGTTTACTAACCCAGATAAGAGTGGTAAACAGCTAAGTGTCGGTGAATTCGTCATTGCCATAGGTAGCAGATATTTAATTATATAATATACTCACATCAACGGCCTATGCGTGCCTATCACGAAATCAGGTTTTGAGTTTTTGTACACCAGCCTGGAACTGGTCTGCAACCATTGCCACGTTCCCTGTTTTGTTTGCACTCTGTACGCTATCATTCCCGAAGCACCGGTCTTTAACACTGTTGGTGCATACAAAAAAAAAAAAAAAGAAACTTCAACATAAACGCATAATAGCATATTTTGTGGGGATCCAAATCGGAGTACTTACGTTCTTGGTGAGCACTGGCCACGTACGCTAAGTCGTCGTAATGGACCAGGTCGTATCCTCCCATGTTGGCCAGTTCGGAATCGCAATAACCCAATAATAGTTTGCCCCTGAAAATAATAGAATACACGGTGTATTATACTTTCATACTTTTTGGAAATTTATTTTTAAACAATGGCGTAGTTAGGGGGGGGGGGTAATAGGGTTTAGATCCCTCTTCCCATTTCATCCGAAGCTTTTAAATGCCAGCGTTTCACCTCGATAATGAAGCTAATTTAGCCGCTGCTAGTAAGTTTATTACTGTATTTATAAATTAATTTATTTTGATCAAAGATACATTAAGACATCAATTGGCCTATTTGAGTAAAACTAATAAAATACTTGTTATAGTTTTAAAAATAGTTGAAAAAAGTCCTCAGCGTTACTACATATGCACACTATAGCACAAACCTTTGGTCCATGGACACCAGGCTGAGATCGAGCTTGTGTTTGCTCTTGAACATTACTTCCTTGTGCGGGATTTCCAGCAACGAAGGCGGCCCGAACGGCGTGCACAATGCAAATAAGCCCAACGGAGGGGGTTCGTCCGACTTGCGGTTTTGGCCGTGGATGACTTTGATCCGGCCTCGGACGTCCAGTCTCTATAAACAACAATTATGGTAGGTATGTAGGTAGGTATAACGAGAAGAGTTGAGCCTCTTTAAGCTGTTTGTGTACCAAAAATCCGGATGTGTTGTCCAAAAGACACCTGAAGCGGATGGTGAAACTGCGCTGCAGCAGGCGACCGTTGTCGGGGTGCAACGCCTCGTGCAGAGTGATGGACGGGGAAGGGGATCCTGGTTCAGACGGTAAAGCCGAGTTCCACATAAGTTGTCTCTGCAGTTCTTCCCGGTCCTCGGAATGCACTAGCTCGTAAACGGACTGGTGCACGATGTCGGACTGCGAAAGTAAAATCAAATGCATATATTATAACGGCTATCAAGGTCACTTCCGGTATTAAAATATACAATAAATGCATTAAACCGCACATGTGTAATATCGATAAAACCGTTGTGCGTTGGTCATGGACATCAGAGGGGGGTATGGGATACTAAAATTAGCACTTTTCAAAATACCTATATTAATTTTTTTAGAGAAATATTTGTTAGAAAAAAAAATATAGACCTAATTTTAAGTTTTACGGTTTGTTTAATGCAAACTCTGTGTAGAAAACTCTATATACATAGCCTACTACTCTGGATCTACCTAACTGTCTAATTTTCACATCTCAAGCCATTTATAAAACAAAAATGTCTAACTAAGAGTAACGGTTTTAATGTGTATAATAAATGTTGTGTTCTTTAAATTATAACGCTTGCGCTATTATAATATGTTTTAAGGCTGATTAATACATATGTAGGTATGATTAAATAATAAATTAATAGCATTAATTTTAATTTTAATAATTTCATTGTTTCATGCATATTAACATTGTGTGCACATTCATTTATAGCTGTTATTTCCGTGTATAATATATTATAGTGGCTTTAAGTCGAGTAGTGATACTTTGTGACCATATAGTCCACAGACATTTTAATAACATATATATATATATATATATATTGTGTACAATATTAGATACAATAATTATTATGAATATAATACTTATTTTAGAAATATTAAGTACTAAAGCATGTAATGATTTGATGTCTCGCATATACGAACGATCAGTCGGAAGTGTCCAAATTGGAAACCGCCAGTATTATAATAATTATATAATTACCTGTATAATAAAATTAAAATACAGGAAACACAGTTCACTGACCACTGAAGTCCCCCGCCCCCCTTCGCCTGCGCTTCCATTCTTTTTATCCATTCATCAAGCCTCGAAACATTTTAATAACATAGAAATCTACGAATATTATGTATTTTTGCAGTATTTAAATTTTAATTTAACACACAATAGTGTAGCGGGTACTCGTATAATGGATGAAAGCAAACTGGTAATTTTTATCGATTTTGGAACAAAATATTATACTGGTGTGACTTGAAGTGCTGAAGACAGTTGCAGGAAGATAATAAATATATTATTATGATTGCTTAATCCTCCCCATCTTAACATGGACATTATGTTTCAGGATTATTGGTCTATCTGGAAATACACAACGTTTAAATAGTAAATTTTCCTTTTTTAAATTACAGTTAGGGTTATCGAAATGCTAGTGTGGCATTTGCTCCACTACGTCCAACTTAAAGCAGTCCCTGCATTAACCTGTATATATAATATTATAATCTTATAAGATGATTTTACAGAGTTTTGTTGATTTATACAATTAACAAACGAATGAAAATACAGTTTGACAGTTTACAACTTCTTTCTATTACACACCCAGTGTATAATATGTAGTGTTGGATGGCGTTTAATAGCTGGCAATAATAATATTATTTCTCCCCTAACAAAAATATTGTCGGCGGGCAGATGTGAATTCAGTACACTCCATATATGTATAGAGGTATGTTCAATTAATTTGTCGACGAAAAAATTAGTATATTATTTTATTATTACAATACATCATTATATTGTGATATAAACAATAAAAACGTATTTTATTATTATACGGTTTAATATACATTGTATATTGTATTTCGTTTCGCTTTATATCCCATTGCAGTACATCTGTATAATATTATGACAGCTGTTGAAAGGTTTGAACTATAATGTATTACACTATCATATACCTACTCCTACAGCTAATCAATCGAATAGTAAAATATGTACAACATAGTTATAAATGTATAAAATATTCCATGGCGATATAGGTGATAATAATTATTGTCAGGCGGTTAAACTTACTGGAAAACGGGTGCTTAATAATAAGGGTATGTCTATTGAAAATGAGCATAATTATGTAAAATATATTGTATATAATACACTTACTTGATGGAAGCCAAGATAATTTTCTATGGTGTGCGTAGCAAAAAACACCTCGCCGTCGCAGGTGAGCATCACTAAAAATCCGTTTAACGCCTGTGGAACGAACAGAAGAGGATGTTAAGGGTCATTTTGCTATATGAAATCAATGGTTTTGCCAAAACATTTGACAGGTAAAAGACTTAACAAAACCACTGTTTGGGCTCGATTTAAGAATTCATCATTACAACGTACTTGTAGGAACATGTCTCCGTCCAAGTGCAAGTGATGAGGCTCCGGGCACGTGCGCGAACGCTGGTACTGGGAGCTGGTAACATTGGCTTGTTCTTCTTTGGACTTGTGCATTGTGACTGTATTAACACATAAAAAATAAAAAATAAATACAATCATTAATCCGACAGTGTGAATGTAGTAAAAAAAAAAATGCTGGTCATGATTCACTCGAACGACCTTTAATTATTATATTAACCAAACAGCAAATCACCACCACCCTCTTCGCGATGATCGTTTAATTTTGAAAAGTGATACATACTAACCTACCGTTGAGTAAATATAATTATTTTTTATGAATAGGTTGTTTTTTTATTGAAGGGTACCTTACTTTTTTAAACGCGGTCAAACGGAATGCATTGTTCTCGACATTATATTACTATGGTTTTGTTGGGTATAGGTATTATCATTATTTGTATAGGTACAACATGGAAATGCTACCTATTTATATAATATTAACTGTGAACATGGTGTATACTTGGTAACTGGTATACTTATTTCTGGTGTACACACAAACAGTAGCGTTTGAAAGTCTATAATATATACATATATAGTGTAGTGCAAAATTGTGAATATGTACTAACCGAATATTGGTATTTGGTACTAAGATTAAGACCACATTTTATAATAAGTGTTCTGGCAAATTTTTTAGAGTGATTTTTTAGTTTTCCAGAGTGTCCATTTCTGGTCATAACTGTTGAATAATTTGTTCAACGTGAGTAGACCATTTATTAGCGTTAACGTGTTTACGGTGCAGACAACGATGGCAAATTATTATTAGAGTTTAATATGTAGTAAATAATTATACCATAGAGAATACAATATAATAACACAATATTATATTATACTCAATGATTGTACCAAGTTATCATTTTCGTTGCCGACGGCATTGAATAAAGGTCAGGACGTCATGCGGTTTGAGATGATATATTTTATGTTTATTCGAGTTCGGCGTTGTTATGTTTTAATTTGATTAGGTTTTGAGAGGATAACGGCTATTTATTTAATGAATATTTTTTTCGTCGAGAACAAAGATTATATTTACATAATATTTTCGAAAAAAAAATTGTTGATTAATATTTTTTGTTAGTCGATTGTGCGGTGTGCCTAATTCGTGTTCACAGCCAGGTGACTTTAACATAATATGACATTATATCATAGATTGAATATACTCAGTTATATATTAATTATACTATGACATATTATTCATATTTTTAAAATATTAGATTTTCTTTGTTTTTTTTCCACTATTATTGTGGTCGATAAAAAATAACATTAACACAACGCTTACAAATTGTACGTGCGGTTGTAATGAAGGATTTGCATTAAAAAAACAATGCAACAAAAAACCTCATAATAATATACAAATATTAATAAATGTGACAACTCGGCGTGGGAATATGTAAATTTTATGTGATTTTTTTTTTTTTTGTATAAAATTAGTAGTCTATATTTTTATTTGCTGTTGGCCGCAGAGCCAAGTCGACTCGAAAAAAAATGTCTTAGAATAAAAGGAAATCGCGCATGCGGTGTGTGTGTGTGCAATAAATCCGTATAGTAAATAAATAACGAAAAGACAAATACATAAATAATGATAAAAATTATCGGCCGCCCGCTGGTGATGGCTTATTTACATCCCAAACAAATCGTAACCCATCGGCGCCCCACCTTAAAACGACAGCTAACGAGCCTAGTTTATTGCCTCTTGTACACACCACGTTCACGGTAAATATATATATATACAGGTGTATATAACTCCCTATTTTTTTTAATCTCATATTCTTTCTTCCTTTTATCCTTCTACGTTATGTTATTATATATTTTTATTCCCGTCGCCGCCGTTTTTTTTATTATCATTCTCTCTCTCACTCTTACTATCCCGACGGCGGCGGCGACGACTCCGACGACGACGGTCTTTCTTTCAGTGGTATCGCTTTAATTAACCGGAATGAAAATTATTTATTATTGTGTACACAGCGTTACTCGACCGGATCGCATAATATAATATACTGCGTTATTTTTTTTCATATTATTTATGAATATTATCAACCGGGCGTTTATTGTACATAAACAATAATACTATAATAAACGAAAAATAATATCAAATCCGTATTCCGTTTAAACCGGAATCATAAACTTGGCCCGTGAGGCGGCGGCCGTGTATACATATGTATATATATATATATACAGGTATACATATTATGTACACGTGGGTAATTGTATATTGTTACAAACACCGCCAACGGTAGGTAGGTACGAGCAACCCCTGTAACGGTGAAGTTTTCCTTTAGCGTGCCGTCCTACCCCTACAGCCCGTTTCTGGAGTGACATAAATATGAAACGTCAGATTTCTGAAAAGTAAAAATACACTTTGAGCGCGCAACCCCTCGTCCTACTTGCACGTGCTTTGCTTTCACATGTTACCATGTACATCGTTTATATATATATATATATATATATATATAAGTTATAATAAACATAAAACTTTATTATACTTACACACAAGAATATACCTAACTATATACATATATCATGTACACACGCGGTCGGTTTTCGCGGCGTATCATTGATTGGCGGTGGCTGTCGCCGTGGGGGCGGTGGTAGACCGTCGGCCGCACGCGATCTTATGCGGTAATCCCTCGGGCCGTTTGCGGGCACGGTTACCATGGGCACCTGGTGTCAAAACAAATCATCCCCACGCCGGCCGAGTGTGTATAAACGGTTCTGTGTCACCCGTCAGCCCCTCCCTTAAACCCCCTAAACGCGCGCGCTTAATGTTGCACACGGTACAATGTTTAATATCAACATCAAACGCTTAGATTTTGCTACCAACATATAATATTATAATTTACACAACCACATTTTCCATCTAGACTTGCCATAGGTCTGAGTTGAACTGTACAGCCTTCATCACATCACAAAAAAAAAAAATTACATAATTGGACCAACTATGTATTTTTTCCAGGCATATAATATACTATAACAGCTAATCGGTAAACTACCCCATTATACACCCTTCCCTCTCCCCTACCCCAACTAAATACGCTACTTTTTATCTAATTTTAATGCAAACCAAACAAAGATAATTATTTTTTCTAACCATAAATTATAAAAGAACAATATTAAAATTATAGTTGGGAAAATTAAGTATACCATTACATCTCTTTTTATTGAAACTTTTATGTAGAACCATATTTTATTGGGTAAAAACGTGTTAAGTGGTACAGTGCAGAGAATTTAAACAGAGTATAATATACAAACGCAGTCTAAGATTTAAATATGAAATTGTTCAGCTATAATAAACGGTTGGTTACAAACAATTCTAGCAAGTTTTTACATACATTTTGAATCTTGAACATCCTATAATAATACATCCTAAACGTACAGCTAACGCATGTCGTATGCGCATTCTTACTGTGTTTACTATCTACACATTTATAACGTATAAGCGATTAAAACGAATGGACTCAAAGAAGTGCAAAAAATAGTATAAAAATTAGAGAGTCCATAAATTGCAATATAGGCTAACCCCCCCATTGGATGAATGAAAGAATGTGTTTGAATGGTCCTTGAGAGGGCGAAGACGTGTATTATGTTGTAAAAATTATATCAGTGGTAGCATTGCCTGGACGGCGTTATCCAGCTGCGATCGCACGGCGCGTTTATCGTAATAAAAATAATATATCTGATAATATATTTTTATGACTTACATGAGATTATATAAAATTTTTTTATTTTTTTAAGTCCTCCTCCGTCCGTCGCTGCTGTCCGCGTATCGACGTGTGGGAACCTCGTATCGTGAATTATACACACACATAAACTCTATTTTAGTAATAATATAATTGTTATTATGAAAATGTACATTTAATATTTATAATAGGTACATATTATACGCGAACGTCCACGTCAACGTCTTATTATAATAGCCCACACGAAAGCGCTTATGCTTTTATACAGAAACCTCAAAGTACTCGTTTGTGTAATGTAATATTTGTTATACTAAATATATATTGTAATTGTCATAAAATGGGCCCTATTCCATTTGTACTACACTAAAACTATATCAACAAAATTAAATAATACATAATAATATGTAATGGATATCGGCCCATTTAAAACTGCAAAAACTGTTTTATGAGTATTGTATATAATGTATTATAATTAATCCTCTTGGGGCCTATAAACATATAGGTACTAGGTCCTATTAATAATAATTTATCATTATACAACCTACAACTCTTTACGTTTTGATGTAATAAAAGCGTTTTTTTGTTTTGAGGTACACCTATTATTATGATTATAGATACAATATTGTAGGTATCTATTATGATTCTTACCCGTACAAGTACCGTTGTCTTGTAAGACAAGAATAAACGAGTTAGGTTTGATTCCTAACGCTCAAGCTTAAAGGATCTTAAATATGATCGACTAATAACTCTGATCTTGAAAAAAATGTACTCAGATCATATATTGTTGATTTGTTTTTTAGATTTTGGTACGTTGAATATAGTGTATACTTTTAATTTTTTTTATCTAACAGTTAATATACATTGCTATAATTTGCTAATTGCTTTTGGGTTTTCATCAGTAAACATAAAAACTATTTCATTTAGCTAATTCCTACAGTTCGAAACAAATATATTCAAAATTTAAGCAGTAAACCTATAGTTTCACTATTGTTAATCAATTAATTTTCAATTTTTAACTATAGTTAGGGTGCAACCGGTCATTAGTATAATTGTTATTTTTTTTTATTAGATGTTCTATCATTAATGTAATTAGTTGTATTATCGATTCAAATTAAAAATCACAATGAACGGATTGTTTTGCGGTATTATACAAATTATAACAAGCATGTTTATTTCCAATAACAATTATACTTAAAATATCTATAGATTAATATTTATTAAAATATTACTATTTACCAGAAAAAATGTGTTGAAATACGACGTTTAATAATCTACTATTCGACGGCGAATACTTAATTATAAGTATAAAAGTTGCGTTTCAAGGGTGGGCAATATGTTCATCTATCTATACAGCGTATAACGTCATTTACATGGAACATAGTAATTAACTA